AGTGGTGTTTAGAAAATTCACACCTGATAAATAACGTAGAGTAGTAAGAAGAAGAAAAAAGAGAAACTAGAAACTATACAGTTGAATATGAGTTCTTTTTGCCTTAGGGTGCATTGTGCTTGCAGAAGAGAGAGAGAGAGACAGAGACAGTGAGAGGGAGTAAGAAATCAGGCCATGCTGCAATCCCTAATCCTCCATTCTTCTCCTGGGATCTTGGGCATGCACATGCACACACATACTCTCGGCACGATTTTCAAGCCACCGTGTCTGGAACGGCAATGTGGGAGTCCAGTGACGTAACCACTACCTGATCTGCTGGTCCCGCTGTTGCACTGTGAAGTGGAGGTTGGGAAATTTTTAACTGGCTTTAAGCTATTTCCAGTCCCCTTGAGGCACACTGAGGATTATACTAAGCACTGAGTAAGTGTCCACCCAGACTACCTCATTTACCTCTTTCTAAAACCCTGAGCGATAGATACCATCGTCAGCCTCATCCTACTGATAAGTGAACCCTTCAGAGAAGTTAAGTATCTTGACCAAGTTCTTAGAGCTAGGAAATGATAGAGTTAGGATTTGAACCTAGTTTTGTTTCCAAAAGTTAACATTTAGAATATCGAGTGGTTGAAACAGAATTGGCTCTGGAGAGTAATTACTCCACCGGCAAGGTGTAGTCATGGTCCTGTCTTTCTCACACATGCTGGCCTGCCGATCAGCACTGTGGCATTGCGTTTGCCTGTGCGTGGGCCAGGTGTGAGTTCCAGCTCTGTAGAGTAATCTCACCAATTACTGACAGTGTCTGAACGGAAGGAGGGTACATTGAGGAAGTATGGCAAGGAAATGGGGTAAGCAGAAGTAAAATACGAACTACAGAAGTGGTCTGCACCCTTCACGATACCCTCACCCCCACATCCCACAGCCTTGTTATCTCCGCATTCCAATCTGGCCTGCACACTTGCCAGTGCCTGTGCAACATTCCTTTCAGCTCTTCATTTCCATGCATGGAAACCTGCCAGCCTCCTCTGTAACTGAAGACCGACCAAGCTGCTTAACCTAGCCCTCAAGGTCCTACCCATCTTTCCTCTCCTCTCCTCCCTCTTTTTTTTTTTTTAAATTAAAAGTGAGCTTTATTTCACTTTCTACAATCAGAAAACTAATAAAATATAGAAAAGTAGAAAGTAGGAAAAAAATGATCGCTATACTCTTCGGTGTTTGTTTTCAAGGGTTACTTAGCTTACATTGTTTTATATCTCTAACTCAACTCTCTTCTCACATCCCTTCTCCACACAGACTGGCTTACAGGACATGTCATACCCCCTGAACACGACATGCTCACCAGTGGGACTTCACTTTATTTTCCCCACGGAAATGCCTCTTCCACTTTTTCCATCCTTTCATTTCATTCCCCTGGCAAGTTTTCTCGAACCACCTCTACGACTCTTGAATTTTTCTTGGCCCCCTGGCCACAGCTGATCTTGTGCTGTGACTGAACTTTTCTTGTGTATATCTTATATGAAGTCGTCAGGAAAGTCATGACACAGTTTTTGAAGCAAAAATGCATCATGATTTTCCTGATGACCAATATTTCCACCCTGAATCCTAGGGCAGGCTTCATACTGCCCTATTCCACAGTGCCTCCCAGAAGATCTCCCTACAGTAGGAACTTAGCAAATAACTATTGAAGGGACAAAGCTTTTTTAGTGGCCTGAGCTCAGAGCTTATGTTTATCATTATACATAAGAGAGAACGTGTTGCTTGTAGGTAACATTTGAAATATTTTGCCATTGGCAGGTGCAGAACCATTTCCTTAGAAACTGGAGCTCAGAATATTCAGATGTGCATCACCATGCTCCAGTTGTCTTTCACTGCTGAGTACTTGGCCCAGATGTTCAGCTTCCCATTGGCCTATGGCCTCTTCCAGCTGTTGGATGGAATTCTTATTGTTGCAGGTGGGTAGACTCCTACCCGGTACACTTGACTGGGAATTGGGCAACCCAACTTTCCGACTCTTATTTCAATTCCAGCTTGCTCCTTTGCTACATATTCAGTTTGACATTTCTGGGGACAATTAAGTGCATAAATAGGACACTTTGACACAAAGGGGGAGTTTCACAGGAAAGAGTAACAAACCACCTGAAGGCAAGCTTATAAGTATAAACAAACATACTTCACAAAAACCAATACACTGTCAGAACTCAGATTCCAGGTCTCGTTATACAAGGTCTCCATGGTACCAGTAGATGGCATAATGGTTATGTTGCTGGCTCTTACATGGCAGACCAAGGTTCAAGTCCTGGACTGGAAACCTTGAAACTCACGCCAGGTGTGTGTGCATGCATGCCTGACTCCGAGGGGAGAGTGGAGAAGGGATGGTGGCATGGCCAGCCACTCTAGGGGGGTGATTTCTTGCTTTCTATCTATGGCAAGCGCACATGCCCTATAGCAAAAGTCTCCCCCCCAATAAAAGACAAGGTCTTTTTGAAGAATTATTGATCTCAAAAATGACATTTATTAAACGTAAGCATTTATTTATGATGCTTCATTAAGAGGTTTAAAACCTCACAAATGCTAACTCTTTTCAATGTTTTTGTGATTGAGACATGCTAAATGACTGTGAAATATTTTTAAAACACAAAATAAAATATCTAAACAAATATATACATAAGTATTGAAATACTATGTGTGTGTGTGTGTGTGTGTGTGTGTGTGTGTGTGTTATACCTAGCCATATAACCAAGTATACATTACTTTGGGGTCAGTTATTATGTGGTTCACGGAAGGAATATATGTCACACACACACATATATTAATTCTGGGCCATTGCAAATTATATTTTTCTTTTTTTTTTTAAGAGATTTTTGCTATAGTGTGCATGCACTCACCAGAGAGAGAGACAGAGAGACAGAAAGCGAGAAATCACCTCTTGGGAGGGAGGCCATGCCGCAGTCCCTTCTCGACTACGTGGGAGTTGAGCAACATAAGCATTATACCATCTGCTGGTCCCTGTAAATTATATTTTTAAGAATTATTTTATTTATTATTATTTTTAAAAAAATGTGCTCTAGGGCACATGTGCTTACCAGAGAGAGACAGAGAAAGAGAGAGAGGGAAAGTGAGGAAGCAAGCTACCAGGTCTGGGAGTCCAGCACCACCTGCCCCCACTGTAAATTTTCACTGCTCTCAGAGACCAGGTTCTGAGTAAGACTTACACTGATAAAACTGATTATGTATTGATTACTGATTATTAGATAGTGATTACTGATAAACAATCAGTATAACAATATGAGGAATAGTTGGGCTTAGTTTTCCTATGTGCTAAGAGAAATCTATCAGAATAAAACTCGTAGGCTTAGACCCAAGTTTTCCGTACTTCTCACGTGTGAGTGAAGGAAGCATCATGCCTGGCCCACTCCTAGCTCCATCCCAGCACCCAGGACAGTGCTTGACCTGGGGAAGCACTCCACGCAGATTGCTGACCGACTGACCGAACTGTCAGCAATCTGATGAATGACCCTCGATCACAAATGGTCTGTTCCAGGCAGAGCCAGTCTGATCACTGCATCCGTTTTCCCTTTCTCTCCTTCCTTTTCCTGTGTATTTATGTATATATATGACAGGAAGCAAATACACACCAAAGTATTGACAAGTATACAATGTCACCAAATTGTTATTTTTTTAATTTGGTAGAGAGTGTGTGTGCTCATCAGAGAGAGAGAGAGAGAGAGAGAGAGAGAGAGAGAAAGCACCCCCAATGGAGTGTAGTCACTCTGCAATGGCTTCATTGCCCCATCCTTCTTGGAGTTTTGGACATTCAGCATATTTTTCAGGTGACTGGTTATGTGGGATCTAGTTCTCTTAATCACTAGGTTATGGGGGCAGGCCCCCATATTTTTTTTCTTAATTTTTCCTTCATACTCATGATAGAACATGCATGTACACACGTGATAGTGAGAGAGCGAGAGACTGAGAGAGAGACAGAGATAAGCATCCTCCACAGGATGGGGTCATGCCGTGATCGCCTTTCCCCAGTCCTCCGGCCTGTGGGATCCTGTGCACGCGTGTGCCCACTGTTACAGTCTGATTGGGGCCAGGAATTCAAACTGTGGTCACCAGGGAGGATCCAACTTCCCTTGACCAGTGCATCCCCACCCCACCATAGCCAGCCTGCGGAGACCTGCTAGGCAAAAAGGGGGGAGGAGACCCCTCCCCCAGAGTGGGCGCCATGGTGGATTTTGGAAAGAACAATCACACAGACAAACACGTGGAGAAAAGTGGGGATCAGGTGGACCGGACGTCTCTGATGGAGACTGTCACAGCTCTGAGCCTTTCCTGGGCTTATTCGTCTATAGGGCAGTGGGGGAAGGGCGAAGCGGAAAGTAAAGCTGGGCGTCTTCCGTTATCGACTCCAGCTGTGGAGCATCTTGCATTCCTTGGTCTAAATAAGCCCGACCTGGCCTTTTCTGGCTTTAACCTCTGCGGCTGTGCAGCATCACCCAAGGCCCAAGCGAGAGTCTGTTCTCCGCTGTTTTTAAAGGTCACTATTATTTAGCTCAGATTTGGCTGCTCCCTTCACCGGCCCAAATTCTTCTCTTCCCTAAAGAGATTTTAATACTTTTTTTTTTTTTTTTTTTGAGAGGTTTTTGCTATAGGGCACATGTGCTCGCCAGACAGACAGAGACAGAGAGACAGAAAGCGAGAAATCACTTCCCATGGGGGATGGTCATGCTGCATTCCCTTCTCCTCCATTCTCCTCTCGGGATCTTGGGCACGCACACACACATGCCCGGCGTGAGTTTTAAGCCACTGGGTCTAGGACGCAAACCACGGTCGACTACGTGGGAGTCCAGCGACATAGCCATTACACTAACTGCTGGTCCCTAGAGATTTTAATACTTTTATGTTTTTACTCCTAGCATATCAGACGTACAAGAGACTGAAGAACAGACACAGAAGAACCAACCCAGATTGTGTAGAAGTCTGCCGTAAGGAATCCTCTTCGCCCAAAGAGACTGGTGCTTTCTTAGAGGTGACGGAAGAGGCTGCTGTGACTCCCGGGCCATCCGACCTAATGGAATGCCACAGGGCTCTCGAGCCAGCTGGCCACATCACTTCTTGTGGGTAGTGGGGTCTTGTTGGCCAGACTGTTCCCTGTACCCCTCAGCGGCCGGGAAGGATGGAGCAGAGCTGACGCATCAATCTCTCTGGGAGGGAGGGCCTGTGCGAATATTTAAGTGTGGAGTGCTGGAATACTTATATTTTTGTGTGGGTTGTGAATTGTGATAGGATCAGTGTTTGAGAATGCGTTCCGCTCATTTCAGGATCTCCCACAAGCTGTGCTAGCCGCTGTGCGTGTTCTCGTCCTCCCACACAGGAGTAGTGCCCCGCAGTTGGCACTTCCATGCCCTCCGCTAGTGAAGTCGCCCTCACCTGCGGGCTTTCACCTCTCAAGAGTTAGGACTCTGCACAGGATTGTCACCTCAGGCTGCAGGGCAAGCAGGGACTGGGTCCACACGACTTCTCGACTTTGGGCAGATCCTCTGGAGCATGGGGAGGAAACATGCAGTTCTTACACAATGGGGATAGCCTTTTTACAAATGCATGCTAATTTTTAAGGACTTGACCATCTTTTTTGATTATAGATGTAATACAAGTGTAGAGGAATTTAAAGAACACATGCGGTTAAAAAGCAAATGCCCTGTAGTTTTATTCCCAAGAGGCAGACACGTGTATACCCTCCGAATCTACATACACGCACCACATCATTTAAAAACTCCTGACTCCTCCCGTAGAGCCTGTTTGTAAGTCACGTGATGATACATTGTGGAAAATCTGTAAAGTCAGTCTTCAGTCGGTGCTAACCTACCTCATTGTTTGGAACAGTGGCTATGTAGAAGGATTTCACTGTGCGGAAGGACTGTGGTGTATTTAACTGGTCGTTATTTATGGACATTTGATAGCTTTTAACTTGTCAGTGTCACAGTGCTGCTACCAACCCCTTGTCCTTGGGTGTCTGTGGGCTCACTTCCTGCACTTGGCTGCCAGGCGGGCTGCTCCCTGGGACACTGGACGGGCTGCTCTTGGGCAGAGTGGTACAGCAGTGCCTGATGGCCTGGCCCCTGCAGTCTCACCAGTCTAGAGTCATCAATTTTGATTGGCAAAAACATCACAATTAAAATTACATTTAAGGGGCCGGCAGGTGGTGTGATGGTTAGGGCACCGGACTCCCCCGTGGTTTGAGTCCTGAACCTGACAGCTTGCTTCCTTGCCTTGCTTCCTTCCTTCCTTCTCTCTGTCTGTCTCTCTCTGGTTTAATAAAATAAATAATAATAATAATAATAATAATAAATAAAATTAAAATAATCTTGTAAAAAATTTTAGTTACATTTAAAAATTATAGGTGAACAAGGGCATTTTTCATGATCATTGGTCTATTCGTGTCCTTTATCTGCTTTTCTTACTTAAAAAAATGTTTCATTTTATTCTAGAGGGCATGTGAGCTCACTCCAGAGAAGGAGAGACTCCCCTCATGGGGCGGGGCCATGCTGCAATCCTTCCCCTCCACTTCTCCAGCCATCAGGATTCTGGACCTTCCCACGTACGTGCCTTGTGTGTTTTTCAAGTCACAGAAGCTGGGACCCAAACCCCACCACCATGTGGGACTGTGTTCTATGCAGAGCCTTTTACCACTGCACGGTGGGGCCAGCCTACATTTGTCTACTTCCATGGTATTTTTTCTTTATAGATTTTAACACATAATCGTAGTGACTATGAATTTGTCCCAGGTATTGTCAACTCTGGCCCTAATTTTTTTTTTTTTTTTTTGAGAGGTTTTTGCTGTAGGGCGCGTGTGCTCACCAGGAAGACAGAGAGACAGAAAGCAAGAAATCACCCCCCACCCCCACCGGGGATGGCCACGCCACAATCTCTTCTCCTCCATTCTCCTCTCAGGATCTTGGGCACGCACATACACATGCCCAGCGTAAGTTTAAGCCACCAGGTCTCAGACTTGAACCGCAGTCGACTACATGGGAGTCCAGCAACATAGCCATTACACCAACTGCTGGTCCCTGAACCTACTCTTTTATTTTTTGTTTTTCTATAATGTCTTTTGCCATAGAGTTTTATATTTTTTTATATGTTCAGTTTTATTAGCTTTTTAAAAAATGATTTTTGACCTTGATAACTGCCACATGTTAAACTATTTATACTTTTTGTTCAGATTATGATAGGACCCGTTTTTCTTTTTTAAGAGAGATGTTTGCTAATAGGGTGTATGTGCTCACTGGAGAGACAGAGAGAGACAGAAAGTGAGAAATCACCCCCCAGGGGGGATGGCCACACTGCAATCCCTTCTCTTCCAGTTTCCTCTTGGGATTTTGGGCACGCACTCATGAACAGCCAACATGAGTTTCAAGCCACTGAGTCTGGGTCCCGAACCTCAGTCGACTAAGTGGAAGTCTAGCAATGTAACCAGTGTGCCATCTGCTGGCTCTGATAGGATCCCTTTCAAAGGAAGTATTTGGCCCCCTTCAGGGAATTCTTTCTGGGGGCTTCCCAAGCTATTTACTAGCTTCTGTGTGACTGTGTGTCTTTGTCTTCTCATGCAGTGAACATTGCCTTAGGTAAAATCCATTGTTCTGTATTCTGTCATTATTAAAAACAGTTTCCTATTTGTTAAAATTATGTTTATGGACAAGATGTGTACATGTTTGTTCCATTTTGAATTTATTTTTGTATAGTATGTTGAGATATTAATTTTTATGGTAATTACCCAACATTATATATTGAGTCATTCGCCTTTTCCGATGTATCACGTGACTCTCTGTATAATGTCTGTCTGTCGGGACTCTGGTTCTATTTTGTGCCTAGTTTTATTTGTAAGTTTTGAAATGTGTGAGAAAATGAACTGAGATTTAATGCTGTACGATTTTATTTTGTAAGTATTCTTAATAACTTGTGGGTTAATATGATGACAGTGATTATAATGGTATTTCCACAACAATCCAGAAAGCCTCTGTGGCAGTACAGAAAGCGCCTTGTTAGGTATTAGAGTCACACATTTTGTATAGAAAAGAACAATGCGAGGCCAGCCCTCTGGCCTAGTGGTTCAAAGAGCTGGATTCTACATGGATGACTGCAGTTCCAATTCTAGCCCCAGCACCTTGAAAAACAAAAACAAAAACCAACCAGCTGGTACACAGCTGTATGCCCAAAATACCAACAGGATGGAGAAATCAGGAAGGGACTGCAGTGTGCCCAAGACTCATTGAAGGCCGCTTTCTCCCTCTCCCTCTCTGTCTCTCTGGAAATTGTACACGCCCTCTGGCAATGAAAAGAACTATGCAGATTTGTGACTTCATTGTTGATTCTCAACTGTTGTTTCATTACTTGTGGGTTTCAAGTAACTTGCTAAGTGTTTACGTGTTGAGCTAGCTTGAGCTGTGCACAGGCTCGGGGCGGACGGGAGTAATGAGGCAGAATGGAGTTTATAGTCTAGTGGGGAAAGGAGCTCTGCAGTGATGCTCAGCATAGTTGTGTTCGCAGAGACTCCCGGGTATAAAATGATGATTACCATAGCATTTAAAGAACACACGAAAAGAAAAGAATTCTAAATTATGTCTGTATAATCCAACCTAACGCTAAATGGCAAAATTCAACTCTCTGTTCTGAATGTTAACAGTACTGTCAATATTTACCACAGCCAGGACATCCCCGGGATGACGGACAATCCTACTAAGGTCAGCTTTTTTTTTTTTTTTTTTTGGTCAGTTTGGAACTCTAATCCATTTTTTTAGTAAAATTTATTCCTAATAGAGTGTGCACAAAGATAGAGAGAGAGGAGGAACATTGCTGGCAGGGCCTCCTTTTCCCCAGAACTCTGGCTTGTCGGCTTCCTGGGCACAGGGGTACATGCCTGGCCTGTTTTCAGGACAACTGTGGGATCTAAATGCTTGGTTGGCCATGGAGCTTCCAGCAGTGTAGTGTAGTTTGCTACCCACTGCTCCACCAGGCTGGGCCCAAGAAAGGCATCTTTTCAGATAAAAACAACATGAATCAATGTAAAGGCATGGAAGTAGTCCCATCAAAAGACTATCTTTTGGGGGCCAGTGGGTGATGTAGTGGTTGTAGTGCTGGATTCCCACATAGCTGACTGTGGTTCAAGTCCTGGACCCAGCAGCTTGAAACTCAGGTTGGGCATGTGTGTGTATGTATGTATTCAAAATCCTGAGAGGAGGGGACCAGCAGTTAGCGTAATGGCTATGTCGCTGGACTCCCATGTAGTCGTTCGCGGTTCGAGTTCCTGACCTGGTGGCTTAAACTCACACATGTGCGTGTGTTCCCAAGATCCCGAGAGGACAGTGGAGGAGAAGGGATTGTGGCATGGCCATCCCCCTGGGTGGTGATTTCTTGCTTTCTGTCTCTATGTCTCTCTCTGTCTTTCTGGCCAGCACATGCCCCCTATAGCGAAAACCTTTCAAAAAAAAAAAAAATCCTGAGAGGAGAATGGAGGAGAAGGGATTATGGTGTGGCCATCCCTCCTGGGGGTGTTCTCACTTTCTCAGTCTGTGTCTCCAGTGAGTGCATATGTCCTATAGCAAAAAAATCTCTCTCTAAAAACAAAACAACAGAACTGTCTTTTTCCAGAGATGCTTATAAACATGCTACTGAGAAGAACTAGAAATGTTCAAGCTGTCCTGAAGGCCACACATTTTCTTCAGGAGAAAGAATATAACTAAAAAATGTTCTGGTTGAATAAATTGCATTTAAACTGACCTAAATAATTATGAGTTAATACAAGCTGGAACCTCTGTGAAACTTGTAAGTGGGGCCAGAAAGATAAAATGTTATATGGAATGCGCCTAATGCTATGCCGGGAGAAAAGCTGGTGGCACAGTCCAGTGGGAAGAGGGCCACAGGCTGCATTCCACTTAAGTAGCCAGGATGCGTCAGGAGTTGTAGTTAAAAGCCAGTTGCAACAGGAAGTGATTGCTTATTTTGGTTATTTGGACAAAACTGGGTGAATGACAGTCCTCTGGGCTTCAATGTATTCTTTCGAAAAGGATAAGGGGCCAGCAGGTGACATGGAGGTCAAGGTGGCTGGATCCCACATGGCTGACTATGCAGTTCAAGTCTTGGCTTGAAAATCATGCTGGGCACATGTGCATGTGTGCCCAAAATCCCAAGAGGAGAATGGGGGAGAAGGGATTGCAGCATGGCCATTCCCCTGAGGGGTGATTTCTTATGCTCGCTTGCTCTCTGGTGAGCGCACATGCCCAATAGCAAAACTAAAAAAACTAAAAAAAGAAAAAGAAGAAACCAGAAACAAAACCGAAGGATGATAACACGTTCAATCCTAAGCATCCTGAAAAGTCTGTGGTATGAAACACCCAGTGTAGTGTGTAAGTGATCACTAAGTGCTGTACACCCTTCTCTGGTCTGGTGTTGTCACAAATACTCCTTCAGCCTAACCCAGGTTAGTGAGTCACAGCCTCCAGGCAACCTTTCATTAGGAGCCACCAGCATGTGCAAGGAGCTAGAGATAGAACCCTTGTAAGATAATCAACTGGCAAAATGGCTTATCAGTATCCTTAGGGTTTGCTTACCATGGCCTTTGGAATACACCTAATTTGGGGTGAATGAATAAAATTGTGTTTTGAAACCTGCAAAACTGAAGACTGCTTTTCAAATCCTTCCTCTCTCTGAATCTCTTCAATGGTTACAAATTCAGATACTTCGGGGGCCAAGAAGATCTTAAAAGATTAAGTGTTAGTTGGGACCAGCAGGTGGCATGGTGGTTAAGGTGCTGGGCACTCCCACATGGCTAACCTCAGTTCGAGTCCCAGACCTGGTGCCTTGCTTTCTCACTTTCCCTTTCTCTTTCTGTGTCTCTCTCTGGTCAAATTAAAATAAATGAACGAATAAATAAAATTAAAAACAAAATTAAGTGTTAGCTACTAAGGAATTGTGGAAACTGAGGCAGAACCGGAAAAGCACACATTGCTTTTTTTGTCCTTGTTAACAAAACCAAGATTTTGCAAAGGACAGCAACATGGCTAGCTAAAAATAACTTTCTCAGAGCTAGAGGTGGGCATGTAACACTGTTCTGGCTAATATGACAGATGCACACATTTCTTGTGATTTGTGGGGAATTTTGCTTTCTCACCCAAGGCACTGTCTGACCCTTTCTCTTTGTCAATTCCTATATCCTTTCTGGAATGCAGATATAATAGTTGGAGCTGGAGCAGCCATTTCTAGACCATAAAGGAAATGCCAGGATAATTATAGAGCTGCTGACATTTATGAACTATCAAATTAATCCCAGCAACTGCACACTTCTAAACTTATTTTCTTAAGGAAAGAAAAGAAATCTAATTCAAGTAAGCCCGTTTGGTTGGTTTTGGTTACTTACAATGAAAAAACGAACAAAACCAAATGAATACATTAAAATTGTGATTGGCTTTACAATATTTTTCGGGTCAGTCCATAATTCATCACATTTATTTTTATTTCTCACTTTACCCCACTCTCTCTGGTGTGCACACATGCCCTATAGCAAATAAAAAAAAAATAGTAATAGGGACCAGTAGATGCTGTAATTGTTATGTTGCTGGATTCCCATGTAGTTGACTGCAGTTCAAGTCTTGGTCCTGGCTTAAAACTCATGCCAGGCATGTGTGCATGCATGCCCAAAATCCTGAAGAGAAAGGATTGTGACGTGGCCATCCCCTCGGGGTAATTTTTCACTTTCTGTCTCTGTCTTTCTGGAGAGCACATGCACCCTATAGCGAACAAAGAAAATAAAATTAATTAAAAAATAAAAGTTGCATTTTATTTTTTCCTTTCATTGGATATCATTGTGCCTGTGTGTGCCACCCCAGCTCCGTGGCCTGGTCATGTTTTCTACCCAGAGTAGCCCTGGCAAATGGCTCATACTATTCCACGAGGGTGGAGCCAGATGCCAGATGAGGGCAGCGAGGTGATGAGTATTTTCTTAAGTTTCCATTCAGAGATTGTACCAGCTAAACCTGCATTTTTTCCTAGTTTCCATCTCCTAGCTGCATTCTTACCAGAAAGCCATGGTGCAGCTTCGCCCGGGTCTGTCTGTGCTGACTGCAGCTGCTAGCTAATCGCGTCCAGCTGTGCGGCTCTGGCTGCTGGCCTGCTGCTGGCCTCCGCTCCTCAGCTAGGACAGGACAGCAGGCCTCCGGATTCCAATGTGCTGAGACCAGGATTTCCAAATGCCTCTTAAAGCAACAGGAACCTCCCTCTCCCTCCTTTCATTTTCCCAAATGAAATCTTTGGCTCCAAACCAATCTAAAAATCTCTTCTGATTGAAGTGGGAATGGCGGTGGTAAAGCTTCCCTTGCCAGACTCAGAGCCAATTCTGAGGAGTCTAACCAGTTAAATGGTGGAGTCAAAAGTGTCACTGTGGGACTTAATATATTTTGTCATTTGCTTTTGAATAGCTTCAGCTCCTTAGGAGGTCCCAGCAACTTGCTGCATTTGGCTAAGGTCAAAAATTCAAGTCCTCGAGCTCAGGACTGGGCAATCTTGCCAAGAATGAGCCGAGCAGTTTCCTGGGTCCCGACATGGTGTCTCTCACAGCTAGGTGAAGAAACACAGAATCAGGATTTAGTGAGACAAGTCCAGGATGGAGAAGCAGACACACTCGGCTGAAGCAGGCTCTTTGAGGCTCATTTCTTTTCCTTCCCATTTGGCAGAAGCAAATATAAACCTCCCAGGAAGTACAAGGGGTGTCAAAAAGGTTATGGAAAAGTGGAATTAAAGTATGTATTTTTAAAAAATTATTTTATTTTAACTTTATTTTTTAATTTGGTTTGAGCAGAGAGGGAGAGAGTGAGGAGGGGGGCGGAAATGAGAAAGCAAGCTGCCAGGTCCGGGACTCAAACTGAGGTTAGCCATGTGGAGTCCAGCACCTTTAACCACCACACCACCTGCTGGACTAAAGTATGTATTCTGGTATTTTTAAAAAAAGAGAGACAGAGAGAGAGAGAGAGAGAGAGAGGGAGGGAAAGTAAGAATCCCCCCCCCCCTTCCGCCCACAAGAGGGGATGGCCACACCATGATCCCTTCTCCTCTTGGGATTTTGAGAATGCATGCACACACGCAAATATCATGTGTGATTTTTGAGTTGCCAGGTCTGGGACTTGAACCATGGTTGACCACATGGGAGTCCAGCATCTTAACTGCATTGCCACTTGCTGGTCCTGCATGGTTTTTTTCCTAATAAGTCTTCCCATAAGAATTATTTTTGGGGGGAGAGTTTTTTGTTTTTTTGTTTTTTGTTTTTTTTGCTATAGGGCGCTGTGCGCTTGCCAGAAAGAGAGACAGAAAGCAAGAAATCACCCCCCGGGGGGGATGACCACGCCGCAATCCGTTCTCTTCCATTCTCCTCTTGGGATCTTGGGCATGCACATACACACAGCCGTCATGAGTTTAAGCCACCGGGTCCAGGACTTGAACTGCGGTCGAGTTCATGGACTACATGGGAGTCCAGCGACATAGCCATTATGCCAACTGCTGGTCCCTCCATGAGAATTCTGAAGACTCCCTGTATTTTTAAATTCCCCTTTATCAGTTAAATATTCTGATTGAAATGTGATTTATGTATCATACACGATGAGCTGGTACCACTCACATGGCAGTAGAAGGAAGGGAGACAGACTCCAAGTCGCTCAGATACTGGTAAGCCAGTATGTGACCCTCACATCAGCCCTTGCAAAGGTCTGCCAAGATTTCTGACAACATTCCCACTCCCTGTGGCTGGCGTGACCAGGACCAACTAGGCAGATGGGAAGTAGGGTCTGGAGGTCACTACCTTCCCAGGAGTCTGGGTATTGTTAAAAATAGCACACTAGAAATGCTTAATTTGCACACGGTTTTGATTTGTTCATGTTTTAAGGTGTATTTTATTTACAAAGTGAGATGATGCATTACAAATACGTAATGCAGTTACAAACAGATATCTGATAACTATTTTCATGAAAAAGTATATAAATATATTACAGGAAATTTTATATAGTAAACGTTAGAAACTGATGCAGTAAACATTTGCTACTTTCTTTTCTATGCCAATATTACTGTCATTTAAAGCTTAAATACTGGCTTCAAGTATCCCCTATAAAATAACTCTACTTTATTAAAATACTGGAAAAAATTTTTGCTATAAACAAGATTGGAGCATTAAAAATAGTGTCTTTGTAATAATGTCCACTATAATCAAATACTTTTAATCATCTCTAAGATTTGCATTGTTTGGTTAGTGTTAAAAAATATCTAATAACTAAAGGAGCTGTAAAAATACAGCCATTTAACATTATTTACTGTTCCAAAGGTGACCCCTCTAAGGTAGAGGAGAGTAAGCGTAATGACGTTGTGTGGACTTGCTGCTCACTTTCCGTAGAGAACAGGAGTCTGCTGAGGGCGAGGAGAGAAACCAGCGTGCGTCAGGAAGGCAGCTCCGCACGTCATTCTAGGAGCTGAGGCTGCTCTCTTTGCTCTTCTTCAGCTTGTAGCCGTGCCAGGACATAAAGGATGACTTGGTAGCAGAAAATATACTGATCCTACGGCAGGAAAGAGAGAGCAAAAAAAAAAAAAAAGACTTTAGATGTCTAAATGAATATTAATATAGATATTTACATAGAGTGTATATGTGCATGGCTGTACTATCATTGGAAGTGATGATTGGACAGTTTTGAAAATATGGAAAAGTTTGTTAGCATATTGAGTGCTGGGCTAGTGGGTGGTGTGGTGGTTATGGCGCTGGACTCACGCATGGCCAACCACTGTTAGAGTCCTGGACTCTGCATCTTGCTTTCTCATTTTCTCTCTCTCTTGTCAAATTAAAAAAATAATAATAATAGGGGCTAGCAGGTAGCATGGTGGTTAAGGCATGCTGGATTCCCACATGGTCAACCATGGTTCAAGTCCTAAACCTGGTGATTTATTTTCTCACCTAAACCTGGTGATTTATTTTCTCACTTTCCCTCTCTCTCTCTCTGTTCAAATTAAATAATAATAGTAATGATGATGATGAGTAAAATAAAATAAAATAATTTTTAAAACAATAAACAAAATTAAAGAAAATAATTCAAAAAAGAATATTGAATGTAAGGAGCAAGGTAAGAATTGTAAAACTATAATTCAATTAAAAATGATAAAACTAGAAACTGAATGACAAAATGAGGAAAAAGGCCTTCAAGGTGGAGGTGGAACTACCCCAGAGTGGGAAGTGAAATTCTCTGTGACTGGTGGGCACTTCTCTTTTTTTGTGCTCCAATAATATTTAAAGGAAAAATAACCTTCCTACAAAATTTCTTTTTGATTTATAGACCTCATCTTGATGTTTCAAATACCAGAAAATTAATACCTAAAACACTATTCAAAATAATATTCTCTAGGAGCCAGCAGGTAATGTGGTGGTTAAGGTGCCAAACTGCCATGTGGCTGACTACAGTGGCTTAAAAATCATGCCAGGTGTATGTACGTGCGTGCCCAAAATCCTGTGAGGAGAAGGGTTTATAGGTTTTTGTCTTAGGGCATGTGTACTTGCCAGATAGAGAGAGCAGAGACAGTGAGGGGGTAAGAAATCACCCCCCAGGGGGATGGCCATGCCACAATTCCTTCTCCTCCATTTTCCTCCTGGGGTCTTAGACACATATGCACACTTGCCTGGTGTGTTTCAAGACACCAGGTCTGGGACTAGAACTGCAGTCAGCCATGTGGGAGTCTAGCGATGTAACCGCTATGCCATCTGCTGGCTCCAGCAAATTCCAATTTTAAAGATAGTAAACTTGTACATTTGAAGAGGCTGAGAAATGTGAATCTATAGATATATTAAAATGTATCTGTCCCCAATATAAACAAAAAGGATAGTGGCGTTATCCAGTGTAGATGGACGCTCTAAATAATGCGCTCCCAGTAACCATTATTTGCTTTCAGGTAAAAGTCATGAAAATGACCCAAACAGGACAGATGCTGCAACCCACGCACGCCGCCTCCCGCAGAGCCCTTCCCTAAGCCGAGCAGCCTCCTTCGGCCTTGCTGCATTCCCAGTCAGCACTGAGCAGTCGCACATTCTGGAAAGGATTCAGTGTAGATATTGCATTTTCTTATTTTTTAAAATAAGAGACAACACTTTAAAAAGGCAGACTAGAAATATTTTAACTTTTTTCTGAATCAGCCCTGATGCTGAAGAGAATGCCCCTCGCTACAATAAATGTTGGGTTTTACACTGCAATGCAGGAACCCTCAAAAAGGAGAAATGGTTTAATAGAACTTTAAATATATAATTGTTTTCTTTTTCTTTTTTTTGGAGAAGTTTTTGCCATATGGTGTGTGTGCTCACCAGAAAGACAGATAGAGACAAACTGACAGAAAGCAAGAAATCACCCTCTAGGGGAGATGGCCGCACTGCAATCCCTTCTCCTCCATTCTCTTGGGATTTTGGGCATGCACACACACACACCTGCCATGAGTTTAAGCCACCAGGTCTGGGACTTGAACCACAGTGGACTACATGGGAGTCCAGAGACAAAGCTGGGCCTGCTTTTTCTTTTTTTTTAAGTTTGCTATAGGGTGTGTGTGTTCACCAGAGACAGAGAGGGAGAGAGAGAGAAAGTGAGAAATCATCCCCTAGAAGATGGCCAAACCACAATCCCTTTTCTGCTCTCTTATCGGGATTTTGGCCTCGGGTTGGGGACTTGAACTGCACAGTAGGCCATGTGGGATCCAGCGCCCCAACCACCATGCCATCTGGCTGGCCCTTAATATATAATCTTTACCAAAATCCTCATGAGACTCACCTCTGTCTGCACCATCCCATGTCTTTGTAGTCTCATGCATCGCACTAAGTCAGAGATGTCGAACTGCACGAGGAAACAGTGCATGTTAGATAAAAGGGTGACTGAATTCGAACCCCAGAAAGAGCACAGAGGGGTGGCTTCTCTACCCCATTCTTCTTCCCCTTCTAGTGGTTTTGGGAAACTGTCCTGGACAAAATAACTTGGTAAAATGACTTATTCCTCATTTGGCATTTTTGCTTTTGATCTTTCAAAGAATTAGGAAGGCTATTCTGTTTGAAAATTCCTAACCAAAATTCTCCTTCTCCTGAAATTTGACTAATTTCTAATATTACATTTAACCCTCCTCCCCCAATAAAAAAACAATGTAAACTATTGAATGTCGGAAAAAGCATGATGTATTTTGCTACGTTTTTCTAGGCAAAAATACATCATGACTTTTCTGACAATCCAATATCATCCTATACTTTGCTTTTCAGAATAAAATTCCAGACCTTTTCATTTTAGCTGACAGTTAAGTTTGAAACAAGGGAGAAATAGACTGGTTTTATCCTACTTAAATTATTAGAATAGTCATAATAATGCCTGAAGTGCAAGATAGAACAACTTAAACTAAAATCCTTTCAAAGGCATGATTTTAATTATTTTATATACTACATATAGTAAGATATTCTAGCATTTTTTTGAGACAGAGTTTTTAGAGAATTATTTATTTATTTAATTCCATTTGTTATTATTATTTTTTTAAATTTGACCAGAGAAAGGGAAAGTGAGAAAGCAAGCTGCCAGGTCCTTGGTCAGCCATGTGGGAATCCAGTGCCCCTAACCACCATGCCACCTGCTGGCCCCCGAGACAGATTTTTGCTATAGGGAACATGTACTCACTGGAGAGACAGAAAGAGAAAGAGAAACAGAAAGCAAGAAATTGCCCCTCCCCCCCCCCGGGGCATGGCCACACCACAATCCCTTCTCCATTCTCCTCTTGGGAATTTGGGCACTCATGCACACATGCCCAGCATGGGTTTTAAGTTGCCGAGTTCAGGGACTTGAACCACAGTTTACTACATGGGAGTCCAGTGACATAACCATTATGCCATCTGCTGGTCCCATGATAGCCTATTATTTGGCCATAATAAAGGAATGAAATACTGATACATGTTACTGTTACAACATGGATCCCCCCAAGGGGGTGTGGCCACACCACAATCCCCCCCACCCCACCCTTTCCATTTCTCCATTATCAGGTTACCGGGCATACACATACTTATTTGGCTGTTTCCCACATCACTGGGGCTAGGATTTAAGCCTCAGTTGGCCATGTGGGATCTGGTTCCCAGTGCACAGAGCTGGGGCTGACTTGATATTAAATCTCATAGAAATAATCTTTTTATTGGTTGTAACTGTCTAGAGATGGATTTTCAGCATGGATTTTCAGCATTAGTTTGTAAAGCAAAAATATACATTTTCCATCCATAGCAACAACAAAATATGAAGGGACTTTAACAAGATCAGAAAAAGTGAAATTAAAGTATGAATTTATTTTGGTGCAAACATTTTTGAAATCTCTACATACGGATTATTTTCATAATACTAATTTTCCATGAATTTTTGAAGACCTCTTATAAAATATTTTTCATTTCAAAAATATATTCTCTTTTGTGCTTCAATATTTCTATCCCTAAAGAGTGCCTTAATAATACTCACTATATATATTATATATATATGTGTGTGTGTGTGTGTGTGTGTGTGTGTGCGTATATACACAACCTTCCTCCCTTCCTCTCTATCTCCCTCCCTTCCTTCTGCACTTGCCTGAGGAAAACAGACTGGGAGAAAGCCTCGCCCTGGGGTATGGAAAAAAAATCACCCCCTAGGGGGATAGCCATGCTGCAATCCTTTCTCCTCCATTCTCTTCTTGGGATCTTGGGCACGCATACACACATACCCCGTGTGAGTTTAAGCCACCGGGTCCAAGACTCGAACCGCAGTCGACTACATGGGAGTTTAGCGACATAGCCATTATGCTAACTGCTGGTCCCTGCATAAGCGACTTATTTTAAACACATGCTTACAAAAAAGACTTGGCATGAGGGTGGCAGGTAGTGTGGTGGTTAGGGTACTGGACTCCCAAATGACTGATCACAGTTCGAGTCCTGGACCTGGCAGCTTGCTTTCCTACTTTTACTCTCTTCCTCTTTCTATCACTGGTCAAAAAAATGATAATGAACAAAATCAATAAAATAATTATTAAAAAAAGACCTGGTAAATAAATACACATTTGAAGTATTATTTCTTTTTGATTACAGCCTATGTAGTTTTGAATAACAGTGTTTACTAAGATACAACTCCATGTAATAAGAAAATAAAGGCATATCAACAGATAAATTTTTTAAAAATCTCAAGGTCATAATGCATTATTAAAAATTAGATTCTGGGGGCTACAAGTGGCATGGTTTTTAAGGTGCTGGACCCCCACATGGCAGACCTTGTGGCTCAAAAATCACACTGGGTGCATGTACATGTATGCCCAAAATCCTGAGAGGAGAATGGAGGAGATGGGATTGCAGCATGGCCATCCCTCATAGTGGGTGATTTCTCGCTTTCCTTCTCTCTGTCTCTTTCCAGTAAGTGCAGGTGCACTATGACAAAAAAACTAAAAATAAATAATATTTTAAAAATTAGATTCCATCACTATTTCTGAGAAAACACTCATTCAGCCTTGTACTCACATCAAGATCTTGACCGATTAATCCCAGAACCACATCGATGCATATCAGAGTCCCAGACCGCCCAATGCCAGCGCTGCAGTGTGTGACGATGGGGCCCGACCGATGGATGTGCCTCATGTAGGAGATGAACGTGAGCAGGTCATCCGGCTGGGATGGCGTGTCATGGTCCGGCCAGGCAGTGAAATTCAGATGGGAAATGTGCCGTACCTCTCCTGTCTGAAATTGCACAACAGAATCCGTAGATAATGCCATATTCCACTATTCACATATAACACAAAACGTGTTACATTATTTCATCCTTTCAACTTTCGACTTGTTCATTGGATCAAACCAAAGGAAAAATAAGAGACAGACTCTATTGAGGAACACATGAAGGGCCTTTATCAAGAAGGTTGCTAGATCCACATTTAAAAATATTGGTAAAAACTACTTTCTGGAAGCCTAAAAACAAACTATACTTTGATATGAATAGCAACATTTTTGGTGATCCCATTCCAAATTCATTGTAGATAAAAGTCAGAGTTGCTTCAATAGCCTCACAGCTCTAAATACAATGGCCCTATTTCTTCACATCCAATCATCTCCTCTTCCCCCCACGGCCATTATCTTCAGCTCCATACCCATCTCTGTGGCCCTTAAAATACACGGGGCACATTTGGTCTCGGACCTTTGCACGTGCCCTTCTGACTGGAGTGCTTTCTCTCTTAAGCAACCCTTCATGGCTCACTCAACTCTACAGTTTTCCCAAATGCCACCTTCTTAGGCCTCCCCCGATTCTCTGTTGAAAACTATAACATGTCTCCTGTTCTTGCCCAACCAACTGTCCTCTCCCCTTTCTCCCCCACAGTACTATTAACGCTAGCACCCTCTCATTAGACGCCAAGCTCTATGAGGTCAGAAATTTCTTTTTGTGTTAACTGCTGAATCCCCAGAGCCCACAGTAGGGCTTCGGCGCTATAAATGTGTGGATTACATGAACAAAACTTTAGAGGACTGCTGAACGATTGTGCCAGCCTAAGTAATACATAAACTGGTGTGAATGAATAAAGAGGGATGACCCTCAGTTATTTGTAAAGTCACAAATCAAAAATCATGAGGGAAATTCTCAGACTATATTTATAGACACCAAAAGATTTGAATTGATTAGCTTTATTTCTATAAAAGAAAAATCACTCTCTTTTTAAAAGAAAATGTAACCTCCAATAGGAAACATGTGCCTCACACCTAGCTAGGCTTACTGAGGGAGGGCTATTGAAGGTGAGTGTGGGAGCTGATGGAGTGGCAGCAGCTTCACTTACGGTAAGAACACCTACCTAATCTGAGCTCAGTTTACTGAGGGCTGAGGTGACTGCGGCAGGAATGAGCTGAATGGCGTGCTTATACTCCATTGTCCATGTATACCTAAGTACGTTAACTTGTCTTTATGAGGACATATTTTCTACTTAAAGATCTTTTAAAAGCGTTTTAATGGTTCTATTTAAAGGTTTCATTTTTTTTTTTTTGAGAGGTTTTTGCTATAGGGCGCGTGCACCCGCCAGACAGAGACAGAGAGATAGAAAGCGAGAAATCACCCCCCAGAGGGGATGGCCACGCCGCAATCCCTTCTCCTCCATTCTCCTCTCAGGATCTTGGACACACACACACACACACACACCCACACACGCGCCTGGCGTGAATTTAAGCCACTGGGTCCGGGACTCGCACCGCGGTCGACTACATGGGAGTCCAGAGACATAGCCATTATGTTAACTGCTGGTCCCAAGGTTTCAATTTTTTTTAAAACGAGTTTTCAGCATGTAGCTTCTGTGCCATTTTGGACAGGATGATGGATGATTGTGTTAAAAGTCCTGCATTTTCATTTTCATTTAACACAGTATACACTAGAAGAAACTACTTGGAAAAATTCATTACAAGAGTTGTGTTTAAATTTAAACTAGACAAAAAAGAACAGGCGGCATTAGTTCCATTGCAGTGGGGACCAGGAAATCACCGGCTTTTATCCAGATATAATTGCACTGGTGCAATCATGGAAAGCTGGGCTCCAATTAGGAGCTAGCCTTACTAAACAGAAAGATCTACTCACTTACCTGAATGTCTTCTAGGGTCATGGCCCTCACCACAAAGCCCTTCAGCTGCTGCAGCCTTTCGAGAGCCAGCCGAAGCCTGTCATTGACCATGGTCGTTGTGCCGAGGATGTTAGGCCAATAGCGCTGGCATTTGATTTTTTCTCCTTCTACTTCTTGGGTCATCATGGCTATTACTGTGGATTTTTGTTCCCAAATCATCTGCCAGAAATCCCCCACAGTTGTAGGGAGAGGTCCTTGGCAGGCAATGTAAACGAACTCTTCTCTCCCCACTGGTATCTTTATAAAGCTGGCATTGATATATCCACCATCATCTCCAAGAGGTACCCTTGTGGCATCATCTGTGAATTCCCAACACAAAACAGAGCCGTCCATCTCATGTGCTTTGAAACAAGAGTCTTACAAATGGAGTGAGCTAAAGATCATGAGAAATTCCTCGTAACCATAGATGAAATTGCAAACACATATTTTGATAAAATTTTTGTTCATGGGACCAGCAGATGGCATAATGGTTATGCCATTGGACTCGCAGTGGCTGACCATGATTTGAGTCCCAGATTCGGTGGCTTATAACTCATGCCGGACATGTGTGTGTGCAAGTCCAAAATCCCGAAAGAAGAATAGAAGAGAAGGGATTGCGGCATGGCCATCGCTCCCCAGGGGGTGATTTCTTGCTTTCTGTCTCTCTAGCAAGCACATGTACCTTATAGCAAAAATCTCTCTCTAAAAAAAATAATAAAATTACATTTTTACTTTGTAGCATGGTCAGATTATTTTACTCTTCTTGCACATTCATGTTACAACTATGTTTAAGATGTCAATGAGTTTCTGACATAAAATTTGGTATTTGATAGTTGTATAGATTTGGGTGAATAAATGAAAATTCATAAATTATAAAAGCATTTAGAACTTTTTGATTAATAACTAGAGAAACAAAAAGAATTTGGTACTTTATCATTATTTTAATGATAATGACAATACCGAATGACAATGCCAAAATCACACACACACACACACACACATTATTTTTTTTTAAAGAGGTTTTACTTTGCCTTAGGGTGCATTCATTCACCAGAGAGAGAGAGACAGAGACAGTGAGAGGAAAAATGAGAAATCACCCCCCAGGAGGAATGGCCATGACACAATCCCTTCTCCTCTATTCTCTAGGAATTTTGGGCATGCACGCACATGTGCCCAGCGTGATTTTCAAGCCACCAGGTCTGGGACTTGAATTTCAGTTGGCCAGTGATGTAACCACTATGCCATCTGCTGGCTTCCATGTATATATTTCATATTGCCAGACTGTGCTCATTAGAGATACACACACAGAGGAAGAAAGATGGAAAGCAACCCCCAGTGGATATGGTCACACTGCAATCCTTTTTCCTCCCTTTTTTCATTTTATCAGGATTTTGGGACTACGGGTATGTCCCATACTAGAGTATACACTATGCATGTAAGCCCAGTGTGGGGGGTTGGGGTTTGGACCACAGCTGGCCATGTGGGATCTGGCTCCCTATGCCCGTGGTGCTTAACCACTGTGCCCCAACATTTTTATAGAACAAAGATTATTATAGCTATTAAAGGACTTAATGTAAATATTTTGGTATAATTAACTCCTGCTCGCTGAAAAAATTAAATATTAATATTTTAATTAATAAATAAAAAATAGGCAGTTAAAACAATAAACACAATAAATAAAAGGGCAGCTCATTTTATTCTCTAGCCATATAGCTCCTTATATTTGTGTAATTATAATTTCTTTTCACTTTATTATTTTTTTTGGAGAGGTTTTTGCTATAGGGCTTGTGCGCTCGCCAGAAAGAGAGAGACATAGAGACAGAAAGTGAGAAATCACCCCCCAGGGGGGATGGCCACACCACAATCCCTTCTCCGTTCTCCTCTTGGGATCTTGGGCACACATGCACACGCGCCCGGCATGAGTTTTTAAGCCACCGGCTCTGGGACGCAAACCGTGGTCTACTACATGGGAGTTCAGCGACATAGCCATTACGCTAACTGCTTGTCCCTCACGTTTTTGTTTTGAAAGAGAGATTTTTGCTATAGGGCATGTGTGCTCACCAGATACACAGAGAGGCAGAAAGTGAGAAATCACTCCTCAGGCAGAATGGCCACACTTCAGTCCCTGTTCCTCCATTCTCCTCTTGGGATTCTGAGTATGCATGCACTTGAGCCTGGCTTAAGTTTTAAGCCACTGGGTCCAGGACTCGAACCATGGTTAACTATGTGGGAGTCCAGTGATGTAACCATTATACCATCTGCTATTCCCACCTTCTTTAAATTTTTTTTTATTAGAGAGATTTTGGCTATAGGGCACATGCACTTCCCAGAGAGACAGAAAGCGAGAAATCTCTCCCCAGAGGAGATGGCCACACTGCAATCCCTTCTCCTCCATTCTCCTCTTGGGATTTTGGGTATGCACACACACATGCCCAGTGTGAGGTTTAAGCCACAGGTTCCAAGACTTGAACCACGGTTGACAATGTGGGAGTCCAGTGACATAACCATTACACCATCTGCTGGTCCTCTTTGTAATTATAATTTCTTATAGTCAAAACATATATTTTTTTTCTTGGAGAGCTTTTTGCTATAGGGCATGTGTGCTTACCAGACAGACAGAGACAGAGAGACAACGAGAAATCACCCCCCGGGGGAATGGCCATGCTGCAATCCCTTCTCCATTCTCCTCTTGGGATCTTGGGCACATATGTACATGCGCCCGGCGTGAGTTTTAAGCCACCGGGTCCGGGACTTGAACTGCAATCGACTATATGGAGTCCGGCAACATAGCCATTACGCTAACTGCTGGTCCCTTAAAATTTTTTAATAATAGGTTCCAAAATCCTCCATCAATTGCTCTTTTTACTTGACTTCTCTTAGTCCATACATAGTCATTTGTTTCATAAAGATAAATCAGCTCATTAGTTTTGGACTATGGCTTGTCTCATTCTGAGATATTTGGCCATTTGGTTTTATTGGCCTAAAAAACCCCTATATAGTTTATGCTGTGTCATAATCTACTCCATTTTAAGAATACTATCTAAGATTTTTCTTATAGGAAGCTTTTGTAAATGCATTTTGTGCCTTCCATCTGGAGTGGAAAAATTCAGTCACACCATTACTCAGCCCATTATCTGTCACTATTGGTTTTGTTATTTATCTTGGGATTTCCTGGTAAAGACAGAGTCAGTGTATCATATACTCTAATGCAAAGTGCTCATATATATAAATGTGGCTATCGATAACTAGAAGTTGCTAAAGGCTAACATTTTGGCTATACAGATATAATCATACATAATTAAAAAAACATATTGTTAATTGGTGAAGTGGGCAATAAATAGGTAATAATAATTGCTTTTATTTTCAGGACCAGCAGATGGCATAAATGGTTACACCAGTGGACTCCCTCCCACATAGTCAACTGTGGTTCGAGTCCTGGACCTAGTGACTTAACACTCACACTGGGTGCATGTGTGTGTGTGCCCAAAATCCTGAGAGTAGAATGGAAGAGAAGGGATTGTGACTTGGTCATCACCTCCTGGGGGGTGATTTCTCACTTTCTGTCCCTCTGTTTCTTTCTGACATTCTGACAAGCACACACACCTTAAAGCAAAAATCTCTCTGAAAAAAAAAGGGAGAATACATTGTGGCCATCCCTGTTGGGAGCATGATTTCTCACTGTCCCATTCTCTGTCTCTCTGGCAATCGCAGGTGCTCTATGGCAAAAATCTCAACAACAACAGCAATAAAATTAAAATTAAGATTTAAAATGAATTATTTGGCATTAATTTCTAATACTGTGCTAGTAAAAAACTAGTAATATCTTAACAAATATTTAAAATTACTATCACTGATTTTCAGAATACACATAATTTAAAAGAGAATTCAGTCTATACCTAAATTTATTCGCTTCTGATGTAAATCTCCGAATGTGTCCATATGTACATGCTCATTTCAGAAATAGATAAATTAAACTACCATAATAGCTTTAAATAATTTCAAATTATTCTCAACACACGTTCCATGTGAAGTCAAATTAAAACTTACAAGGAAGTATATTTTTATATCTGTTCTTTTTTCTGTTTTCCTTAGTTTGTCCAATTAGACACTGATCCAAAGGTTTTAATTCTTGAAGATTCTGTAAGCAAAAAAATGGAAATAATATTAAATATGTTAAGAGAAGCAGCAGTTCAGTAATAACTATAAATGCTTTAAATGTGCAAGGTGCAAAATTGGCTGGTCAGGACTGACTTTTGAGTGTTAAGTAAGAGATTTCCTAATTAGGCCTAAAATCAGCACTGGTTTGATAAACCAGGGTTGAAATGTGTTACTGCCAAGTATCTTAAATTGAACATGCTGCAGTCAACTAACCTTATGAGATAGTGCTTGTGTCTTTTAGGTTGAGTACGAAAATGTGTATAATTCTATTTGAGAAAAAAATATGACTTATAAAACAACTTTAGCTTAAAGTAATGAGCTAGAACACAATTTCTTGATAGCATTGTTGCGGGTCATAGAATATTCTATGTGGTAGTGTTGTGGTCAGATAGTCCTGTATTCTCTTCTTTTTAATTGTCAGAGGGTCTATGGCCCTTGCTGGAGGCGGGGGTGATGGGCGAGAGAGAGAGAGAGAGAGAGAGAGGAGAGAGAGGAGAGAGAGAGAAGAGAGAGAAGAGAGAGAGAGAGAGAGAGAGAGAAAGCATCCCCTCATTGGGTGTGGTTATGCTACAATCCTTTTTTCTCCATTTTTCCTTCCCATCGGGATTTTGGGCAAACATGTACATGGGTCCAGTATGTTCTTCAAGCCACTGGGGTCAGGATTCTAACTGCTGTGTATGTGGGATCCAGCTCTCCTAACCACTGTGCTATGGGGCGGGCCCATTCCTATGTTTTAAGTCAGCTTTTCCTTTTCAGTAATTCACTCACTCAAAACATATAAAATGAATGCCTACTGTATGCAAGGCATGGAATACAGTGGTGAGCAAGAAGACAGGATTCTGGCTCTCACTGTGATAGCCCGTTGCAGGAAAGAGGTAATAAAACAGTAAACAAACAAAACTGTAACATATGCCTGGAAATTAATAAGCAAAAGTTAATATGCTGCTCTAATAGAGAAAAGTGAAGATCTATGTTTTTAAAAAAATTTTTGCCAGAGTCACATGTGCTTAGCAGAGATAGAGAAAAAGTGAGAAAGCACCCCTGATTGGGAATAGTAACACTACAGACCCTTCTCCTCCATTTCTCTCTCCTCTCAGGATTTTGCACACACATGTACACATACTGGTGTGTTTTTCAAGCCACTGGATCTGAGACTTGGACCACAAAGTCAGTCATGTGGAATCCAGCCACCCTGACCTAGGAAGATCTACATTTTAAGGGTGTGGTAGAAGGTCTCTGATGGTTACAATGAAATCTGAGACCTTAAAGAAATAATTTCTGTAGAATCAAGATTTGGGGAAAGGAGGGGTTGGTTCACCTTAATTACTGTGAGCTACAGTTCCAAATCTATTGGGTTGTCGGAAAAGTCATGATGCAGTTTTGCATAGAAAAATACATCATGACTTTTCTGACAACCCAATATATAATGGAATTAACGTTTTGAGATGTATATACAAAGTAATGAACATACAGCAAAAGCTCTTGGTAAAATTAGCTTCTTTGAGTGGCTACGTAGCTCAGGAGGTGGCTGATAGTTTGAGGGAGAGAAATGATGTCAACCCCAAACCACAGCGTGCTACATTTCTTCTCTGTGTCACGATGATCATGGATGTACCATGAGACCACAGGAGCAAGAGCTCTGAGCCATGGCTGCTGTGAACTGGGTGCACATTCGTGAGCTGGATTAAATTGCAACCTGCTGTTCTTGAAGAATTAAGTGGTTTAGTGGATGGTTGGATTTGATACTTGACTCTTTCTTCTCTAATTCATATTTTTTATCCTTACATATGAGGCAGGGAGAATATATTTAGAGAAATTCATTGGGCTCCAAGTAGCTAATGTGATACTTTTTAATCAATGCCATCAGGATTCTAGTTAGAAAAATGAATTATTTGCTAGATATAAGATGGTGCTTTTATAGTTGAGAATAGTTAACTACAGGTAGAATTGGGAAATAATAGCTGCTTTCAAATTTTCCAAATTACTCCTAACTTTGGTCTAGTAGACATATTTTTTCTTAAAATCAATATATACACTTTGGGGAAAAAACATTGGCAGAAGTAATTTACCTCCAGCTCCTTAGAAGGAATTCCTTGATCTAGCAAACCCCGCAACATTCGAATGACTGATTTCAACTTGGATCCAGAGTACTTGCCAGAGGGAAGTACTTTCACCACAGGGAGTGCAGCAATCTCCTCGTTGGTCAAAAAGGGATGATCTAACAGGAAGACAGCAATAGATACTTTGAAAAAACATTTTCAGTACCAATTTAACCAATAAGTGAACTAATTTGAGCCTATTCTTGCCTCATTTATTTTTTACAAAAGGAAGAGTCTTTAACTAGGAGAATTAATAAGGCAATAGAATTAGTAGCTAGGCTGATTATTACAGTCACCACAGACAGGTATTTGCCATAGCAAGTCTCTTGTAGCCAACTTTTAAGGAAACACCTGTCTACTCAGTTCTTAGGGCTCTAAATAAATGACAGCATCTAAAGGAGTTTACATGGTTTCTTTTTGCTTCTCTTGACTCGACTGGCACTGTTTCAATAAGGAAAATGTTATCTGGTCCTGTTATGGTCGGCCATGTAGGAATCCAGAGCCTTAATCACAATGCCACCTGTTGGCCCTGAAATAACTGCATTTTACAGAAACAAGAGTGAAGATCGTGGGAGCTGAAGATAGTGGATGGCTGAACCTGGGTTACTGGAGTCCACAGAACTGTATGCACACCAACAATCTGCCTAAGACAAACACATATTCACTTTGTTAATTTTGTCTAAAAAACTAAAACTTCAAATGGTAAACCATGTTCTCTGAAGGCATCAGTAAAATATTTCCTTATGTAAGAGAACTGAAACACTGGCTAAAAGCTCATTTTTCTACTTCTTCAGTTGTCCAATGGAAAGGCAGTATTAGTAGGACAGACCAATTGAATCTAGTTCTCAAAAGATGAGGTTGGGATTCAAGGGTAATAATAATTCTCTACCTTTCAGCTATTCACCTATTTTACTATAAATAAAAAGTGCTCGTGCCATTCGAGAATGGCAAGATCGTGACTTTGTAGTATTTAAAGTACATATACAGTTATGTGCATTTTGTTCCTCCTAGCCGCTGAGAGTTTATGGCAACCACTGCATGAATAATCTGGTTATATAAATAAATGTTGCTGTTTGTCAATGTGATTAACTTTACGTATGAAGCCAAATGATATAGACATATGGTGAAATGACATCTATATATTTTGAAGGCTGTTATTTTTAAACACATATTTTTTTCTATTCATTGTTTTCAGAGGAAAAACTGCTAGTAAAATTCTTGCCTTTATCAGGATCCTCATGGTCTATCGTCTGTATTGGCAGTTCTCCACTCCCCCACGTTACCTCGTCACCATCAGTCTTCCTTTCTTGTGACTTCGGAATTAAGCTAGAACTACAGAACACATTTGTAGTATTTTCTTCATTTTTTGCCTCCCCAAAAAACTTAAATATTATGGCCCTGAACCACTTATTTCTTCTCAACAATTATTATAGTATTTTGAAATAGATTGTTTAATAATAATAATAATAAAAACATAGTTCTTTTTTTTTTCTTCCATGAGAAAGAGAGAGGCAGAGAGCAAGAGAGACAGGCACCTTCAATAGGGTCCTCATGCCATGACCCACCCCCAACTCCGGCTGGTCCAGATCGCTGGCACGCATGCTCAGAGACATTTCAGGACAGGAACCCAGGAACTTTCCCACATGACCCAGTTCATTACCACTGTGCCACCAACTGGGCCCCATAATTCTTAGCACTTATTGGTAAATGTAAATTGAACTGAGATGTAGAACCATTTAATACAGTTTAAAATTTATCCGCAACTAGATCCCAAGTCTTTGAACCTCTGGCTGAAGGAGTCTCTTTGAGGATGGAGAAGGTGGTGGCTTTGTTTCTATCCTTCACTGCAGAGGAGTGACTGCAATTGTGCTTCCACTGGAACAGAGGAAATCATCCACCATAAACGCAGCTTAATTGCTGCCCTGTTACTGACATTTTTGGAATGTCAGTCCTTGTCCTACTTTAATGGTCTATTACTGTCATCAGACAAAAGAACTCTGCTTTGTCGCTCCAAGTATCAGAAAGTGAAAAGTGTATCCAAGCTCTTATATGACCCTTTTTCATTTTGGCTTAGCACTAAATACTATTCTCCTACTTAGTTTCTTTTTTCTAGCATCCACCTCACTAGGGATGGTTCCTGCTATACATTCCTAGAACTAGTACTGAGTTCCATTATACTGAGTTCCCAGACACGGCAGTGTCTTTCTAACTTTCAGCTATAGCAAATGACTTAGCTCACCAGTAGAGATTTCTTTAAACAAATTAAGGTATGTGCATACGATGTGATAGTGGGCAGCTGCTGAAAAGAAGCAACAATTTTTATGACCTTCATCGTTCTTAGGCACAGATTGTATAACATCGATCATTATAATTGTATGGCCCTTCGTGTGTTTAGAGATGTTAAAACAAAAAAGTGCATCCAAGAACTAGTAATATGTAAAAGTTTTTTCAGTTTAATAGTGTTTCCAATCGCCCACCAAAGAGACTGCAGTACTTTATGTTTCCTTTTTCCTCCCTCTCTCATTGCCCAAAGTATAAGAGATGCCTATTTGCTGATACCTTCCTTTTTGGATATTTGTTAATTATAAGAAATAAAACTGTATTTATTTCTCCATTAATAATATATATCCGTTTATCTACCTTGGTCAAAAATTCACTCTCAATTTTCCTTTCTGGGAAAATGTAAATAGCTCCTTTGACCATCTGATTATCGTCTAATATGAAGTGAAATTTATGTGCAGTCACTTTGTTGACCAACAATATACATAACCTTTCCCTGATATACAGTGTTACCAAAAAAAATCTTATTTTCTATTACAAATTGTTTTCAAAAATAAATTTTTTGTGGTGTTATAAGAAGTTCCTTATCCCTTTTATTTTTGGAGAGGCTTTTGCTATAGGGCGCGTGCATTCGCAAGAAAGACAGACACAGAGAGATAGAAAGTGAGAAATCGCCGCCCAGGGAGGATGGCCATGCCACAATCCCTTCTCCCCCATTCTCCTCTTGGGATCTTGGGCACGCATGCACACGGGCCTGGTGTGAGTTTAAGCCACTGGGTCTGGGACTCAAACCGCGATCAGTTACATGGGAGTTCAGCAACATAGCCATTATGCTAACTGCTGGTCCCAGTTCCTTATCTCTTTGTTTTCCTTTTTTCATGAATGAAAATTAAAAATTTGGGAAAAATAGAAAAAAGTAAAAAAAAAAATTACTATCATCCTAGCAGAAGAAGGCAGTCATTATCATCACTGTTGACATTTCCTTTGGGAATGTCACAGTTAAGAGATTATTGGGTTTTTTTTGAGCAATGATAAAATAAACATACTTTCACAAGTCACTAGAACCTCTTTATGACAAAAAGAATTTAAAGCATTCTTGATATTCAACTATTGTTTCATAATTTACTCAATAATTTCATTTTATTGGGAAACAAATGGAAATCTTCAGAGCATTTTTTTCAAAAAGAATAGAAACATTATAGACATTTTCAAAAATGATCTCACCTTTCACTTTTTAATCTTTCTTCACAATATTCTTCACAGCCATTCACTTTGGCAGACTGCAATAAAAATAAATCAAAATAAAATTAGCCCATTTGTAAAAAAAACCCAATCGATTTCATGTTTAATTTTTTCTATGATTCGATTTCATATTTTACTATCATTGTTTATCCTCATATTAGAAAGACACATATGACATTCAATTAATATGCTCCAATCAATGACTTAGGTGTCTTCAGTGGCTTAACAGTTTTTGCTGGTTCCACTTATCTATGTTCATATCCATCTTGGCTTTTCATCTTTTTATTTTTTTTTTCAAATTTGCAAGAAGGAGCATACACTCACGAGGGATGGGGCAACAGGGAGAGAGAAAGTGAGAAAGTACTCCTCAACTCTATGGGAAGAAGAGATCAACAAATTTAAAGAGCTTGAAAAAAAGACTCATGGATTTGGGACCAGCAGTTAGTGTAATGGCTATGTTGCTGGACTCCCATGTAGTTGACCGCGGTTCGAGTCCCGGACCCGGTGGCTTAAAACTCATGCTGGGTGCATGTGTGTGCGTGCCCAAAATCCTGAGAGGAGAATGGAGGAGAAGGGATTGTGGCGTGGCCATCCCCTTTGGGGGATGATTTCTTGCTTTCTGTCTCTCCGTCTATGTCTGTCTGGCTGGCGAGCGCTATAGCAAAAACCTCTCAAAAAAAAAAAAAAAAGACTCATGGATTTGAAGTTTATTGAGTGAAGGGGAGATTGCAGAAGTAGTCAGGGGCCTTAAAACAAAAGAAATTTCTCATTTTTAAAAATACTCTGTCCTGATAAAGATTGACGTATATAATTTACTAACAATTTAGGAATACGAGTTGACATCTCTTCGTAATTGTAACAGATTGTGCCTGCTATGGTTATTGGATCTGTGAAACACTGTATTCCTCATGTGAACTGATTAATTTCTGATAATAAAAAAGGCAAGATGACACATTTGAAACTACTAAAAAATTTTTTAAAGGTTTTTGCCATAGAGTGTGTGCTTGCCATTGAGAGAGACAGTGAGAGGGAAAGTGAGAAATCAACCCCACATGGGAATGGCCATACCACAATCACTTCTTTTCCACTCTCCTCTTAGGATTTTGGACACACAGGCACATGTACCAGCGTGTTTCTCAAGCTGCTGGGTCTGGGACTCAAACTGCACGGTTGAACATGTGGGATCCAGCTCCCTACCCACTAGGCCTCAGAGCTAGCACAGAAAACCTTTTTCAAGGAGTCTATTGTTATAATTCTTAATATTCTGATGATGTGAAAGAACATCTTAAATAAACTCACTAGAGAATGCTGCATCTTGAAATATCCAATATTTGTATAATAACTTTTCTAGATTAAGAAATATGTACTTGGGACCAGCAGTAAGCGTAATGGCTATGTTGCTGGACTCCCATGTAGTTTGAGTCCCAGACCTGGTGGCTTAAAGTCATGCTGGGTGCGTGTGTGTGTATGCCCAAGATCCCGAGAGGAGAATGGAGGAGAAAGGATTGCAGCGTGACCATCCTCCCTGGGGGGGTGATTTCTTGCTTTCTGTCTCTGTGTCTTTCTTTCAGGCGAGTGCACGCACCCTACAGCAAAAATCTCTCCCAAAAAAGAAAAGAAAAATATCTACTCAACAATATAAGCTTCTACACACACACATACCCACACACACACACATTAATGATTTATAAATGTTTAATGAACAATCATGTGTATATAAGATTGTGTGAGCACATGCATGCATAGTAACTGTTAAAACAGCATTGTTTTGACAGTTTTAAAGATGTGACGTAGGAAAGCTAAGGATAGTGAGGGAATTACTCTAAACACTGAGCAAGATCAGGTTTATATAAATAAAGATGATGCTGAGTTTGAGGAACATTAACTATTTCATGCTTTTTCTGAACTCAATGTCCCAGAGATCCAATTTTAGTTTTTCCATAAGAATTTGAAAAGCCTGCCATTACATTTTGAAAGCTAATTCTTCCTCTTTTTCCTTCTTCTTCTAAATCTGAGGCATCTGAATAGTGATTCTTTCACTGGGACAGGACGGCACTTTAATGTAACAAATTACATTAACCTGTTTTCCCCTCAATGTAATTTTCCAGTGAAAAAGCAACAAGCTCTTATTATTTCATCTTCTGAGTTAAACAGAAATCTACCAAGGTATAGCATCCTTGGCTGGTTATGCAGGTATAATCTTACCTCAGTGAAATCCTCAGGTAAAGGTGAACCATCACAGTCTGTGTCCTCTGCTCGCTCTTCTGATAACTTGCCATTTGTCCTTAATGTGTCTGGAATAGAAACATGAGCAGCAGAAAAGCTTTCATTTACCTTCAAAGAAGGCATGAATGGACCCCTATCCTAATGGTTTCAATGTTCTAACTAAAACAGTTAGGTATAAACATTATGGGACATGTCAGTATAAAATTTTTGGTTAAACTTATCTACTAAAATTGCAATGCATTAAGAATGGCTTAGTGGGACCAGCAGTTAGCGTAATGGCTATGTTGCTGGACTCCCATGTAGTCGACCACGGTTCGAGTCCCGGAACTGGTGGCTTAAACTCACGCTGGGCGTGTGTGCATGTGTGCCCAAGATCCCAAGAGGAGAATGGAGGAGAAGGGATTGCGGCGTGACCATCCCCCCGGGGGGTGATTTCTCGCTTTTTGTGTCTCTGTCTCTCTCTGTCTGTCTGGCGAGCGCATGCACCCTATAGCAAAAACCTCTCCAAAAGAAAAAAAGAATGGCTTAGTAATGGGGCCAGCAGATGGCTTGGTGGTTAGAGGTGCTGGACTCCCACATGGCCAATCACAGTTCGAGTCCCAGGCCTGGCAACTTGCTTTGTCATTTCTATGCTTGCTTGCATGTGTGCACTCTTTCTCTCTCTGGTCAAATTTAAAATAAATAAATAAATAAAAACTAAACAAACCATTGTAAAAGAAAAAAGAATGGCCTACTATCAATTGGGTTAAATATTTGAACTAACATTTCTAAAAGTAAAAGCAATGATGTTAATTATATGTTTTGAGATCTCACCAACTCACCCGCCAGTATGGGAACAAAAAACCCAGTTGATAATAAATTCTACTTTATTTCTGATATTTTGCACCAATGGAGAATATAGGAAGATGCTAATTTATTTTGCATTTGCTCAAAAAATATTCCCTAGAAGATATCCTAGTATTTCTAAGTGTATCAGTTTATTAATCTGGTTCACCCACCCGCAACACAGGTCTCTCCTGCCACATTATTTTGGTGTAAAAGGTTCTGGGCTTCCTCGTCTACGACATCCAGCAGAGACTGAATAACTTCAGCTTCTTGAGGATCATCATAAATGTCATCTTCTTGTATTTCAGATTCTTGAAAAACAAAACAAAAATTTATAATTTACAGGGAGTGCTTTTTGTTTTAATTTGACTCAGCACTTGCTGAATGGAGACAGAGGGAGAAAGAGAGATGGAAAGTGAGAAAGCACCGCACCCCCACCCCCCTCATGAAGGATGGTCATGCCGCACTCTCTTCTTCTCCAGCTCTTTCTTAGGGACTTCGGGAACACAGGCACACATGCCTGGTATGTTTTTCAAGCCTCCTGGTCTGGTACTTGAACTGCACTATAGGCCATATGGGACGCAGCCACCTTAACCACCACACCCTTGGCTGGCCTGGGACTTGACTTTACTCATATTTTATTTTATTTTTGTAACATGGCTAACAGAAGCACAGAGAATGGCAGGCACATGCAGAGAAAGAAAGAGAGAGCTAATGGGCAGTTCTCTCTCTCTCTCTCTCTCTTTTTAAAAGAGATTTTTGCTATAGAGCACATGCGCTTGCCAGAGAGCTAGATATAGAAGGTAAGAAGCCACCCCCTCCTTCCCCGGGGGATGGCCATGCTGCAATCACTTCTTCTCTATTCTCCTCTCAGGGTTTTGGGCATGCACACATGTGTGCCCGGTATGAGTTTTAATCCACCAGGTCCAGGACTCAAAGCATGATGGACTACGTGGGAGTCCAGCAATGCAATCATCACACCATCTGTCGGTCCCTCTCGCTCTCTCTTTTAAGAGAAGGTTAGTTTATTTTATCTTGCTGTGGAGTGCCTGTGCTTGCCTAAGAGAGGCAGAGAGAGAGAAAGAGAGAAAGTATCCCCCAGGGGGGATGTAGATGCTACAATCCCATCTCCTACATTCTCTTGGGATTTGGGGCATGCATGCGTTCACACATGTGTGTGTCTGACATGTCTTCCAAGCTGCCGGGTCCAGTACTCAAGCAGCACAGTTGACCATGTGGGGCCCAGTTGCTTCAATCACCTCACTGGCTGGCTCCTTAAGGTTACTTTAAAATATTAACACAAAAAGTGTCAAGCAGAATATGCTTATTCTTTTCTTTTCTTTTTCTTTTTTTTTAAATGAGAGAGAGAGAGAACACAGGAGGGAGAGAACACACACAGAAAGAGAGGTATTTTTGACAGTTTCTCAGCTGCTGCAATTCTCTTGCTTCAGCCTCCTAGTTAGCTAGGACCACGCACGTGTACCATTGCGCTCAGCCTGTTTAACGTGGGTCCCCCATGTTGCCACAGCCATTGTTCAGCAATACTCTCCCATTTGTGCCAGTTTGTTTGGGCTGGGTCTTTACATATTATAAACAGCCACTTTGAAAAGCAGCTATGACTAAAAAAGAGGTTATGGTAATGCAACCCAGTCATTTTAACTTCCAGAACTACTCTTGGTGTCATGAAAAAAATACCACGTAAATGCAACTTACAAAGAATAAATTAAGGGACCAGCGCTTAACATAAAGGCTATGTTGCTGGGCTCCCATGTAGTCAACCATGGTTCAAGTCCCAGACTTGCATGCGCTTGCCAGAGAGCTAGATATAGAAGGTAAGAAGCCACCCCCTCCTTCCCCGGGGGATGGCCATGCTGCAATCACTTCTTCTCTATTCTCCTCTCAGGGTTTTGGGCATGCACACATGTGTGCCCGGTATGAGTTTTAATCCACCAGGTCCAGGACTCAAAGCATGATGGACTACGTGGGAGTCCAGCAATGCAATCATCACACCATCTGTCGGTCCCTCTCGCTCTCTCTTTTAAGAGAAGGTTAGTTTATTTTATCTTGCTGTGGAGTGCCTGTGCTTGCCTAAGAGAGGCAGAGAGAGAGAAAGAGAGAAAGTATCCCCCAGGGGGGATGTAGATGCTACAATCCCATCTCCTACATTCTCTTGGGATTTGCGGCATGCATGCGTTCACACATGTGTGTGTCTGACATGTCTTCCAAGCTGCCGGGTCCAGTACTCAAGCAGCACAGTTGACCATGTGGGGCCCAGTTGCTTCAATCACCTCACTGGCTGGCTCCTTAAGGTTACTTTAAAATATTAACACAAAAAGTGTCAAGCAGAATATGCTTATTCTTTTCTTTTCTTTTTCTTTTTTTTTAAATGAGAGAGAGAGAGAACACAGGAGGGAGAGAACACACACAGAAAGAGAGGTATTTTTGACAGTTTCTCAGCTGCTGCAATTCTCTTGCTTCAGCCTCCTAGTTAGCTAGGACCACGCACGTGTACCATTGCGCTCAGCCTGTTTAACGTGGGTCCCCCATGTTGCCACAGCCATTGTTCAGCAATACTCTCCCATTTGTGCCAGTTTGTTTGGGCTGGGTCTTTACATATTATAAACAGCCACTTTGAAAAGCAGCTATGACTAAAAAAGAGGTTATGGTAATGCAACCCAGTCATTTTAACTTCCAGAACTACTCTTGGTGTCATGAAAAAAATACCACGTAAATGCAACTTACAAAGAATAAATTAAGGGACCAGCGCTTAACATAAAGGCTATGTTGCTGGGCTCCCATGTAGTCAACCATGGTTCAAGTCCCAGACTTGGTAGCTTAAACTCACATCGGGGGCATGTGCATGTGTACCCAAGATCCTGAGAGGAGAATGGAGGAGAAGGGATTGCGGCATGGCCATCCCCCTGGTGGATGATTTCTTGCTTTCTGTCTTTCTGTCTCTCTCTGTCTTTCTGGCAAGTGCATGCGCCCTATAACAAAAACCTCTCCAAAAAAAAAAAAAAAAAATTAAAATCGGGCTAGCAGGTAGCATGGTGGTTAAGGGAGCTGGACTCCCATATGGCTGACCGCGGTTTGAGTCTCGGACCTGGCGGCTGGTTTTGTCACTTTCCACCTCTCTCTCTGTTTTTCTCACGCTGGTCAAATTAAAATAAATAAATAAATACAGTTAAATTAAAAAAAAAAAATCAATGTTGGTGACAAACCTTTCCATGAGACATTAATACATCGACGTTAATTTTCTTACATTAAATTGATCTCAAATTATTATTTTGTAAAAGAAATAGAAATAGAAAAGTTATGTTATGGGGTTGGCAGGTGGCTGACATAGTGTTTGAGGTATTGGACTCCCACATGGTGGATAGCAGTTCAAATCCTGGAGCCAGCAGCTTGAAACTCATGCTGGGCTCAAGTGTATGTTTGTTCAAAATCTTAAGAGGAGAACGGAAGAGAAGGTGACTTAAACTCACACCAGGCATGTGTACGTGCATACGCAGAGGAGAAGGGATTGTGGCATGGCCAACCCCTAGCGATAGGAGAACAAACCCAATTTTAAAAATGGGAAGGGCCAGCCCTGTAGCCTCGTGGTGAAGGGAGAGGAATCCCACATGCCTGACTTCGGTCCAAATCCTTGCTCTAGAGTCTTGAAAATTAAGCCAGGCACGTGTGCATGCCCCAAATCCTGACAGGATGGAGACACAGAGGAGAAGGGATGGCAGCATGACCACACCCCAGTGGAGATTTTCTTCCTTTCCCTTTCCTTCTCTGTCTGTTTTAAGCACATGCACCCTCTAGCAATTATTACTAAAAGTGGGCAAAAGATTTGCACTATCACATCACCAAAGACATGCATATCACCAAGAAGTACTTGACAAGATCAGGGAAATAAAAATGAACACAAATGAAATATCTGATGATGCACCACCCATTTCCAGAATGGCTTGAAAACACACAAAGAAAACAGATAGCTCTTAATGCTAGAAAGGTGGTAGGTAACTGGGACTCTCAGGCATTACTGGTAGGACTGCAAAACAGTACATTCACTATGGAAGAGTTTGTTGTTTCTTAAAATTAAAATACACTTACTATATGACCTACCATCACACTTCCAAGTGACATGAAAACTTAAGTGCACATGGGGCTGGCAGGTGGTGTGGTGGTTAAGGGTGCTCGACTCCCACATGGCCGACCATGGTTCGAGTCCTAGACCTGATGGCTTGCTTTCTCACTCTCTCTTTCTTTCTCCATCTCTCTGTTTTTCTCACGCTGGTCAAATTAAAATAAATAAATAAATACAGTTAAATTAAAAAAAAAAAATCAATGTTGGTGACAAACCTTTCCATGAGACATTAATACATCGACGTTAATTTTCTTACATTAAATTGATCTCAAATTATTATTTTGTAAAAGAAATAGAAATAGAAAAGTTATGTTATGGGGTTGGCAGGTGGCTGACATAGTGTTTGAGGTATTGGACTCCCACATGGTGGATAGCAGTTCAAATCCTGGAGCCAGCAGCTTGAAACTCATGCTGGGCTCAAGTGTATGTTTGTTCAAAATCTTAAGAGGAGAACGGAAGAGAAGGTGACTTAAACTCACACCAGGCATGTGTACGTGCATACGCAGAGGAGAAGGGATTGTGGCATGGCCAACCCCCTGGAGGGGTGATTTTTCACTTTCTGTCTCTCTGTCTCTTTAGTGAGTTCATGTGCCCTCTAGCAAAATATCTTTTAAAAAAAAAGTTATGTTACAAAGGTTAAGAATATAATAGGTCAGACAAAACATCTTCAAGATAAGTTTTCTAAACTGTTAGGAAGCCTGTGAATTGCTACTTTACGGAATGTAAGACACTCTATCAAGCAAAGTAGTTATCTTTTCAATCCTCTAAAAATAGTTTCTGTCTCAGAGATGAGAAAGGATGCTGGACATTTGTACAGTCATGCAGGTAACAATATTCGTTCTACATTGCTCTGTTATTTCTTGAGCAATCTTTCCTTTTAAAGCTATAGTAGGGTAAAGAGAGTAAGAGAGAATACCTAATAGTTGTTTATTACTTGAATTATGAGGACACTTAATGTAATTGTATGATTTATTTGGAAAATTACCTTTGGATAAAGTTGAGTTTGCTGGTCCCTTCATCTGATAAGCAGAACATTTTCCTTCAGGGTACAAAAGTTCAATGATTTCTTCCCCATTAACCTAAAATGCAAAACCAAAGCCAGTCATCAGATGATTGTTTCTCTAATTTCTAGAGTTAGGGAGGGACTGTGCATCCTCCTTTCTTCCTCTTCCTTAGCACAGCGCCCATTTTACATCTCCCCACTTGGGTTGGTGTGGACAGGAAGTCCCAGGACAATTAAATATGCAATGGAACGGGGCTTTCTATCATCAAATATGTCTGCAAACATTACCTTAAATAACATTAAATCCATATTTTTATTCCAAAAATTCTTACAACTCTAACATAACTGTTGAGATGCCCAAAGTACATAGGATATCTTAAACTTATTTGACTACAGAACTCTCTTATTTGGAGCATATTTTAGACACTTATCTTCTATAGAACTTAGAAAAGTTTAATAGGACTACAAAACCCTAGAAGTTGAAGAAAAGGGGAAAAATCAATTTGTAAAGTATTTATAAATTTGTGACATGGATGTAGACTCTAATTTAGTCACCCAATCATCTGTTAGGTACATAAATTTTAAAATCTAGCCTAACTCTAATGTGAATTTAAGAAAAGTAATTTATAACTATAATAACATAATTACACAACAGAAAATAACTTTCTAATGCAATAGTAAATTGTAAAGCACTTGGCATAGACTATAGAAAAAAAAGTAGGGACCAGCAGTTGGCGTAATGGCTATGTCACTGGACTCCCATGTAGTTGACCATGGTTCGAGTCCCAGACCTGGTAGCTTAAACTCATGTCGGGTGCATGTGCGTGCGTACCCAAGATCCCGAGAGGAGAAAGGAGGAGAAGGGATTGCAGTGTGGCCATCTCCCTTGGGAGGTGATTTCTCGCTTTCTGTCTCCCTGTCTCTCTCTTTCTTTCTGGCCAGCACACATACTCTATAGCAAAAACCTCTTGAAAAAAAAAAAAGAAAATAAAAAGTGATTTGAGGAAAAATACAGAATTGAATTACCAAAATAAATTAAATAAATTTATGCAAATAAAAGATTGTGGTTTGCTCTAAAAGTTTTACTCTTTTTATTTAATTAAATTATTATTATTATTATTATTTTTGGAGAGCTTTTTGCTAAAGGGCGTGGGCGCTCGCCAGAAAGACAGAAAGAGACAGAGAGACAGAAAGTGAGAAATCACCCTCCAGGGGGGATGGCCACCCCTCAATCCCTTCTCCTCCATTCTCCTCTTGGCATCTTGGGCATGGACACACACGTGTGGTGTGAGTTTAAGCCACTGAGTCTGGGACTTGAATTGCAGTCGACTACATGGGAGTCCAGTGACGTAGCCATTATGCCAACTGCTGGTCCCTACTCTTTTTATTAAGATAAAAAATATGCATGGAAAAAATTAGACATGGTAAGTGCAATAGAATTATTGGTTGATAAACAGTGGTAATATAATGATGTTAAAAAGCTTCACTGGATTGCAAAACTGTTCTGAGAAATTCATAGTACAGATATTAGCATACAAGGACAGAACAGTGTTTGGGAGACTTCCTGGAAGATTTGAAGGTCAACAGACACTCTGGCAGCCATGAATAGCAGCAGTCCTGTTTTCTGAGTTTTATGTTAATCTAATAGAAACTCTACCCTTCCCTCTTTCAACAATTTGCTGGTATTTGAAAAAAAAAATAAGCATCACGCTGCCTGAGTAACAGGAGAAATACATGAAAATGCAGTTGCTTCAGTTATGTGAAATGAAAGATCTTCTGAATAAACAGAGGACAGTGGATACTGCTGTCCCATCACCCAAACACACACATGACAAAGGAAATTTTATCTCCATGTCTCGATCATTTCTGCCTTAATATTCTTCTACTATGGTGCCTTTTCAGGTCTCGCTAGACCATGTCACAAGTGTGAGATAACATGGCGAGATAAAGGGCACAGAGCTTTGGCCTACGTTCATTTCTCCTTTTCTCCTCCTATACCACATTCGGCTTATGTCCCTAATCTTGTTGAGATGATCAGGTCTGCGGGTTACTGGGCCTCAGCTCTGTTTTACTTGAACAGACATTTGAGGAGTATGAGTGCAGGATAAAACAATTCCATAAAATCAAGATTCAATTGCGATCATTTTAGGAACATACATTACACACCAGAAAATCATAATAAGAAATGCTAGTGGGACCAGCAGGAGGCATGGTGATTAAGGTGCTAGATACTCCCACATGGCTGCCCACGGTTCAAGTCCTGGACCTGGCAGCTTGCCTTCTCACTTTCCCTCTTTCTTGCTCTGTGTCTCTCTCTGGTCAAACTAAAAATAAATGAATGAATATATAAAATTAAATAAATAATTAAAGAACTAGAAGTTCTTTATTAAAAAAAAAGAAATGTTAGCCACCTAAATGGACATTTGAGGGATTTTCTAAAAGTTCATGGAAACTGGGTGTTATGAACAAACTACACAAGTTACACGTGCATTTCAAAATTATTTTTTGCACCGAAATAAACTTGTATTTGAATTTCATTTTCCCATGAACTTTCTTTTTAGTCACCAGAATACATGTGCACTCACCAGAGAGAAAGAGAGACAGAGAGACACAGAGAGATGAAGAAAGCCTCCCACGGGGTGAGGTCATGCCACAATCTTCCTTCTCCATTTTCTTTTCTTTTTTTTAAGAGGTTTTTTCTTTTCTTTTTTTTTGCTATAGGGCGCGTGCGCTCACCAGACAGACAGAGAGAGACAGAGAGACCAAAAGCGAAAAATCACCCCCCAGGGGGGATGGCCACGCCGCAATCCCTTCTCCTCCATTCTCCTCTCGGGATCTCGGGCACGCACGCACACGTGCCCGGCGTGAGTTTTTTAAGCCACCGTGTCTGGGACACAAACTGCGGTCGACCAAATGGGAGTCCAGCGACATAGCCATTAAGCTAACTGCTGGTCCCTCCTTCTCCATTTCTTCATCCTCTGAGGATACTGGGCACACATGCTCACATGGCACACAAACTATGGTTGGCCACGTGGGATCTGTCTCCCTAAACTACTAGGCAATTAGGCTGGCCCTCCATGAAATTTTGAAGTCTCTTTGTACAAATAAGCTTAGAGAGCATCAAGTGGAATTTAGTTATACATTAAATAGATTTGTTAAATCAACCCCAGATTTCTGTGCACTAATTTTAAATGATTTAAGCTTTCTGATTTTATTATATGGTACAGTTTTCTAAGGCTCTCTCTTTTTTAAAAGTTGCTAGAGAGCAGCACATGTATTCACTGGAGAAGTACAGAGAGGGTAGAAGGTGAGAAATCATGCCTCATGGGAAATGGTCATACCACAATCCCTTCTCTTTCATCTCTCTCTCCACTCAGAATTATGGACAAGCATGCACACTGCCTGGTGTGTTTCTCAAGTTGCTTGGTCTGGGACTTGAACTGTGGGGTCATCCATCTGGGATCCAGCTGCCTTAACCACCATGTCACACGCTGGCCCCCTAAGATTTTTAAGCAAGTGACAATCGAGGATCACTGCTGGGCAACTTTTACCCAAAGGAGCGATGCTGTTCTTAAGAATATCTAAGAGACAGGGACCAGCTAATGGTGTAAGGGTTATGTCGCTGAACTCCCACACAGTCAACCACAGTTCAAGTCCTGGACCCGGCAGCTTGAAACTCAAGCTGGGTGCATGTGCATGCATGCCCAAAATTCAGAGAAGAAGGGATTGAGTCATGGGCATCCCCTCTGGGGGTAATTTCTCACATTCTGTCTCTGTCTCCATCTCTCCGGTGAGCACACGTGCTGTATAGCAAAAATCTTTCTTAAAAAAAAAAAAAAGACAACCCCAAAAATAGTGTAAATTAATAAAAAGAATTCTAGCACTAAAGTTATCCATTTAAGTGATTAAATAGATATTTATTTAAGTAAGTAGCTTATATAAGAGCTGAGTGTGTTCCAAAGGATGTAGGATTATTTGTGAGAAGGCTCCATGTTGTATGCTTTTCTTAGCAAAACCTATTTTCGAAAGTAAAGTTTATTTTGGGATCAGCAGTTGACGGAATGGCTATGTTGCTGGACTCCCATGTAGTCAACTGTAGTTCGAGTCCCGGATCCAATGGCTTAAACTCATGCCAGGCATGTGTGTGTGTGTGTGCCCAAGATCCCAAGAGGAGAATGGAGGAGAAGGGATTGTGGCATGGCCATCCCCTGGGGGGGGGGGGGCCCGCTGTGATTTCTCGCTTTCTGTCTCTGTGTCTCTCTGTCTTTCTGGCGAGTGCATGCACCGTATAGCAAAAAACCAAAAACCCTCTCAAAAAAAGAAAGTAAAGTTTATTTCTTCCACAAGAGAGAGAAACAGAGAGAGACAAGCACTCCCTACTAGGTCTTCCCAGTCTCTGCTAGCCTGAATTGTGGGCACATGTGCATGAGCCCAGTGTGCTTAGGGAGTACCAGGCAGGGATATGAACCTAGGACCTTGCCCAAATGGGTTCAGGTGCGATAACCACAGCACCACTGCCTGGTCTCAGCAAACCCAGTTAATTCACTAAAATACATTCTTACTGACAATATACATATTTAAAAAGGAAAATATGAGGCCAGCAGGTGGCATGCTGGTTAAGGTACTAGTCCCACGTGGCCGACTGTGATTCCAGTCCCAGGCCTGGCTGCTTGAAAATCATGCTAGGTGCATGTATGTGCATGCCCAAAATCCCGAAAGGAGAATGGAGGAGAGGGGATTGTGGTGTGGTCACCCCCTGGGGGGTTATTTCTCATTTCCCTTTCATCTCTCATCTCTCTCTCTCTCTCTCTCACCAGCACATGTGTCCTATGCAAAAACCTTAAAAAAAAAAAAAGAAAAAAATTTAAATATGAAATCAGTCTAGTTCAAAACACAAACAAGCTGGTTATTTAGATAGGAAGTATGACATGAAAGAAGGTGGTTTTTACCTACCTTGGAGAAAGGATCATGAAGACTGAGGGCAGACTGGCCACTAGGCTCCACACTGTGATGACCTTAAAGGAACACAGCACAAGTAAGGATGAGCTGGTACAACCACAACAGAGATGCAAATAACAAAAGAAACCCACATTCCTGAAAAGGTCACATCATAATGTGACTTAAAACCAACTAAATAGAATCAAATATTACAGATGAGTTTATCCCAAGAAGAAAGTTATTTTCTCTGAAGAAAATACTTTACAAAAAAGCTTCTATTGACCTAAATGATCTAGTGTCTTACATATAAATGATCTCAACCTCAAGGAATGAGACATCACAGATGCTGAACAACACTCATTTTACTCTTGAAGGGAAGATAGCAAATTAATCTTATTTCATTAAGACTCAATTTTATAACAGAGAATAAAGTATAAATACAACTGAAGAGAATTTTTACAATATTTCTAAACCAAATGCTAATTTTAACTCTTAGCTATCAGCATAAAAATTTAATACGCAAACTAAAAATGAGTAGATAATGTTCTTTTATAGATAAAACATATTTACGTACTTAAACATTTTTTCTCTCTCTTTTTTTTTTTTCATTTTTTTTCTCTTAAGAGATTTTGCCTTAGGGCATGTGTGCTCGCTGGAGAGAGAGAGAGAGAGAGACAGTGAGAGAGACAGTGAGAGGGATAGTGAGAAATCACCCCCCCTCCCCAGGGGATGGCCATGATGCAATCCCTTCTCCTCCATTTTCCTCCTGGGATCGTGGGCATGCACGCACACATCCCTGCAAGATTTTGAAGCCACCACGGTCGGCCATGTGGGAGTCATCTGCTAGCCTTACTTACACATGTTTTGAATCATAAAATTATATTTTTAAATGATTTAGAAAGATAGGGTTTAGGAAAGTTTTAAAAGAAAGAGATAAAGTAAAAAATGAACACAGGTTAGTGAATTCAAGGGTTTCTATTAAAGAATGACCTATAAAAAATTCTACCCAGAAAAATGAAGCTTGAGATGGATTTTTTTTTTTTTAAGAGAGATTTTTGCTGTAGGGTGTGTACTCTTGCCAAAGAGACAGACAGAAAGCAAGAAATTACCCTCCAGAGGGAATAGCCATGCCACAATCCCTTCTCTTCCATTCTCCTCTTGGGATTTTGGGCATTTGTGCACATGCATCAGGTGTGAGTTTTAAGCCACCAGGTTTGGGATTCAAACCACGGACAGCCATATGGGAGTCCAGTAACCATTAGGCCATCTGCTGGTCCTTAGATGGAATTTTAATGGATAAATTTCTTTAATTTTGTAGATGATATTATAAAAGAATGTGTTTTAATATAACTTATAAGAGATAATCAATAAATTTCTAGGAAAAATAATAAAAGAGAAACCAATCACAAACCATTGGTTCAAAAAGTTGTACTGCATAGTATAAAACATAATAGTTTCTTATTTGCTATCTCTTCTTCCTGTTCCTAACTACCTCCTTTCCCTCTTTTTCCCAGACAACCAGTGGTCTGCTTTCCCTCACTATAATTTGCATCGTCTACAACTGTGTATAAATGGAGTCATTCAGGATACATGCTTTTTTGATCTGTTTTATTTCACTCAACCTATTTTGAGTTTTTTAAAAGTTTATTTTATTTCTTTGAAGAGAGAGAATTGTCATGCTTTAGCGTTTATATGCTTGAGCTTTTATTTTATTATTCTTTTTAAAATTTGCCAGAGGGCACTTGTCCTTGCTAGAGAGAGAGAGAGAGAGAGAGAGAGAGCGAGCACCCTCCGTGGGCATGGGCATACTGCAGTTCCTTCTCCTCCACTCTCTATCCTGTCCATGTTTGGAGCATGCATGCACACAGGTTCACTGTGTTTTTCAAGAGGTGGGGCTGGGATTCAAACCATGTGATTGGCCATATGGGACCCATTCCTTAACTACTGGGCTCTGAGGCTAGCCTGAAGCTCTAGCTCTAGCTAGATAAACAATAATTACAGTAGTAAGGTTTCTTTAAGCTACTGCTATTATTTAGACACAACTGCCTGATAACCTAAAATATTACGTATGAAATACTAAATTTACATTTCTTATTTTTCAAAGTTTTATTGCCAGAGGGCATTTGCACGTGTGTTCTCTTTCTCTCTCAGGAAAAAGGACTCCCCAGGGGGGTGTGGTCATGCTGCAGTCCTTTTCCTTTTCTCCATCATGTCAGGATTTTGGACATGTGCCCACACAAGCCTGATGTTTTTCAATCTGCCAGAGCTAGAATTCAAACCATGGTCAGTCACAGGGCGTCCAGTCCCCTATGCACAGGCCTTTACTACCATGTGAAAGGGCAAGCCCTGAATATACATTTCTAATATATATATTTAAAAATTATTTATTTAACTTTATTTACTTGTTCATTCATTTATTTTCATTTGACCAGAGAAAGAAAAGACACACAGAGAGAAGGAAAGTGAGAAAGCAAGCCACCAGGTCCAGGACTCAAACTGTGGTCATCCATGTGGGAGTGTCCAGTGCCTTAACCACCACGCCACTTGCTGGCCCACATTTCTAATATTTTAAGTTCAACCACATAGCCCTGTGCTGAACATGCTTTTTTTTCCTTTTACAAACACTAGCAATAAAAATCACAATTCTTGAGTTAGATTATGTAAATAAGTATGAAATCAGGTTTAAATTCTGGCTCTACCCTTTAGTAACTCTGGGACCTTGGGCAAGTTAGTACACTTCTATATGCTTTGGTTTCCCTTTCTATAAAATTCAAATAATAGTAATAATACCAGTTTCAATTGCAAATTATTCAAGATATTTGGGATTGTTGTGAAGGCTAAAACACTTAATATAATGCTTAGTCCAGAATAAGCATTAAATTAATAACTGTTGCTGCCACAAAACAATACACTATTTCTGATATTAAAGTAGAATATAAGGGAGCTACTCTGTTGCTTGTTGCCATACCTACAATGCCTAGAACGGTGCCTGGCACAGAGGAGAAATTCAATGAATGTCTGAATAAATGCTCACCTATGTGATGAGCATTATGGTAAGTATTAATGTACTACTATATTTATGTCTCATAAATTTATAAGGTAGAAACCACAAGTATTTTTATTTTACTGATAGGAAATAGAAGCTTGCACAGCCATGTGTTGTGACATAATGACATTTCAGTCAAGAGCAGGCTGCATATACAGGGGTGGTCTCATAACACTGTAACGAGCTATTTCGGGTAGCCTAGGTGTGTAGTAGGCTGTCAGCTAGGCGTGTGTAAGAACACTCGATGATGTTCAAACAGCAGCAGTGTCACCTACTGAGGCAATTTTTAGAGCATGCTCCTATTGGGGGCGTGTCACTATGTAAAAATCAAGTAACCTGTGAAGGCCCCAAAGGACACACAAACTCCCAGGTCTATTGGGTTCTGAAGTCCATGGTCCACTCCCTTTTACTATTTCTTTTTGAAAGAATTCTTTATTTAATTTTATTTATTATTAAGTTTGTTATAGGGCACATGTGCTCACCAGAGAGAGAGAGAGAAGGAAAGAGAGAGCAAATGCTCAGGTCTAGGATTTGAACCATGATGGGCCATGTGGGGGTCCAGTGCTTTAACCACCATGACATCTGCTGACCCCACCTTTACTATTTCTTATACTCTAAATTTTAGAGAAGATTTAATTTAAATATTTTTTTTTTCATTTAGATCCTGCAAAACATTCTATATGAGGTCAATAAGACTATTTCAATGACAATAACCAAGCTTCCTGTTCCAAGAAAAAAAAATACCTCTCCATTATCACTTGTCATAAAATTAATGTATCCTTACCATTAGCTCTGGTTGACTTTGGAGATGAAATGACAGACCTCTTTGAACTGGGGATCACTGGATGACCATCTCTGCGTTGTAAAACAAAACAAAACAAAAACAAATTATTTAAGATATTTGTTTAAATATCCTTTGAACTATTGTCAGAAGTTTTTATTTTGAATGGATTTTAGAGGCCCGGTCATACTCTAAAGGTGTAGAAGAAATTTTATGAAAGTCTTCCTCTACATGTTTCCTGGAGAGAGATATTCTTGACCCCCCTTCCCCATTAAGATTATCCTTTTATATAATCTTTGAGTTTTAGTTCAATACATCACCCTATTTCCCCTTCTATTTAATACTGGTAAAGGCAAGTGCAATAGGTCTATTCCTTCCTCATTCTCCTGTCCCTTACCCTGGTCCCTGAGCCTCTGCACTGAATCTCAGCAGAGTGTACCCACTAACACTCCCCAGAGTGCTGGTGCCTGGGACACCATGCTACTGGAGATGAGGAGAGGCAGCTCAGCCAGAGCATTCCCTGTGAGTGAGCGCCCTCTCTCCACTACCATTGGGACTTTCCGGCCCCAGGGATCCCGCCAAGTGCACTTCTGAGCTGCAGGTGTTGCCATCTTGGACTTGAGGCTTTGGGAGGCAATACTGGTTTGCTTTATTTTATGTTATTTTATTTTTGGAGAGATTTTTGCTATAGGGTGTGAGCGCTGGCCAGAAAGAGAGAGACAGACAAAAAGTGAGAAATCACCCCTCTGGGAGATGGCCACATCACAATCCCTTCTCTTCCATTCTGTTCTCGGGATCTTGGGAATACACACACACGCGCCCAGCATGAGGTTAAGCCACTGGGTCTGGGACTTGAACCATGGTCAACTACATGGGAGTCCAGTGACATAGCTATTATGCCAAGTGCTGGTCCCAATACTGGTTCGCTTTTGAGTGGCCTGGAGAGAGTTTAAGAAATCCCCAAATGGGGACCAGCAGTTAGCGTAATGGCTATCACCAAACTCCCATGTAGCCGACTGCGGTTCGAGTCCTGGACCCAGTGGCTTAAACTCACACTGGGCGTGTGTACATGCATGCCCAAGATCACGAGAAGAGAATGGAGGAGAAGGGATTGTGGCATTGCCATCTCCCCGGGGGGTGATTTCTCACTTTCTGTCTCTATGTCTCCCTCTGTCTGTCTGGTGAGCACACGTGCCCTATAACAAAAACCTCTCTCAAACAAAACAAAACAAAACAAAAAAAACCCAAAATGGAGGACTTTACTGCCAGGACCCGTGGTACCAGTGGCCAGATAACAGACCTCTGTTGAGGGAGGAATCTAAGGGTGGAATCATCAGTTCAGTTGTTGGCAGCCTACCATCCTGAGTCTAGTTGTGCTGATCAGTGCTTTTGTTTTCCCTCAGCTACCTCCAAAGCTTTTTTTTTCCTGTCTGCATTTCATAAGTAGTAATACTGCTTGCAAATTTATCTACTGGAATCGACAAGGAGACTTAGAACCAAATTTACAAAGCTAATCTATCTTATTTTGTATATTATCCTGTTATATACATGTGCAATCTCTACTTCCACAATGAGGGAAGGTGAGACTGCCAAGGAGAAAATACCAGGATTGTTCCAAACTGTATAGTAGGACAACGAATAAATAATCGCTGGAAAAAGTATGTGGAATACTCTCCTGCCAAAGTCTGATACATGATTTTCATGTTATTTGTAATGCTAAATTCCCTCTTGTATGGGAGAATACAACATAGATCATTTTATTTTTCTTTAAGGAACTGATGTTGCACTTAAACATTCCAGCCCTTAAAGATCTACAGTACAAGTACTTTTTACTTTTTTTTTTTTTTTGAGTGGTTTTTGCTATAGGGCGCGTCGCATGTGCTCTCCAGACAGAGCGAGACAGAGAGACAGAAAGCGAGAAATCACCCCCCAAGGGGGATGGCCACGCTGCAATCCCTTCTCCTCTGTTCTCCTCTTGGGATCTTGGGTACGCACGCACACGCGCTTGGTGTGAGTTTTAAGCCACCGGGTCTGGGACATGAACTGCGGTCGACTATGTGGGAAGTCCAGCAACATAGCCATTACGCCAACTGCTGGTCCCCAAGTACTTTTTACTTTTGAAAGTAAATTTTTTTTACAATTGAATTGCATGGTAAAAAGCCAAATAACTAACAAATAAAACCTTGCATTTTAAGACAAATAGTCTTTCATTTGTGTTAAACATAATTACTGTTCCCTAGGCGACCAACTTTAACTTATAACTACAATTTTATTTCACATTAATAAAACAGTAAAGACAACTTCATGAAGGTACAATTACAGTAATAAATATACAAGTAAAATAAATAAATAAAACTGGTAAAAACAAGGTGAAAACCTGGAAGTTTATCCTAACTTCACTAAGTCTTCCTGGCTTAGTCTGTAAATTACTACTTGAATAATATCTTTTAGGAGTATGTAATCAACAACCTGAATTGACACATGCACACACATACACAGACACAAAAGCCACAAATAATTACAGAGTACCTTGTTGCTTTCAGCACCACTGAAGGAAGTGACATGCTCAATGCTCTGTTAGCTTCCTCCAAGGTCATTCCTTGTGTGCTGACTCCATTCACATAATGGATGATATCTAATAGCTGAAGATTACCTTCAATGGCGGCAACTGACCTTGGATTAATATCACTAATATATACCACTTGATGAAGGCTGTCATGACCTCCAGATAAGGAAAAACCTTCAAAGAATAGAAAACATGTATTGTCTCAGTCTTAAGAGTACTTACTCTTCATATAGCCAGGAAAATCATACTGCACAGAATTTGAATTTTCATTACCTAATTCTTCTTTGTTACATGTTAATGTAATGTCAGGTAGCAAATGAGGCAACACTGGCATCCTGGGTAATTCTAGAACTCGTCCAAGAACTAATCTGACTGTTTTAGGTGCAGCTCGGAGCAGATTCACGGCATCTGTGTGAGTCATGTTTGTAACATCTGTATCATTAACCTGCAAAAAATGAGAGACGGGCAAGTAAGAATTATAATGTTTTAATGCAGAATCTTAATTTCCAAGAAAATACTAACTTTTAAAAGATTTATTCAATTTTATTTATTGTTATTATTTTTATTTTTCGATTTGCTACAGGGCACATGCTCTCACCAGAGAGAAACAAAGAGAGAGAAAGAAAGAAGGAAAGTGAGAAAGTAAGCTGCCAGGTCTGGGACTCAAAACACAGTTGGCCATGTGAGAGTCCAGTGCCTCAACCACAATACCACCTGCTGACCCCTCTCCCTAACTTCCTATGTAATTTATATTAGCCACTAAGAGCTTCACAATCAAGAATGATCTCTAATTTATTAGTAACCCCCTTTATTGTGGGAATCAACCATAATAACCAAGTCCTTATAAGTAAAATAATCATGTAAATGCCCTGAAAAAAAAATTTCTGCTATTAACAATAGAGGAAATCTGTTCTCTTAGTAATTAAGAAACTTTCTGTCCTTGGATTTGAGATTGCTTGTTTTTATGCCTTTACTGAGATTAAAGGGACTTTCAGGTTAAAAGGGGAACTTTAAGCACTTCCAAAGTTGTTAACTATATCTAAGCCTTTACTTTTAAGTGGTGGAGAAGGAAAACACAAACTAAGCACAGAAATAGAGTGTGAGAGTAATTCAGCCTTCTTCCTTCTCCAGCCCTGGCTTCCCCTTTGGTCACATTCTCATGAGTCTTCAAAAGAAAATGTCTCACCTTAATTAGCCGGTCCCGAGGTTTCAGCCTTCCATCACTTTTGGCTGGATCTTGTATGACATCATGAACATAACAACCGATACTCTGACTGCCCTTGGTTACTGTAAAACCAAGGCTTCCTTTCTCAGATTTAATTAGGGTAATGAGGAGTTCTACTTCCTAAGGGAAGAAAAGAGTGATGTCTATAGGCTACGTTGCCCCATAGATAAACAGAAAGTTCCTTCACTAACACAGGAGGAAACCAAACTTTAACCCAACCAAGTAAACATGCCAGGTCTATCCAACTCTAGATAGAATGCCCTCAAACTGGGCATGTTGGGTTTAAGTACATTATGTCCTTGTCTAGAGATAGCAAGCGACAGAACTTATTCATTCTTCTATTTCAGAGTAAACAAAGACACAACAGTGGTTTTACCCTAATGATCAAAGAATACTTTTTTGGAAGTAAGGTCAGAAAAATTATTCATATTTTTCTAAACCACCAAGATAGATGCCAAGAGCCACAAAAAAGAAGTGTTTTTTTTTAGGTAAAAAGAGATAGTCTTTGGGTGATTATAGATCCCAACTTCATTTATTTAGATGTGTAAACAAAGTATTTCATTTAAAAACATTTAAAAAAATTTTTTAAAGAGAGATTATTTTGCTATAGAGTGCATGTGCTTGCTAGAGAGATAGAGAGAGACAGAAAGACAGAAGTGAGAAACCACCCCCCCTCCCCACCAGGGGGATGGCCATGCCACAATCCCTTCTCCTCTTGGGATTTTGAGCATTCATGCACACATGCCTGATATGAGTTTTAAGCCACTGGATCCGGGATTGGAACCACAGTCGATTACACAGGAGTCCAGCAATGTTACCATTAGGCCATCTGCTGGTCCCCAAACATTTAAAAATGTTTAAAATACTTAATTTTTTTCCCATGAACAAGAGAGACAAGGAGACAGCACCCCCAAAAGGGTCTTGATGCTGTGATCAATCTCTAACATCTACCAGACCTGGGTTGTGGGCTCTTGCATGCCCACCATACTCAGGGAGGCCTTTGGACACGAACCTGGAACTCTGCCATATGGGTCAGGCTTGCAGAGCACCACGTTGTACCACTGTGCTGCTATTTGCCCACTGCCCCACCCCCTATTTTTCTTTTAAAGATTTCAAAATCTGAGGCGTACAGGCTGCATATATGGGGTGATAGATTTTTAAGAAAATCATTGAAAGATTAGGTATCACACACATACAAACTCACACACACAACAAACAAAATACCTGAAAAAATTAACTCCAAAACATTTATGGATTTGGGGTGATAGGATTATGGGTGGTTTTCCTTTTCTTTGTTTTCTAACTTTTCTAAAGTAAACATTAATTACTTGGACAATAAAAATGAAATTGGAAAGATTGACTTTCAATCCATGTAGAAAATATTGTACTTGGAAATTTAATTTCTAAACTTAATTTCTTGGTTCAAAAGTTCTAGGGCTAGGGACCAGCAGATGACATAATGGTTATGTTATTGAACTCCCACATAGTTGACTGCTGTTTGAGTCCTGGACCCAGCAGCTTAAAACTTACACTGGGCACATGTGCGTGTGTGCCCAAAATCCCAGGAGGAAAATGGAAGAGAAGGGATTGTGCATGGCCACCCCTCCTGGAGGGTGATTTCTAGCTTTTTGTCTGTCTCTGTCTCTCCAGCAAGCGCTTGCACCCTATAGCAAAAACCTCTCTAAAAAAAAGCTCTAGGCTATTAATACAATGTGAAAGATGTCATTTAGACATATAAAAAAGTATGAAGGAAAAAAACTAAATTCAAACTTGACTAAATATAAATAGGAATCATCAGAATTTTAGAAACAAATAAGAATATTTGTGTCTTCTCTGTAGCAGGTATTGTACTAGGTGCTTTAAGTATGTTATTTTATTTAATCAAGTGTAATTCTATGAGGCTACTAGTCCCACAGAAGAGTCAAAATTACTAAGACTCAGATGAATTAAGCAATCGGTCCACTGGCGCCTGCCAATCGCAACAAGTCAGTGGTAGAATCAGGATTTGTACTCTAGACCTTTTTGCTTTTCTCTCTAATTTCTCAGCAGAGATATATGCCAGCTATGTAATCCCTTTAGTAGATGTAAATATAAAGCTACTCCAAAAAATAGCATTCCCTCCAACTAAAGTGAAGCATGTGTGTCTACATCATTGGGAAAATAAGACAATTTTTTTTTTTAATACAGAGAAAATGACTCACCAATTCAATGTCTTCAAGGTGGTTTTCCAAGTCATTTTTCAAAGTTGTTATGTTTTCTCGTTTAGTTAGTTCAGAGGGGTGATGTGTGTGATGTTTATCCACTGCATCAGAGGAAGCAGACTCTGACTGGGGCTGACCACTTTGGCCAGGAGTTGCATCCAGTGGTAAAGGGAAAGGAGGGTTACTAAGTAGACACAGAAGCAAGATTATTTTCAAATACATTGCAATATCAATATATCATAGTTAAGTTTATGTCACAACATAAAGTGCTTAAAATTCATGTCTGAAGGACCAGCAGATGGCATAGTGATTATGTCACTGGACTCCCATTTGGCTGATCAATTCAAGTCCCAGACCTGGTGGCCTCAAAATCACGCTGGGGGTGTGCATGTGTGTGTGTGTGCATGCCCAGGATCCTAGGAGGAGAATGCAGGAGAAGGGAAAGTGGCATGGCCATCCCCCCGGGAGGTGATTTCTTACTTTCCCTCTCACTGCCTCTGTCTCTCTCTCTTGCTGATGAGCATATGTGCCCTAAGGTGAAAGCCTCTAAAAAAATAATTTCAGGTCTTATAACTAAGATCCTAGCTGGTTTTTGCCTGACTCTTAATTTATTCCACAACTGTTATATGATAACATTATAAAAATTTATTCTCTGTACAACTTCTATTTTAAAGAAGTTGTATCAGGTCAGTAATACAAGATAAATTTACTTCTGATTCTTTATTTTTTGTTTTTATGAGAGCAAGAGAGAGCACAGGGCAAGGAAAGAGAGAGAGGAAGGAGTAAGGGTTATTTTTGACAGGGTCTCATGTCATCATACTCCTGACACAGCCTTCCTGTTGTCTGGAACTATACGTGGGTACTACCATGCCAGATTTCCTTAGGTTGAGCTAGGAACGGAACCCAGGTCTCCTATGTGGCCTCAGCTGTCATGAAGCAGCATCTTCCTGCTTGCACCACCACAGCTGGGGCTGATTCTTAGTTGTTAATTCAAGGATGATGCTAATGTTAACAGATGTCTAATGTGTTCTTCAACATAATAAGAAAAAGAAAAAATAAGAAAAGAATGAAGTCCTACTCTTGTGATTATTTTAGATGAGAGACTAGAAGGAAAGAAAGAAAACTTGACCAAATATGGTCCTGGATACACACAAAGACATAGACAGTAAAATGTATGAATAACCATTGGAGATTAGATAAAGTATGTATAATTCTATGCTTTCAATAATTTCTTCTTTCTCCATAGTCTCTCTTTTATAAATTTTCTGCACTTTCACCCCCCCCCCGCCTTCTCTGCTTCCCTTTATATTTCTGCTCCCTTTCTTCCTACTGCATCACTGCCTAAATAACACTCTTCTCTTTTTGGTTAAGTAATATGATTGATAGTGAAATACAAATTAACTTTCTTTTTAAAATTTTATTTGCTATTTTATATGCTCACTAGAGAGAGAAAAAGAGAGAGAGAGAGGGAAGGTGAGAAATCATCCCCCAAGGGGATGGCTATGCCACAATCCTTCTTCATTCTCCTCTCAGGCATGCAGGCACACACATCTGGTGTGTTCAAGCTGCTGGTCCAGGACTTGAACTCCACTGTTGGCCATGTGGGATGCAGCTGCCTTAACCACCACATAACTGGCTGGTACACAAATGACTTTCTTAATTACTAGTAAATATACTCAAGAGAGAAGCAAGGCTCAGTCTGACTGGCTAGAGAGCTTACTGGTTAGCTAGTTAAAATGATCAATTAAATAGCTAGACATCAAGGGTTGTCATCTGCCTAACCACTGTGACGCTCACAGATAGACACGTTTCATTCTTAGAGACTCCATGTTGCTGCCCTGTTACCCATTGCTTTGAGAACTACATACGATATTGACGATACCTGTCCTCGAATTCTGGTTTCACGGGTAATTTCGGAGGATAATAAAACATGGCACAAATGGTATCCTCCTGACTCTTGGTTGCTTCCAGCTGACGCTGTGCCTGTGACACCACGTTGCTGAGAGTCTGATGTGCAGCTGAACTCCAGCTCCTTTTTGAAACCCTTGCTGGGCCTCTCACTAGGCTGTCTTCTCCACTCCCACTGCTGTCGCTGTCACTGCCACTGTCTCTCCTGGAGGAGGACTTGCAGTGTTCCTTGCCTTTGTCAGACATTTCATTTTCATCTGAGCTGGTGCCTTGCTCCACACATGATGGCTGAGAAGGATGTTTACTGCTGTTTGGCAGTATTTGTGCTGGAGAATGTAGCGGGGTCTATAATGGATATGTTTAAAGAGATCAGAGCATGTTAACTTATGTTAACTGTAGAAATATTTCATTGACATGAACCCACCGAACAAGAGTACTTTCTACTAAAATATTTAATTTTCTGAAAATAAAGTAATTTATGCTTATTAGAGAAAAAAATCACAGATAAAGTAACAACTGTTAATACTATATAAATCACATGAAAGGTCTTCAAAGGTTCATGGAAAGCATATTATTAAAAAACAACTATGGGGAGCTGGCAGGTGGCATGGTGGTTAAGGATGCTGGACTTCTACATGGCCAAGTGCAGCTCAAGTACCGGACCTGGCGGCTTCCTTTCTCACTTTCTCTCTCTCTCTTTCTCTCACTCTCACTCTGTTCTTCTCTGGACAAATTAAAGATAAATGAATGAATAAATAAAGCTAAATAAATCTTTTATTCATTCATTTATTTTTAATTTAACAGAGACAGAGAGAGAGAGAGAAAGCAAACCACCAGGTGTGGGACTCAAACCGTGGTCAGACAGGTGGGATTGTCCAGTATCTTAACCACCATGCCACCTGCTGTTTCCTAAAATAATTCTTAAAAAACAAAACAAAACTAAGGACCAGCAGATGGCGTAATGGAGTCCCACATAGTTGACTGTAGTTCGAATCCTGGGCCTGGTGGCTTGAAACTCACATTGAGTGCATGTGCATGCATGCCCAAGATCCCTAGAGGAGACTGGAGGAGAAAGGATTGAGACATGGCTCTCCCCCCTGGGGTGGATTTCTCGCTTTCTGTCTCTGTCTCTCTCTGTCTTTCTGGCGAGCACACGTGCCCTATAGCAAAAACCTTTCCAAAAAAAAAAAATGAAAAGAAAAAAAGAAAAAGGCTAAAGATGTTAAGTAACTCTTGATTTCATCAAAACTAGCTCAGAATGAAAATTTTTTGTTTTATTCAATGAAGAAATTAACTAAAGGTTTTTGTAACTTTTATTTTATGTATTTTTCTATTTATGCTTATAAAACAAATTCTTGAAATCCTAGAATTTTGGAATTGAAGAAGAGAAAAAAGAAAATGAATTTGAATTACTTTATATTATAATGCTCCTTGCTAAAGAAGTAGATAGGTATAAAGTCCAGGAGATCAATCCATGATAAAATCACTAGGCCTGAGTTAAGTCATCACTAAATCGATATTCTAGAAAAATAAGTTAGTTTTCACAGGCCTCACCAAAAGAGCTGTATCAATTTCCGGGAGCACACCAGGTGGAGGTCTACAGAGAAGCAAGGATACTTCCGGAGCTGTTCCCCTGAGAGCAGATATGACTTCCTGGGGGTACCATGAAGGACAAGTGAAGATACAGTGAAATGTATTAGGAAACCATCCCCAGAGGCTAATCCATCTCATTACTGAAAATGCTCAGTTCCAGATGCTGGGGCTCACCTGCTGCGATAATCCTTTCAGAGAAGCTCCATTCACTTTCAAGATAACATCTCCCACATCAATTTTTCCACTTTCTGCTGCAGGCTGTCCAGGGAAGAGCTTTTTAACCCTTACTATGCTGGCATTCATTTGCTCAGGTATAAGATTATCTTCGCGAGAAAAACTGAATCCTAGGCCTGAACTATTTTTAAGCAATTTTACCTCAAATGTATTCTCTGGAAAAAAAAAAAGTATTTTTAATACGCTGTGTATACATATGAACAAACAAACATACATGCTTTTAGATATGCTGTACAAGCCCATTTCCCCTTGATTTTTACAGCTCTCTATACATGCACTTATTACAGCCTGATTGTCTACTCAAATTCTATTTCACAATGTCTATCATTCAGAAAACTGAACCAAACAACTACGTGATCTAGAGTGTTTAAAAAGAGTTCTGAAAGCAGAATTCTGAAAAGGAATATGCTCCAGTCTCACACGTTTTAAATGATGGTATAAGAGAGGAAAAAGTAAAAAAAATCTAAGGAAGGAGAGGTATGAAAGAAATTCAAGTATGAAGTGAGAGAGAGAGATGGTAAGAAGAACAAAATAAATGTTAGAGGAGGGTATGGGAAAATACATTTTTATTGTATTATAATATTTTGGTGAGGAATAATTTAATCCAAGTAAATTGCAATGGTATTCTGATAAAATTCTCATCAACAAAATAAATTTTAAAAACCAATAATGAGAAAAGAATTAAAAACATATTTAAAGAAAGGATGATGGAAGAAATAAAGAATAAGGTGATAACTTGGGTTTACTGGGCTAGCCGGTGGGTGGAATGATGGTTAGAGTGGCTAGATCCCACAAGGCTGGCTGTGTAGTTTGAGTTCTGGACCCAGTGGCTTGAAAAACATGCTGAGCACATGGATGCCCAAAATCCCCAAAGGAGAAGAAAAGGAGGAGAAGGGATTTGCAGCATTGCCATCTGCCACTGGAGGTGCATTTTGCTTCCCCATCTCTCCTGACAAACTAAAGAAAAAAAAGTTGTCATATCAATTTTATTTTCATACTTAGAAAAAAATAGTGTAGGCTGGGCTACTTTTCCTTTTTATTTTTGGAACTAGTTCAGAGCTGTTAATAGTTGTATAATCAAACAGGGATTTAAAGTGAAAGATAAAACAGTGGCTGTATAGCATCATCGTTGTGGAGGTCCTAAAGGACAGATAAACTCTTTAAAAGGAAGATAGATAGAATCTCACAATAAAGGTACTCCAGTATTATTAATTGAGCATATTTCACCTTACGGAAAAATCACCACAACATAATTTCTCATTTTCTTATTTTACTACCAATTAGTAATAGGGTGAATGTCTAAGAGCCAGCATAGTTTGTAAGAAAAACCAGTATCTGGGGCCTACTTGGTGAATTTTTGCGCAGAGTAGCTTCACAAGTCCATAAAATTAAATAGAAAAATAGAAAATGTAAGAGTCAGGATTTCCCATGGGTTTGAAGTCATTCTTAGCAATCATTTATATATTTTTTTCATCATTTCCAAATTTCAATTTGAATTTTACGACTAACTAAGGCATTGCTAAATGACCTTTAAGATTCTGAGCTGCAGATATGTTTCTTGTTTGTTATTCACCATGGTGCTGCAGCAAGTAATTATTTATATTTGACAGGAATAATCAAGGCACAATTACAATCTGACACATAAAAGCCAAATTTTAAATAAGGCAGGAATAATTTAAAGGTGAGATGACAGTGTCCCAAGACCTTACCTTCAGTGACAAAGCTGTAGTCTTTGACAGGAGTTGTTTTTTTCACCATTTTTTCTGAGGCTGGACCTTGGGCATCCTGATTTGGAAGGGTGCACTGTGGGGTCACAGGGATGTGTTCTTTGGGTGCTGAAGACTGTCCCTTTTCTAATAGTAGATGAACCACCTGGACATATGGAATAGCACTTCATTAATTAAGAAGAATCTTAACAAAAGAGATGAGTTTTAGGACTTCATATACTTGAGGTTATAAAATCACTTAGAGTAACTTCATGGTCTACCAAAACCAGGGTAGGTAGAGGGAGAAAAAAATACAGGGACAAAGGCAAGAACTGAAAATTTTAAAATCAAGTTTCTATTATTTTCTATATAAAAATATCAATGATTAGAGACTTTATCATAAAAAGCATGTTAAAAATCTGTGATAACATAAATGTGTTATAGAAAATTTGTGTCTCAGGAGGAAAAAAAATCACCACTATACAGTAGTATAAAACCATTATAGTAATTTGGTAAACTCCCTGACCCAAACTGTTTTTGAACATGTAAGTTTAGCTTTTGGCCTAAAGAATGACTAAGAATGATAATCACTAGAAATTAATAGATGTTTATTAAAAAAATTTACACAATCTACTCTTCTCATTCTGTCAGATTTCTTAGGTAATACTACAGCTAAATGTGTCAAAAGAAGGTAGCTTCTTTGATTTAAAACAAAAACAAAAACAAACCTTGTTATCACACTTTTCAATTTGGAAGGAAAAAAGGCAACCAAGAACAGTTATATGAATCAAGGCTTAGTTTGTTGATTAACTAACGAATTAGAGATCTCAATGAGACTGACATTCACACATTACTGTGTTCTTCTAAATATCTTAAAAGGTTAGTGTAATGATCTATTTATTACCTGTCCAGTACTTCTCAGTGTTTCCACAGCTTGCTTATGAGTAGCTCCTTCCAGACTAACTCCATTGACAGCTAGGACACGATCACCTATAAATTAGGCAGTTATTTGGAAAGAAACAAATCATAAAATAAAGATTCTATATGCCCTTTAATACCTGGTAGTTTCATTTCACATTAATGTTTTTGAGGTGAGATTCTCAAATCTGGACAAAACTGTGCCACACAATTAAAATAAAAATTCATTATTTAATTTTCTTCAAAAAATATCATGGGGACCAGCAGATGGCATAATGGTTATGTATGCTGGACTCCCATTTAGTTGACCGTGGTTTGAGTCCTGGACGCGGTGGCTTAAAACTCATGTTGGGTGTGTGTGGGTGCGTGCCCCGAATCCCAAGAGGAGACTGGAGGAGAAGGGATTGCACTGTGGCCATCCCGCCTGGAGATTTCTCACTTTCTGTCTCTCTGTCTCTCCAGCAAGGGCATGCATGCTATAGCAGAAATGTCTCTTAAAAAAAAATCGTGATAGAGTACACATGTATGGTGAGAGACACAGAGAGAGAGAGAAGAGAGAGAGAGGGAGAGAGAGAGAGAGAGGGAGAGAGAGAGAGAGAGAGAGAGAGAGAGAGATGAGCACCCTACATAGGCTTTGGTCATGCTATAATCACCTCCAGTCTGTTAGATCTTAGGCATTGTGTGTGACCCTGGCATGTTTCAGGCTGAGTGGGCTGGGATTTTGAGATATGGTCACCGTGTGGGATCCAGCTTTGCTTGGGCCACACATTACCACTGTACCATGGAGCTGGCTCCATGTTATTAAATTTTTTTTCTTCCACAGTTTTATGAACAATCTTAGGTATATTTTAGAATACTATCTTTATAAAAAATCAATTTAAACCATGAGAAAAGACTAGTTGAATTACAAATGTAGAGATTGGAAGGAAATCCCTGGTTAGTCTTCTTGGAAGTGTAGGTGTCAGTGCTTTTTCAAGGGTACTGTCCTTTCTCTATTCAATGGCAATTTGCTTTTTAGCGTGTACAAAATGTGAACACTGTCTATTTTCTGATGTTAGAGGATAAGTTGAAAAGAAGAGCTCTTACAATGGCCATCAAGGTGTTTTTTAAATTCTGCAGTTATATAATTGAGTATGTTCTTATTTTACATTATGAATTTGAAGGTCATTATCAACTATAATTTCTTACATATTTGCTGTTATATTTGTGCATAAAATTCCCACATACATACAAACACTATACCTTTGTGAATTCTACCATCAGACTCTGCTGCTCCTTTAGGAATAACAGCTTTCACATAGATGCCACCATGTCTGACACTGGTATTCACACCTCCCTAAACAGAACAAAAAGAAAAGATAAAATGATATTTAGTAATAAGAAACAAATTTGGATTCTCTCTTTCAAATCTAAGCCCTAGAAAGGATTTGATTCAGCAGCCAAAGCATTAGCATTACATCAGTATGTGAAAATATTACAATGCCAAAGATTAATCATAGCTAAATTTTCTAAATGTCAAAGGAGTCTCTTTTTAGCAAAACTCTTAATTCAATTCTGAAAACAATATGTAATATCTTGGCTACTGCTCTTCCTTGGTTAAGTCTACATCATGCATTATGAGCAAGCAGAAAGCAAAATTCATCTATGCAAAATTAGTGTGAGGGCAAAATTATCAGGAAAAAAATACACTTCAGATTATATTTGCTCATATGACAGCAAATCCCATGAATCAAGAAAAAAGACATTTTTCTTTCATTGTAAAAGGTTTTGGTAGAGATTTTTTTAAATGGTGCAGATGAGATCTACTCAGTCAATTTCCTGTTTCTTGTGGACATGCAGCTTTTATCTTCCATCACAGTAAAAAAACATAAAATTCTAAAGAAATTAATACAGAGTTAAAGTACTATAATAATTTTAAATGTGCTAGAAAAAAAAGTTTCTTTTAATTTTTTGCCACAGGGCATGTGGGCTCGCTGGAGAGAAAGAAAGTGAAATCACCCATGGGCATGACCACACCACAATCACTTCTCCATCTCTCCCTGCTGTCAGCATTGTGGGCACATACGCATATGCAGCCGGCATGTTTTCCAAGCTGCTGTGTCCATGATTTAAACTGCGCAATTGGCCATGTGGGATCCAGTCATCTTAACGATGATGGCACTGGGTGGCTTAGGGTTTTCTTTTTGATCTCAATATATTTATAGTGCTGTTTTATTATATTCCCAAGTAGCTTTTTATAATGATCAATGTCTTTCAAATATGATAGATGATAATGTTATAATTTAGGGATAGTATATTAGTATAATTCTAAAATAATTTTATCAAATAGCATATGCTCACACAGTAAATACCTTAAAGATAAATATATTCCTTGAGAGCTTCTAATTTTAAGATGCTAAATATGTTTATGAGGTATTGTATGTTATGGAGTGAAAGAACATGTAAATATACACGGTCTTTAGTTATTCCTAATGTACATTAAAGACGTATCATTTCCTTATTCTGTACTTAGGCAGGAGCTGCCAAATGTATACGAAGTACACACATTATTTTTATTTTCTGTAAATGTTCAGATTAAGTAAGTATGAAACCTAGGGGGGAAAGGTAACATTTATCTAATATTTTTTAAACAAGAAAAAATGATTAGCATAATTAATTTTTTGAAAAGTTTTAAAATATAATTCAATTTTCAAATTTTGGAAATATTTGACAAGTATTTATTTCGAAGCAAAATAACTTAGTTAATAAGTTGGCATAAAATAGGCTGCTGGAAATTAAGAAGAGAAAATATTTGAAAACCTTGTCAAACAGTACCGTGACACTTATCCCCAAGCTGTTATCATTTTTAGCCAGTTCAACCTCAAAGATATCTCCAGGTTTAGGAGGTGATGTAGAGAAAGTTTTAAAATTCATTTTGTTGGATGTAATCATTGAGGAGGAAGTTTCCTTAACAAAGAAAACAAAAAAAGGATTCCTTGTTAGAGTCAAAATGAATTACTACAGGAAGAAAAACATCTGTTTTTCACATAAAAAAGTAAGGAATAAAGTGTTCAAAAATTTGCAAGACTTGGAAGAGATCTTAGAGAGTCACCTAGTCCAATGTATTCATATTTTTTGGTTGAGAACACAGATACCCAGAGATTAGTGTGTGCTTCAGCTCAAATAGCTAGATACAGCAGAGGGAAACTCAGAACCCAGTTTGAACATGACTTTCACATAATCTTGGTCATATATATATAATTTTTTTTTTTAAGAGGGAGATTTTTGCTATAGGATGAATGCCCTTGTGGAGAGACAGAGATAAAGATATAAAGTGAGAAATCACCCTCCATAAGGGATGGCCATGATGCAATCCCTTCTCCATTCTTTTCTTGGGATCTTGGGCACACATGCATACGTGCCCGGCATGAGTTTTAAGCCACCGGGTCTGGGACTTGAACTAGATTCCAGCTACATGGGAATCCAGTGATGTAACCATTGTGCCATCTGTTGGTCCCTGTCCAGTAGTTTTTATACTCCTTAATTTAGAACATTTTTTTCCATTTTCTTTAAAAATCAGTATATAGTGGGCTGACAAGTGGCGTGGTGGTTAAAGGCGCTGGATTCCCACATAGCTGACTATGGTTTGAGTCCTGGGCCTGGCAACTTGCTTTCTCACTTTCTCTCTCTCTTTCTCACTCTGCCCCTCTCTGGTCAAATTGAAACAAACAAATGAATAAATAAATAGAGTTAAATAAAATAATTCTTTAAAGAAAAAAAATCAATATATAGCAAGCAGTAGTTTTTAGTTTAAGCCTGTAAGATGAATAAGGCTTCATGTTTATTTATGTTTACAAATTCAACATAAACACAGGGACAACAGCTACTAAAAGTGCACAACTGTCTTATGAGGAATGTTAATGTTTCAGTGCACAAAAAGCATTAAGGGTCTTTTCTAAACTGCTTGTGAATGTGAACTTATATTCACATCATTTCTAGGAATGAGCCATGTTCAATGTTGCTATTTTTATCCATTCAGAACTTCTAAAGAATTTAGGCTATGAATGTAAATTCCACTGCCCTTTATATGAACTATTTGGGACAACTTTTTCAGATATTAAAGTTTTCTTATTAACATAATCATTAAATATGTAAGAAACAAACGACTTGTTAAGAAAACAACTGTAATCTAATTTCCTTTTTTTTGTGTTCTCAGGTAGCAAGTCAGCAGAATTGGAGCCACTGTAAAGTTAGTATTCAAAGCTTCTAATTTCTCTGAAAGTCAGCATCAAATGCAATAGCAGTTAGTAGCAGAAGATACAGACATTCCTCCTTTCCAGAATAAAGCAAGCAGCATGTGGTAGATTGTTCTGCTAACGTACTTACTATCATTTGCTCTGTTAAATCAAAACAAAATGAAATGAACACAAAGATTAAGATTAAAATTAAACTATGCCTTTTTAGGTGTGTGATGATCCCGACTGCTGGAATAAGTGGCTTCATCCATGTCTGAATCTCCACGGTCAGAGTAATCTGTGGCATCGGAGATGCCTGGCTTTTTGGCTTTGCTTTGGTTGCTGCCAGTGGAAGTCCTTTTTTTCTCTGTGACTTTGGATATTTCAGATGGGGAAGGGCTGCCATGCTGTGACTCCTGCCAGGTTCGGTCACCTATATGGCTGGCAAAGAAACCATTGACCTGGCTCTGGGACAAGCTGGCACTCTCAGTCCTAGAATCTTGAGAACTCAGGCTGCCTTCCCGCAGGCCCCCAGACAGCCCAAAGGAGCCCTCTGAGGTGTGTCTCAGAGTACCACGTGGCCAGTGGTGATCCTCACAAGAATCTACAGCACCGTCTTGCAAGTAAGGAGATTTCTTCATGTAATTTTTCATCCCATTGGCAAGATGTGCAGGAGAAGGTGCTAAAAGTCAAAATCCATCAGGGAGAATAACAAGTTAGTGACACACTTGCTGCGCTTACATGCTGCCCAGTGGGCCCTAAAGACTGGTGAGGACTCTACAAGGATAACACACGCAAAGCACTGGACCTGGGCCTGGGACCACTGCAGGGACCCAGCAAACGGTAGATTCTCTGTTTCCTTTTCTTTCTTCTTTGGTTGTTCACACAACAACTTCTATTCAAATGTGAACTCCTTTTACCTAATATCCCATTTCCATTCTCTAAGACCAATTTCAAATCAGTCTCCTCTGTAAAGATGTTCCTGATTCCAGAGATATTTATATATTTTTGCATCTCCAACATCCTTGGTCCTTATTTATTTAATAGTTATTTATATACTTGTTTTATATTGTCCTACTGTATTGCATTTCTTGAACTCTAACAAGGAAGGCAATCCAAATTTCTTACATATACTTCTTAACAAAAGCCTCATAAGAATGCTTTTGGAAGTAAGACAAACCATAAAAGGCATGTGGAAAACAAGTACAGATGTGAATTTATAAGAAATTAAAAATTTTGTGTAGTAAGTGACACCAAGGAAAAATCAAGAGTAATGATCAAATGGAGAAAATATTTACAACATCAAAAAATAATCAGAGTTAATATTCCTAATATACAAAGAGTTTTTAAAATTTAGTAAGAAAAAGATTTTATAAGCTCTCATGGAATAAGGATATGATATATAGACTGAGAATTGAGAGTAAGATACAAATAACTAATAAATGAAAAAACAGATATTTTTTTAAAAAGAATTATTTATTTAATTTTATTTATCTATTCACTATTTTTTACTTGACCAGAGGGAAACACAGGGGGATGAGAAAGCAAGCCACCTGTCTGGGTACAAAGAGTTTTTAAAATTTAGTAAGAAAAAGATTTTATAAGCTCTCATGGAATAAGGATATGATATATAGACTGAGAATTGAGAGTAAGATACAAATAACTAATAAATGAAAAAACAGATATTTTTTTAAAAAGAATTATTTATTTAATTTTATTTATCTATTCACTATTTTTTACTTGACCAGAGGGAAACACAGGGGGATGAGAAAGCAAGCCACCCGTCTGGGACTCAAACCGTGGTTGGCCATGCAGGAGTGTCCAGTGCCTTAATCACCATGCCACCTGCTGGTCCTCAAAAAGACATTCTTTGGCTGGCCCTGTAGCTTAGTGTTAAGGGAGCTGGATCCTATAAGAGCAACTGCCACTCAAATTCTGACCTTGGCAGCTGGAAAAATATGCCAGGCACTTGTGTGTGCATGTACAAAGTTTTAACAGGATGTAAAAGTGGAGTAGAAGGAACTGCAGCATGACTTGGCCCCACTGGCAGGTGCTGTTTCCTCTCTTCCTCTCTCAACATCTTTACATCTCTGGGGAGCACACACACGCTCTGGCAATTAAAAAAAAAAAAAGATGTGTATTTTTATGGATATCCAGAATGGTGGACAAATTATAGAATGGTATTTTTTAAAAGTTTTTGAATTATTTGTTATTATTATTTTTTTTTAATTTGACCAGAGAGAGACAGACAGAGAGAGAGAAAGGGAAAGTGAGAAAGCAAGCCACCAAATCCAGGACTTGAACCATGGTCAGCCATGTGGGAGTCCAGCACCTTAACCACCCTGTCACCTGCTGGCCCAAGAATGATGTCTTTTTAGATTAAAAGGGTGTATTGTTTTATATGTATATATGGGGAGGGGAGCTTCAAAAAGTCAGTGGAAAAATGAAATTAAAGTATTTTGGGGCAAAAAATTTTAAGTCCATGCCATAATTTTTTTTTTTTTTACAATATGCATTTTCCATGAAACTTTGGAAAACCCCTCATGTATGTGTGTTTATAAATACATACACAAACACATAAATATCATGCACATACATGTATATATCACATATATACCTGTAATACACAGAAGTTTCATACACATGAAACATATGGTCTCCTTAGGAAATGAGGAGACTTTTAGTTCTTATTTTTATAGGGTTTATATAAACTCATTTTAATAAGTTAGTATGCATCCTGCAATTTTATTATTAAAGAGGAATGAGACAAAAAATCCTGGAAGAGATGAATGAAAAAGTGTATTGATGCATAAAATTGAAACAATTAGTTTCAGAAACGTGCCAAATTGCTGGAAAGGAAATAAGTTTAAATACTATTTATTGGGCTAATGTATCGGAGCACTTCCAACATTACCTTTGGACATCTTCTCTTTTGGCTGAGAGACAACAAGAGTCACATCTTCTGGTGCATTTTGTAAAATTTCAATTGCAGCATGATGGCTGACCCCCTCCAGACTCACACTATTCACGGATATCAAACGATCTCCTGTAAAAATGACAATCCAGTATTTCCAAGAACAAAGAGAAATTCATGCTAAATCTTAGCAATGTCATCCCTTCCTCAGTATTTTTGTTTGGCCTAAGTTTCACTTCTGCTGTCTGTGCAAAGAGCCCGTCAGTAAGCACGTAGGGAAGTACTGAAATGTGAAGTACCTGGCTTTAAGCATCCGTCTAAGTCTGCTGGTCCTCCTGGGGTAATTGAACTGATAAACACACCTAGATCCAGTCTTCCCATCTTCTCCCCACCGATAATGTGAAATCCTGTAAAACAACACATTTTAAGAAGATCTGCCTAATACTGCTGCTTTCAATGACTAATGGTTAGTCTGTATGAAACCCAGAAATGAGGAGGCTCTTGATATCAGATATTAGGTATGATTAACAGATGAAAATATCTTTTGAATTGTATTTCTTTGTCTTTTTTTAAAGAGAGTTTTTTTTTTTTTTTTTCCGCTATAGGGCATGTCACTCACCAGAGACACAGAGAGAGACAAACAGAAAGAAAGCACAAAATCACCCCACCCCGGGGGTGGGAGGGTGGGGATGGCCACGCCACAATCCCTTCTATTCCATTCTCTGCTTGGGATTTTGGACATGTGTCCACATAAGCCCGCTGTGAGTTTCAGGCCTCCAATTTTCAGTGTGGTTTGACTCACTCAAAATACCACGACTCCTGCCAGTTTCGGTCACCTATATGGCTGGCAAAGAAACCATTGACCTGGCTCTGGGACAAGCTGGCACTCTCAGTCCTAGAATCTTGAGAACTCAGGCTGCCTTCCCGCAGGCCCCCAGACAGCCCAAAGGAGCCCTCTGAGGTGTGTCTCAGAGTACCACGTGGCCAGTGGTGATCCTCACAAGAATCTACAGCACCGTCTTGCAAGTAAGGAGATTTCTTCATGTAATTTTTCATCCCATTGGCAAGATGTGCAGGAGAAGGTGCTAAAAGTCAAAATCCATCAGGGAGAATAACAAGTTAGTGACACACTTGCTGCGCTTACATGCTGCCCAGTGGGCCCTAAAGACTGGTGAGGACTCTACAAGGATAACACACGCAAAGCACTGGACCTGGGCCTGGGACCACTGCAGGGACCCAGCAAACGGTAGATTCTCTGTTTCCTTTTCTTTCTTCTTTGGTTGTTCACACAACAACTTCTATTCAAATGTGAACTCCTTTTACCTAATATCCCATTTCCATTCTCTAAGACCAATTTCAAATCAGTCTCCTCTGTAAAGATGTTCCTGATTCCAGAGATATTTATATATTTTTGCATCTCCAACATCCTTGGTCCTTATTTATTTAATAGTTATTTATATACTTGTTTTATATTGTCCTACTGTATTGCATTTCTTGAACTCTAACAAGGAAGGCAATCCAAATTTCTTACATATACTTCTTAACAAAAGCCTCATAAAAATGCTTTCGGAAGTAAGACAAACCATAAAAGGCATGTGGAAAACAAGTACAGATGTGAATTTATAAGAAATTAAAAATTTTGTGTAGTAAGTGACACCAAGGAAAAATCAAGAGTAATGATCAAATGGAGAAAATATTTACAACATCAAAAAATAATCAGAGTTAATATTCCTAATATACAAAGAGTTTTTAAAATTTAGTAAGAAAAAGATTTTATAAGCTCTCATGGAATAAGGATATGATATATAGACTGAGAATTGAGAGTAAGATACAAATAACTAATAAATGAAAAAACAGATATTTTTTTAAAAAGAATTATTTATTTAATTTTATTTATCTATTCACTATTTTTTACTTGACCAGAGGGAAACACAGGGGGATGAGAAAGCAAGCCACCCGTCTGGGACTCAAACCGTGGTTGGCCATGCAGGAGTGTCCAGTGCCTTAATCACCATGCCACCTGCTGGTCCTCAAAAAGACATTCTTTGGCTGGCCCTGTAGCTTAGTGTTAAGGGAGCTGGATCCTATAAGAGCAACTGCCACTCAAATTCTGACCTTGGCAGCTGGAAAAATATGCCAGGCACTTGTGTGTGCATGTACAAAGTTTTAACAGGATGTAAAAGTGGAGTAGAAGGAACTGCAGCATGACTTGGCCCCACTGGCAGGTGCTGTTTCCTCTCTTCCTCTCTCAACATCTTTACATCTCTGGGGAGCACACACACGCTCTGGCAATTAAAAAAAAAAAAAGATGTGTATTTTTATGGATATCCAGAATGGTGGACAAATTATAGAATGGTATTTTTTAAAAGTTTTTGAATTATTTGTTATTATTATTTTTTTTTAATTTGACCAGAGAGAGACAGACAGAGAGAGAGAAAGGGAAAGTGAGAAAGCAAGCCACCAAATCCAGGACTTGAACCATGGTCAGCCATGTGGGAGTCCAGCACCTTAACCACCCTGTCACCTGCTGGCCCAAGAATGATGTCTTTTTAGATTAAAAGGGTGTATTGTTTTATATGTATATATGGGGAGGGGAGCTTCAAAAAGTCAGTGGAAAAATGAAATTAAAGTATTTTGGGGCAAAAAAATTTAAGTCCATGCCATAATTTTTTTTTTTTTTACAATATGCATTTTCCATGAAACTTTGGAAAACCCCTCATGTATGTGTGTTTATAAATACATACACAAACACATAAATATCATGCACATACATGTATATATCACATATATACCTGTAATACACAGAAGTTTCATACACATGAAACATATGGTCTCCTTAGGAAATGAGGAGACTTTTAGTTCTTATTTTTATAGGGTTTATATAAACTCATTTTAATAAGTTAGTATGCATCCTGCAATTTTATTATTAAAGAGGAATGAGACAAAAAATCCTGGAAGAGATGAATGAAAAAGTGTATTGATGCATAAAATTGAAACAATTAGTTTCAGAAACGTGCCAAATTGCTGGAAAGGAAATAAGTTTAAATACTATTTATTGGGCTAATGTATCGGAGCACTTCCAACATTACCTTTGGACATCTTCTCTTTTGGCTGAGAGACAACAAGAGTCACATCTTCTGGTGCATTTTGTAAAATTTCAATTGCAGCATGATGGCTGACCCCCTCCAGACTCACACTATTCACGGATATCAAACGATCTCCTGTAAAAATGACAATCCAGTATTTCCAAGAACAAAGAGAAATTCATGCTAAATCTTAGCAATGTCATCCCTTCCTCAGTATTTTTGTTTGGCCTAAGTTTCACTTCTGCTGTCTGTGCAAAGAGCCCGTCAGTAAGCACGTAGGGAAGTACTGAAATGTGAAGTACCTGGCTTTAAGCATCCGTCTAAGTCTGCTGGTCCTCCTGGGGTAATTGAACTGATAAACACACCTAGATCCAGTCTTCCCATCTTCTCCCCACCGATAATGTGAAATCCTGTAAAACAACACATTTTAAGAAGATCTGCCTAATACTGCTGCTTTCAATGACTAATGGTTAGTCTGTATGAAACCCAGAAATGAGGAGGCTCTTGATATCAGATATTAGGTATGATTAACAGATGAAAATATCTGTTGAATTGTATTTCTTTGTCTTTTTTTAAAGAGAGTTTTTTTTTTTTTTTTTCCGCTATAGGGCATGTCACTCACCAGAGACACAGAGAGAGACAAACAGAAAGAAAGCACAAAATCACCCCACCCCGGGGGTGGGAGGGTGGGGATGGCCACGCCACAATCCCTTCTATTCCATTCTCTGCTTGGGATTTTGGACATGTGTCCACATAAGCCCGCTGTGAGTTTCAGGCCTCCAATTTTCAGTGTGGTTTGACTCACTCAAAATACCACGGGTCCAGTGCTTTAACTGCCACACCATCTGCTGGCTCCGAATCCTATTTCTTATAGGCACTAGATCTTTGATGTTTCCTGACTGGGTGGTATGGTGACGATGGAGTTGTGGGTGGACAGCCAGCATTCTGATCAGAAGCACACTGGTGCCTCAATGCCAATGCTATGCTATAGACATTTCCTCTCTGAAGGCTCACAACCCTTCCAGACTCGCAGTGACTCACCTAAGCCATGCTTTGCATCTTTTTTCAGGTTCACCAAGGTGATCTCTCTTTCTGGTGAAGACACAATGCTCCATCTTTTGTGTAGCACATCTATTGGAAATGTATAATTTTAAACAAAATATTCATAATATGCTCAGGTATGAAGACTGATTCCAACTTTTGCTAACAAAGCTTATTAACAGATTGCTCAATGACAAAAAAATACATTTTAAGGTTACTGGTATTGTTGTAATCTTACAGTTTTATAGTGATTTAGTTTCTAAAATGACCATCTATTATCCCATTTATTCCTCATAAACTATTCCTTTTGAAGTAAGTATATTTCAGTTACATGTAAGTCAATATATCTCAAAAAAATCTGTGATTTAGTCAACTAGTACAGGAAAGAACTACACCTTAAACTTCAGTTTTCTGACTCTGGGTCTTGTTATATTACAGCTGACTCTGATTTTGACAATGCTCAGTATAGTAGTAATTTCCCTTTAATAAATACTTTTACTTATAAGAAGTAAAATAGTATTGATAAGTTCTTCGGTAAAACAGCAATAAAAAGAACCTGGATCTATGTTTTAAAATCCACTAACACCTCGTCTAATACATCTATTCTGAAAAGATTTTCATTTATTTCAGATTTCACTTGTGGAACAATTTCATGAAGTAAATAAAGAGATTGTTTTTAAAAATAATTATTTTATTTAACTTTATTTATTTATTTATTTATTTATTTATTTTTTAGTTTGACCAGAGAAGGACAGAGTGAAAGAGAGAGGGAAAGTGAGAAAGCAAACTGCCAGTTCTGGGACTCAAACCACTGGCCCTGTGGGAGTTCTGCACCCTTAATCACCATACCACCGACTGTCTTCAAAAAAGATTTTTTTAACCACTGTTTTGCAGATGAGGAATAGGTTTGTGACTTGTTCAACATTACAGTTAGTATCTCTGTCCTGCAAAAATGTCTGATATCAGTATTTGAAAAATCCTGGTTAAATAAACTGAATGAATATCAGAATAACAACTAGAATTTACTTTTTCTCACTTCCACTTAGGGCTTTTATTTTTTACTTTCTTTTTTTTTTTTAATAGGTTAATCATTCACAAGTGTCTTCTTAATCAAACCAATAAATGTGACATTTATTTGGCATGTTAAATTCATGTATTCAGCAGTTCAAGCATTTAAACACATATATTATTTGCCATGTCCATAAAGTTAATCCATCTATTCAGCAATTTGAACACTTAACACACACGTTAACAGCCTTAATGTCAGTTACAGTTTGGTAGTTCACACTGGTCTGTGTACGAAGGTGTGTGTGGTACGTGTGGCTCAACACATTCAGAAAGATATTTGTGTAAACTGAATCTTAAAATTTATCTCTACATAGTTTTCAAGCATGTTGAAATTTCCTGAAAAATTAGAGATGATGATGTCACTGACATTTCAACCACAATTTCTTAAACCTTCATATGTCCTTTTTAAAACTATCAAGTCACTAGGAACACAGACTTTACTGCTGTATATTCTGACTTAAGACTGGCCATGGACTTAAAATTGTACTAGTATGTTACAAAAGCAACCAGTACTTTTGTTATACAACACTTACACAATATAAATGTGACACTTAATATTCTATAAAATAATTTATTTGGTTTCACAAAAGAGTAACAAAAATAATTTCCTCTCAGGAATGAATTAACTTTGCATCTTTTTTCTTTTTTTTAGGTTTTTGCCATAGGGCATGTGGGCTTGCCAGAGAGAGAGAGAGGAAAAGTGAGAAATCACTTTCCCTCCAGGGGGATGGCTATGCCCCAATCCCTTCTCCTTCTGGGAGTCTGGGCATGCATGCATATGTGCTGGGTGTGATTTTCCAGCCACTAGGCTAAGGATTCGAACTGCAATCAACCATGTAGGAATCCAGTGCCTTAATCACCATGCCACCTCCTGGCCCCTTAACTTAGAATCTTTTAAAAAAATTATTTATTTAATTCAATTTGTTGTTACTTTTTTTTTTTTTTTTTTTTTTTTTTAGAGGTTTTTTCTTTAGGGCCCGGGGGTTTGAGAGGTTTTTGCTATAGGGCACGTGCGCTCGCCAGACAGAGAGAGACAGAGATACAGAATGTGAGAAATCACCCCCCAGGGGGGATGGCCATGCCGCAATCCCTTCTCCTCCATTCTCCTCTCGGGATCTTGGGCATGCACGCACATGCGCCCGATGTGAGTTTAAGCCACCAGGTCCGGGACGCAAACCGCGGTTGACTACGTGGGAGTCCAGCGACATAGCCATTACACTAACTGCTGGTCCCAACTTATTTTATTTTTAATTTGACCAGAGAGACACAAAGAGATAAAGGGAAAGTGAGAAAGCAAGCTGCTAGGTCCGGAACTTGAACTGCAGTTGGCCATGTGAGAGTCCAGTGCCTTCACCACACCACCTGCTGGCCTTTAACCTTATGTCCTAAGGACCATTTTGGTGTACGTTTATAGCTCCCTGTAGTGTATGTGCTACTATACTGTTGTTTCTATTTTGACAGAAACTTAGTAATAATCAGTAATTGTAGTAGTAATTTGGTATTTCTAGTGATTTTATTAATGAGATTACAAAAAATACCACTGGATGATGTGTGATGAGCTTTACACATTAGGTAATCCTAAGCAAAAGCCCGTCCACTATTTAATGTCTCCATAAAAGAGATTATTTAAGTGTCTAAGATTGTTTTGTCCTATAATTACCTCTAGTTTTCAGTTACAAATACAAAAGAATACAGAAAAAAAAGTATAAAAGAAAATAAACAAACAAGGGAGTGAGGTTACATTAGAAATCGAAATCAATATAATATTATTTAAGTGATCACATTGGTGAGATGGTAAGAAAGAACAGATAAAATCAAAGTGCTTTGTTAAGTGATAAAATGATAGTTATTGAATTTCCACCTCCTCAACCCTACCCCAAACTTCATATTTAAACACTGCTGCCCAAGAATTAGGTTGTTTGGAAACTAACAAAATTCATTACTTTTTGGTACAAGTCTAAAGGCATGTAGTTCCCCGAAAAGCAAATTCCCAGGCAGTGTAGACAGAACAAAATAAGAGAAGACGTAAGAGAATATAGCTTGGGGAGAATAATAGTTCCCAACTTGCTCTGTTTTTCATTCCAACTACAAATAGAAAGGTACTTAACTTTGCTAGGTTTTACATATAAATTTTTGTCACCATTTTGAAGAACAAGCCCACTTGCTTTATACTGAGTATGTCTTTAATTATATTGTATAACTGATGGGGCCAGCAGGTGGCGTGATGATTAATGAGCTGGATGCGGTTGACTGCAGCTTGAGTCCTGGACCTGGCGATGGGAAAATCATGCTTGGTGCAGGTATGTGCATGCCCAAAAACCCCAGGAGGAGAAGGGAAGAGAAGGGATTGCTGCATGGCCAACCCCACTGGTGGGTGATTTCTTACTTTTCCTTTCTCTGTCTCTCTCCCCTGAGTGCACATGCCCTATGGTGAAAGCCTAAACAAACACAAAACATAATTAAAGAACTGATCAATATTCTTAGTTTTCTTATGGAATATCTGTTAGAAGTCGTAAGTGGCCTTTCAAAGAATAAAAATGCCATCTTCTTTATTTTCATTTCCAACATACATGGTAACAGAATTTATTATTACAGTATTCATCTGGCTAATAATTAGGTGTTGTGTGAATTTATTTGAATGAGAAGCTACAGAGTAAGTTCTATATTCAAAGATTTATCATCAAAGGGCCAGCAGGTGGCGTGGTGGTTAAGGGTACTGGACTCCCACATGGCTGACTGTGGTTTGAGTTCCAGACCTGGCAGCTTGCTTTCTCACTTTCCCTTTCTCTCACTCTGTCCCTCTCTGGTCAAATTAAAGTAAACAAACAAACAAATAAGCTGCTAACACAATAAACGTGAAAAGAGCACAGATCTAATTTTACTATGAAGTAGAATGTTGTTTGTCTGTGAAATAGCTGCATTATAAAGGCATGCATCAGGCCTAGAAGACAGGTCCTAAGAAGAGCTACCACAGTTTGGAGAAGGGAGAGGCTTCTTCCTGAAGGAAGTAAAGAAGAGGTCAAGGAAGAGGAGTAGGATTTTAATAAGTGGAATGTACAGGTAGCTAAACTTTAACAAGTAAGACAAGACAAAAGCTGAGATGGTAAGAAAGCAGAAAGTGTTCTAGGGAATATCTAGAGAATAAGATCTAGTAGGGAGAAGCTGAATGAATATTCATCGGGAAAAGGGAACTTTCTGAATCCGTTCTTTTTTAACTGGGACACTCACCTGTCCCTACCCCCTTCCTTCACCCCTACCTCCCTTCCTTGGGGATATTCAGAGTGACTTAGCAGTGAGGGCACAGAGGAAGGAAGGGGTATTGGTTGCAGCTGCATGTTGCTAAACACTATGCATAGGCTGAGTTTCTATCTTCAAATATTCTTCACATATTAGATGTCCAAAATACTGTTCCATTGTGTTTCTTTTTAATTCAAAAATTAGGTGAGGCAGTATCTGATGATAGGTGATACATGACAACCCAAATAAAGATATTTGTAGAATTCGATCATGACCGATTAGAGTTTATCAATCTCTGAAAGTGAGGTAGCTAGATATTTCAGTCCTGACATGCTTCTAGTTATTTTAATTACTATATGAAATAAGCCTTAATATTCAGGGAGTATATATTCTTAAATTCTTATGACAATTTTCTTTTTCCATTAATATGTACTATAACCACAGCAAGTTTGCAAGTACTTTAAAGTGGAATATGATCTCAACTTAAAATTTCAGTTCTTTAATACATGCTGGTGCCCTTCCATTCCCAGTAATGTTTACCTGGGAAATAGCTTAAGGATCAATAAGGGCATAATTTATAAATCATAGGTGTATTCTCTCTGCATTAGAGACTATTGTTCCAATGTGGCCTTGTTCATCTCTCATAAGGTTCATGTGAATGTACGCAGTCCCCATCTAGAATGGCTGCAGTAATAATAGATGTCTATGAGTAAACTTACCAAATTTTCTAAAAAGAACATGATTCTGACAATGCCAGAGCTATACTGGAGAATACATCAAGTAAGCTGGGCAGGAGTTTTAGTAAGTGGAATACCTCAGTAATCTAAACCAATCTAAATATGAGCCAACAGTTTTGGGGAGGACAAGAAAAACGAATTTTCTTGGTTACAGACATAGACCATAGTCAACATATGGCATCACCATGCCACTGATTCTTAGAGTAGCTGGTGGAGGAGGCTTTAGATAAACCCATCATTCACTCTATGGAAAAAGATCTCTTGGGTCGTAGGAAAAGTCATGATGCATAAAAAATAGAAAAAATATGTCAATGACTTTTCTGACAACCCAATAGTTCAGATCTTAGGGATTATGAGTCAATAGTACCATATGGGTGCTTCTGTTGAAGAATTGGTTTGGGAATTTCTATTAAGGAATGAGAATTATACAAAACAGCACTCTGTAATTGGAGTTTTGACCTATAAAAACAAAACAGCAATTCCATAGGTTTCAACCTACTCGCATGCCTTCTCTTTTGCCTTGGCTATCAGGAAAGCTAGAACTAAACTTAAAGCTTTATCAGGTTTAGTTATATTAATAATTTTGATTAGCATATTTGCTTCTGGATTTGATTAATTTTAAGAGTCTGAAGACTCTGAAATACCTTTGGAAGAAATAACATATAGGTAGTAATAAAAGGTTTTTTTCTACTCATGAAAGTTGTTAGAAAGTTTTTTTCTACCTATGGAAAAGTATTTTGCAACCTACATTCTAAAATTTTGAATCCACTGACTTTTCAATTCACTGCACATTCTTGTCTTCCTATCGTTGTCTTATATTCCTTCTAATCCATAAATCTCATCGTCTTCGAATTCTCCCAATACTATTTAGGATAAAAGCAAACCCCGGTCCCTACGTAGTTCTCCAGCTTCGTCTTCCCCACATGCCTCTATCACACTGAGACTCCTGTAGGTCCTTCACTCTGTATTTTCTTTCATATTTCCATGTCTTTGATCATGCCATGCCCTTGAGCTGAAGTGCTTCTCTTCATTGCTCTTTCTGAATAAATATCCTCTATTTACATCATGATTCATCTCAAGCAGCCCTTTAGAATAACTGCCTCACTTAAAACTTATTAATCGAACTTGTTTCTAGCTTGAACTACTATTTTAATTTCCAATTAAATTCTTTATCTCTAACTTATCATTTCTTTAGTTCAGCAACATTAGCCTAATCACATTCCATCATATTATAATGATACTAAAAAAAAGAAAACAAAAAACCCTCTCTTTTGATTCCAATGTAAGGCTGAAATCCTTGGCATGGAATTAAAGACTATTTAGTGACACTACTATCTCATAAAGTACAAGAAAAGAGAAGATATTATGATGGAAATTCAGGGAAAAATATTTTGTAAACCTACCATTTTCTTTTAAGGGTACTTGGGATGAAGAATTTCCAGAACTATGCATTGTCATTCCTGTGGTATAAATTAAATTATTAGACATTTTATGAGATGATCAGATAGTAGATATAGAAATAATTTCTTCTGATAAATTTATAAAAATCAATAAAACATTAAAGCAACATTTTCTTTACTTATACAGTAAAAAATATGTCTTCCCACACTGGGATATATTTACTATTTTTAAATAGTAATTAAGCACATTAATTTGTTTTGCAGCATAAACTGAAACACAAATTATTGTTTCTGACAATGACTTTTTGGTATGTCAAATGTGAGATGATAAAAATGAAATGAGTATTTTATTTGTTCAAATGTTAAAAGGAAATTCAACATGTAATAAGAATGAATAATATAAATCAAAATCAAATACAGAAAATAAAATTCCTTTTATAAGTTTTATATGATTTTAATAGATAATTTACTATTCTCTTTTTGATGTGTAAAGGAAAGCCTTCTTAATGAAAATAGCTTAAAATCTTTATGATCCCATTGTACGTGAATATACTTCAAAAAGTATTCCCTAAAAGACTATACTCAGAATATTTTCAACTTACAGAGTTACCTATATGGCAAAATTTTTCCTTTTGCTTGTTTAAATTTTTTTAAACAATTCAATTTAAGCTTATGTAATTTCTGGAAGTTATGGAATCCTACATTAACAATGTTATTTTCTATTAATATATATCAATTATAAGGTAGAGTTCTTTTCTGACTTCATTTATTCCATATACCTCCCAATCCAATTACATGATGAAAAAGTACTTTTTCAAAAAAAATTTTTTTCAGAGGGCACATGTGCTCGCTGGAGACAGATGAAGAAAAAAAGTGAGAAAGCACCCCTCCATGGAGAGTGGTCACATCACAGTCACTTCTACTCCATCTCTACTTCTTCTGGAACTTGGAGCATCCGTGCACACACAAGGGCCTAGTGTATTTCTCAAGCTGCAGGTCTGGAATTTGAACCATGTGATGATCAGCCATGTGAGATCCAGTGCTTTAACCACCAACCCACAGGCTGGCCTGAAATAATTTTTTTAAGAGAGATTTTTGCTACAGGGTATGTGCACTTGCCAGATAGACAGAGACAGAGAGACAAAAAGCGAGAAATCATCCCCCGGGGGGATGGCCATGCACGCACACGCACCCGGTGTGAGTTTTAAGCTGTCAGGTCCAGGACTCGAACTGTGGTTGAGTACATAGGAGTCCAGCAATGTAACCATTATGTCATCTGCTGGTCCCTCTCAAAAAAATTCTTTAACTTTGGGTAATCAGGGCTAAATTAATAAAATTTTGGCCTAAAGAGAAAGTTAATTAATAGTATTTGGCAATACAACAGAAGAGTGTTTCTTCGTAGTCTCTCAGGCTGTTTCACATTTTGATGGGTAGTTCAGATCTTTATGCTTAAATATCTACTCTTGCGGAAGGCTTACTTCAGTGCCTTTCCTTTTAATGATACACAAGGCAACAGTTAACTTGAACTACTTATAAGGTAGTTTGTGTGTATATATAAGCACATTGAACTTCTACACTTTAATAATTAATAGGTCCCAGCTAGCTGGGAAGTTTTAAGGAAACAAGTCAACCAAGAATCTCCACCTATCAACCATAACTTATCTAACTTTTTAGAGATAATGCCATTCATGCTGAGATGAAAGCGTCCTAAGTCCAGCAATGTCAAAAAAAAAAAAAAAAAAAAAGAAAAAAAAAAGCCTCCCTTGAGAGCACTTTTATAGGCTTGTAAAGAAAAAGCAAAAGAAGGGAATCCACAGCGATGGTATGGGACTGCCCTGGCCCTGTAGTTTGTCTCTCAGGGCTACTGTGACAAAGAGGAAGTTATGTAAACGTCTGTGTATGAAACAATCACTGCCTAGACCAACTGTAGATTTGATCTGTTGCATTTTATGTAGCCAAATGTTTATATTCATAGTTTTGGCAATTAGGAAATGGCACCCAAGAGGATTTATTGGTAATTAACAAGATCCCCTTCACTTTGCTATGAGCATGAGTTATGTGAGAGAGAAGGTAAGCCGTTTGTGCTGACCTATAACATAGGCTTGGCCAGGGTCTTCAATGGATGAGGAGTCTGATTCATGTTTCATCCTTTCAGGACTTCTATTTAAACTTGCAACAGACTTTGAACTGAAGAAGGAAAAGGAAGGTAGGAAGGGAAGCGTCAGTGTAAAAAAAAAAAGGATGAAAAAATAAAACATCAAAACAAAACAAATGTATGAAATGGAGCATTTACAAATAGGTAGTTTGAGTTACTTAATCATGTTCTTACTTATTAAGTTTTGTGAATCCTGCCAAAGAGTCTGTATCAGATCTTCCCATCTGGTGAAAGGGTTTTCCCACCAACTCTGCAACACTTTGTGGTGGGGAATCCATGTTAACAATGACATTTTTCCGATGAGGATAGAGAGAGGCCTGACTGAGGTCATGATATGATTTACTCATCCCTCTAGGCTTTTCCTCCCATGAAGCTCTGTCACTCTTCTCTTTTGAATTGTTTTGCAATGGTTGGTAAAGCGACAGCTCTGAGCAGGATAGCCTCTTCAGAATCTCAGCTTGAACTGACAAAGGTCGAACGGCAAGTTTGTTCAAGGTGCTGCTGGCCAGACTGCCAGTGCTGATTGCTCGTCCCATATTTAATCCTCTAACGGACTCTGCTTGGAGATTCAGGCTCCTAAACGAAGCTCTCTCTACAAGGAAATAGGATTGCTTAACACGATGGAAAACACTGCAATACCTTTACGAGAAGAGTCATTTTAGTAAATGAAATACAGCATGCAGTTTTTAATCATTTTGACTGCCAGCATAAGTAGGTAGCTTTCAAAGAGTGGCAATCAGGGTTTAAAAAAAAGATGTTTGAGATCCTGGTTTTCATACCATTGATCTACTTCTTCTTCTTCTTCTTCTTTTTTTTTTTTTATAAAGAACTATTTATTTATTATCAATATTTTTTCAATTTTAACCAGATTGAAAAAGAGAGAAAGAGAGCAAGCCACCAGGTCTGGGACTTGAACTGCAGTCGGTCATGTGGGAGTCTAGTGCTCATACCACCATGCTACCTGCTGGCCCTACCATCTATCTTCTCTTCTTTCTTTCAGCCACAACATTCCCTACTTCATCTAGTAATTGTCCTGGACCCAGTAATGTTTGGAGTTCTGCCTGCTGACCTCAAATCTCTTACGGATTTCAGTTAAAAATGAGAATGACACTTGACTGAGAAACTTTCCTTTTGTTTGTTAGTTTGTTTTTTGTTTAGGTTTTTGCCATAGGGTATGTGTGCTTGCTGGATAGTGACAGAGAGAGGGAAAGTGAGTAAAATCAACCCCCAAGGGGGGATAGCCATGCTGCAATCCTTTCTCCTCCATTCTCTTCTTAGGATTATGGGCATGAACTCACATGTGCCTGGTGTGATTTTGAAGCTGCCAAGTCCAGGGCTCAAACCACAGTTGACCACATGGGAGCCCAGCACCTTAATCACCATGCCACCTGCTGACCCCCAGAAAAACTTTCAACCTGAGTAGTATCTCTGCTAAAGTATCAGCAAATCAAGGATGATGATGAGGAGAGAGAAAACCTGGTTGGTTGACATGATGAATACATGCCGTAAAAAGAAGTTGGGTGGAGAAGAGTTCTGCCCAGACGATGGGTTCATCATTATTACATTTTTTAAAAGCTCATGACAAGTCGTGGTGATGTGCACAACTCTGAACATACTAAAATCCACTGAACTGTGCATTTTAAATGGATGAATTGTACAACATGTGAACTGTATCTCTAATACTATTATCCATTAAAAAAAAAACAAAACAAAAAAGCTTTCAAGGCAAATTATTTTTATTTTATTATATTATTACTGGGTCATTTTCACCTTCTGGAGTTCATGATTTAATATAGACAATGAAGCATGAGAGAAGCAAATAGCAATAAACCTCTCTGCTATGGTATCTGTAAGTTACAAAATCAGAGAGTTGGGGATTTCTTTATGCTTAAATTCTATTCATTCCTACATACACATCTACCTACTGTCTTCTTTTAGAGACTAAATTTAGACTTTTAAAAGTAAGTGTTCAGTGGGACCAGCAGTTAGTGTAATGGCTATGTCGCCAGACTCCCATGTAGTCGACCGTGGTTCGCGTCCCGGACCTGGTGGCTTAAAGCTCACGCTGGGCGTGTGTGCATGTGTGCCCAAGATCCCGAGAGGAGAACGGAGGAGAAGGGATTATGGTGTGACCATCCCCCCTGGGGGGTGATTTCTTACTTTCTGTCTCTATGTTTCTCTCTGTCTGTTTGGCGAGTGCACGCGCTCTATAGCGAAAACCTCTCAAAAAAAAAAAAAAAAAAGGTAAGTGTTTGGCTATTTTACACTGTAAAAACCAATGCCTTAGTAGTATTTTAACATTAGAGGCTATTAACAAAAGCAGTGCGTTACATGTAAACACGGGACGGAGAGCACAGGTTTGCAGATGGTTTAGTCACTCATGTGTCCAGTACCTCACATCACAAGGCACTCCCTCTGCTTCCCCTGGGAAGCAGCTACTCTCCGTTGTACTCTCTATGGAGTAAAGCTTGATCATGATGTAACAGATAGGAAAACTTCTTAAAGTGAAAATGTCAAGTCATTACTGACTTAGATTCTGTTTCATTTGCCTTCTAATTCCTAGGAAGATGAATAATATTTCATGTATAAACAAGTAAAAAAGAATTGGAGATTTTTAATACTGATGTGCCAGTATGAAGTTTAAATAAACATGTCTTTGTCACTAGGAAAATTCATTGTTCTTTCTCTGAGGTGGAAGTGGACACCAATTTAAAACAAAACTTTGAAAGAAAAGAAAAGACTGGGGTTGGCAGGTAGCATGGTGGTTGAGGCGCTGGACTCCCATATGGCTGACTATGGTTCAAGTCTTGGGCCTGGCAGGTTATTTTCTCACTCTCAATATGGGTATCTCTCTCTCTGGTCAAGTTAAAGTAAATAAATAAATAAATAAAATTAAATAAATAATTCTTTAAAAATAAGACTTTAAAATCTCCCTCGGGAACCAGCAGTTAGTGTAATGGCTATGTCGCTGGACTCCCACGTAGTCGACCGCAGTTCACGTCCCGGAACCGGTGGGTTTAAAACTCACGCCGAGCGCGTGTGCGTGCGTGCCCAAGATCCCAAGAGGAGAATGGAGGAGAAGGGATTGCGGCGTGACCATCCCCCCTGGGGGGTGATTTCTCGCTTTCTGTCTCTATGTCTCTCTCTGTCTGGCGAGCGCACGCGCCCTACAGTGAAAATCTCTCCAAAAAAAAAAAAAAAAAAAACACCTCCCTCAAAAACCCCTTCATCTAAAAATTTCCGGAGAGTTGGGCCAGCAGATGGTATGGAGGTTAAATGCTGGAACCTATGTGGCTGACTGTGCAGTTTGAGTCCAGGACCTGGAGGCTTGAAAATCATGCCAGGCATGTGTGTGCGTACCCAAAATCTCAAGAGAGGACTGGAGGTGAAGGGACTGTGGTGTGACTGTCCCCTCTGGGGGGTGATTTCTCACTTTCCCTCTCTTTCTTTCTCCCTGCCACTCTGGTGATGTGCCCATTAGCAAAACTAACAGAAAAAAAAAAAATCCAGAGCCAGCAGGCAGTGTCCAATTCTGTGGTTTGTCTCAGACCCAGGGGCTTGAAACACATGCCAGGTGTGTGCCCAAAATCCCTAGAGGAGAATGGAGGCAATATAATTGTGTCATGGCTGTCCTTCCTCTGATCCTTCGGAGGGGAGGGGAGGATTTTTCACTGTCTCTTTCTCTCCCTGACTCTCAGGTGAGTGCATGCACTCTATGGGAAAAATATTCCAGAATTATCTTTAACTCATCCTTAACTTAAAATATGGAGTTTTTTTTTTTATTAGAGCAGATAACACTATTTGTTTTTGTTTTTGTTTTCTGTGAGAGCAGGCTTTAATCAAAGATGCAAACCAGTCTCATGCAGAGTCAATGATCAGAAGATGACTTCACACTCAATAGATTTCTTTATCCTTGAAGAAAATGTGGGCCAATCCAATCTTTGGCAGGAATAAGGACAGACAGCTTTGTTCAGATTTTGTCTGTTTAGTGAATGTATCAGAGTTCGTTCTACTGAAATCCATTCATAGTGCACTTCTGGATAGGACTTAAAATGTTGCATGTACCATGGGATGCGATCATAAACCACAACTCATGGCCTTGTAACTGCAGCCTTTTACCTGAAAAGGACTCCCACATGGATTATCAATCTGGTAAAGAACATTAGAATGAGCCTGTCCATATTTTAATACTAATATTTCAAATTTGAACTCAAAGGATTGTTAGTTCCACATTCAGTCTGCAAATCACATTTACTAATCTCTGTTTCTGCTATTGTTTGGTCCCTTGTACCAGTCTATGTGTCCTTCCATCCGAATTAATTAAATGCTCTTTTGAAAAGAGGGGTTTGTTTATTTTGTTATCTTGTGGTATTTAGCAGTTACAAATAGAAAGTTATCAATAAGTGGTTATTAATCTTAAATTCCATGCAAATTAGTTCTTTTGGACACTCATCTAACAGTATTGGATTAGGAATAAGGGTTCCAGCCTAGACTGAATGTCTCACCTCTAATAGGTGAGACATTCCTTTCTCTGAATCTATTTCCTCATCAGTAAAAGTTTGGACTTAGTGACTTCTTAAAGGTCTTTCTAGCGCCAATATTCTATTCCTAAAGAAGTAGTATACACTTATCAGACTATCAACATCGTACCAGTTATTTTTGCTTTTCTATTACAGATAGTTAAATAGGCAGATATTGGGTTGGCAGGAAAGTCATGACACATTTTTGCTTAGAAATATGTCTTGACTTTCCAGACAATCTAAAAGTTACTTTTTTTTGAGAGATTTTTGCTATAGGGCGTGTGTGCTCTCCAGAGAGACAGAAAGTGAGAAATCACCCTCCCCTCCCCTGGTGGGGGATGACCACATTGCAATCACATCTCCTCCATTCCCCTCAGGATTTTGAGCACGCTCAAACGCATGCCCAACGTAAGTTTTAAGCCACCAGGTCCAGGACTGCGAACTGCAGTCAATTACGCGGGAGTCCAGTGACATAACTATTAAGCCATCTGCTGGTCCTGCTAATAGTTACTTCTTAGCTGATTCTATGTAGGAAATGACTCCTTCAAAGGTTTAACAAAATCTGGGAAAAGATAGAGATAATACCAGTCTTAGAGTTTTCCACATGTAAATTCAAGGGCACGTGGCTTCTGTAATCCAAGGAGCAAATCTGTGGGATACGGAGAGCATTCTCCTTTCAAGGATAAAAAAACCGAGACTCCAAAAAGTCAGTTACTTCCTAAGGACATTCATCTACTGACACTGTTAATACTGCTGTTACTACTGCTACAGATACTATAGCGGTACAGTATATGGTATAGCAGGAGATGGCACAGTAAGAGTATCTTCTGCTGCTGCTATTAACACTACTAATGATAGTAATGTTGATGATGGTGAAGATAATAATGAACGCTACTGAGTTCTAATTTTATGCCGGCACTTTTTAATGTGCTCTTCATGTTAAAAATTCACTTTCTTGTTACAACCTTATTGAGTAGGGAATATTATAATATCATTTTACATACAGAGTAACCCAGGCAGAGTTTAAGCAGCTTGCCCAAGATTGTAGGGCTTACAAGTAACAGCCTGGTTTGAATACTGGCAGTTTGGCTCCAGATCTCATGCTCTTTTTTTTTAAAAAAAAAAAGAGAGAGAGATTTTTACTATAGAGCATGTGCACTTGCTGGAAAGATAGAGACAGAAAGTGAGAAATCATCCCCCTGAGGGGATGGCCACACTGCAATCCTTTCTCCACCCCTTTCCTCTTGGATTTTGGGCAGGCACGCACATGCATCTGGTGTGAGTTTAAGTCACAGGTCTGGGACTCAAACTGCGGTTGACTACATGGGAGTTCAGCGATATAACCATTATGCCATCTGCTGGTCCCAGAACTCATGTTCTTAATGACCATACTACATTATTCACTGGCATAAGAAATGTTGAGGATGGAAGGCTAACTAAATACTTTTTGTTTTCTTTCTTTTCCTCCTTCCTTTGTTTTCTTGACTCATTTTTTCCCCTCTAGGTCTCGTGTGCTTCTCAGAGAAGGACGGAGAAAGAAGGAGGGGAGAAAGCCCCCTCCATGGCCATGCACAATCCTTCTCTTCCATCCCTCGGTCTCTCCTTGGGAATTTTGGGGATGCATGCTCACGCGCCTAGTATGTTTCTCAAGCTGTGGGTCTGGGACTCGCACTGTTCAGTGGGCTGCATGGGAACCAGCTGCTTTAATAGCAGACCGTGGAGCTGGCCCCACGTACCCCATGCATTTGTTTCTGAGTTTTTTCACTATACCACATTTATAATGATGATACGTCAGCTGTTCAATTCTAGTTTGTATTAAATAGAATATTACTTCAAGTAGGAATGCAGATAGCTGTAACAGGTTTGATACACCATTGTACTTTGAAACTATTTAAGAGTGCATAAATTTTTTAGCAGAGCAAAGCAGAGAAAGAAAAATAATGAGATTGTTTTATGGAAGTGGCTACATATTTTATGAATTTTTAACATGCATAAAAATCATTATTGAGGAAAAAGAATAATAGGATTACTTTATGGAGTGGTTACATATTTTAACATGCATAAAAATCATTATTGAAGAAAGCCTGATAAAAATGTAGGTTCTAGAGGCCCAATCCCTAGATAATGTGATTCTCCAAGTTTCAGTAGGTTCCTGAAAATTAATTTTAAATCAGCTTATAGCCCCATTCCCATGTTGATTATTAAAGGTTGAGAAACATCAGTTCACAGGTTGCCATCTCTCCAGTCGGAACCCGTGGGGAAAATATTTTCTGTAAGATTTCAGAATGTTAGAAAGTCCAGGTAAAGAATACATAGGGTGGGACCAGAAGGTGGTGTAGTGGTTAAGGCACTGGACTCCCCCACATGGCTGACCACAGTTCGAGGACCAGACCAGACGTCTTGCTTTCTCACTTTTTCTCTCTTTCTCTGTCTCTCTGGTAAAACTGAAGAATAAATAATAACAACAAATTAAATTAAGTAAGTAAACAATTTTTAAAAAAAGAATACATAGGGTTCTGGTGCATGAGACTATCAGTGCTATTCTGTTCCTTTTACTTACTTATTTATTTATTTATTTTAGAGAGAGATCTTTGTTATAGGACACATGCACTGGCCAGAGAGACAGAGACAGAAATCACCCCCTGGGGGGATGGCCATGCCACAATCTCTTCTCCTCCATTCTCCTCTCGGGATTTTGGGCACACATGCACATGCGCCTGGTGTGAATTTCAAGCCTCTGGGTCCAGGATTTGAACAGCGGTCGACTATGTGAGAGTCCAGTGATGTAACCATTATGCCATCTGCTAGTCCCCTGTTACGTTTTTAAGTCACACACTGCAGGGTATTTCACTGAAGTCGTTAAGAATTCACTATACAGAACTGGATTTTGTATAACTTTAATTTGTACCTGTGGCCTTGTAAAAGAAGGATTAAATATTTCAGCTCTGACTTGAGTTTTTTTTTTTTTTTCTTCAGAGCTGATTAGTTTCTTCTGCTGGACCCTTTAAAATGGTTCTTTCTCCTGACTATTCATGTTGGGTACTGTGGTTATTCATCTCAATCTCAGAATAGGTGTGCATCCAGGTATAACTAAGAGGGAGAAAATCTGCCACCCACAAAACCATAATGTTCTAGACGTTAACCGCTCCAGACGATGCATACTTCCCACCCCGCCTTATTCCCTCTGTCCTTCCCCACATCTAGAAAGCCTTCCATTTATCTCTAACAGCTCTTTCAAGTACTGTGTCCTTGAGATCCAATCCAAGTGCCACCTCTCCAGGACTCTAGCTCCGATCTCCCTCTTCTCTAGCAATGTAGATCAAGATGCTTATGACATAATATTATTAAAATCTTGAACCTCTCTCATATTGTGTATTATTCTTTCATGCATGTTGGTCTTACCTTCCCAAATAGTGTGTAAGTTTACTGTGGGTGGAGAGCATGACCCAAACTTTTAGAATATTATTATCAATTAGTTTATTGCAAAGCACATAGTAGACATTTCAACAGATTCTGCCTTACTAATCTTGGATGGTATTTTCAGAATGAACATGGACTTCAAATCTTGACTTCAATTTTCGGCATCATTATTGAGTCATTTAGTCATTTAACCTATACCTTCTAAACATGGCAGTTTTCTAAAAAATTGTGACCATAATCATGCATACACCCTGGAGTCATCTGAAACAGTCTGTTTCTCTTACCAATGTCTTGGGCGTCTTGGTTGCTCTGTCTCGCTCTCATCTGGAGCTGGAATTTATGCTGGGAAGAGCAGAGGTGCAGCAGGTACTGGCACACCTTACTGTTGTCTGTCTGGAAGGCGTGCTTTATTCCATCTGAAGTATTCTGCAATGTAATTTTCTTTTTCTACAAGAGTAAATGGGTTTTTATAATTAGGGTATTTTCCTATGACTTTTTTACATACCCAAATGCTATAAACTATAATTAATAAGTAGAGACATTATTTATATTTCCCATTATTAAGGCATGGGTATTACTTGAACTACCTCTAATATAAAGATAAAAAATAGAGTCCTATTTTATAATTAAGAGATTACAAAGGACATCAATATTGTTTGCCATTTCAGAAATTGTAGCCTACTTCACACCGTACACCATCCAGCAGCAAGGGAAATGGTTTCCTACAATAAGATTACTGATATTTTCAGTTTATGGCAATCTTTACAAACAATAAAAACTGTGTGAGAAATAAGTGACAAGAAATATGTGCTTTATTCCCTAGAGTAAATCTGAAGCTCAGCAAGAATTGTTTTTTTATTAACATGTAATAATGAGAGCTGGATACTCAGGTAGAGTCTAAGTAGCATGAAAGCTAGAGCAGAAGTTGTGGGAAGTTCAAAGTGTGGGGCTGGAGAGGTGCTGGATGACAACTGCCGGGCTGAACCGGATGGATATTTCAGGATAGTGATTCTGGCCAAATTCAGGGAAAGTAGAAGAATCACAAATCAGTTTTATCTCTTGATGTTTCTTGAAAAATGAATAACACTTGTAATAACACTTGTAAAAGGGCACACCCAGATTTGTGACCTAGGCGATGAGCTTTACAGGGAACCAGAAGCCTTAAAAGGCTAGTGTTCAACATGCCAGAGGTAGAAGCTGCAGGCCTGGGGAGCTGCAGGCCCAGCTCGATTGCACTCTAGCTCTTGGCTACTGTGCAAGTGAGTGCCTCTACTTTATGTCCCTTTTCTTTACTTCAAGTGAAGAAATAAGTGGAGAAAAGGCTAAATAGTAGCTTTCAAAAAATCCTACAGAGTATCAGTCAAACGTCAATCATACTGGTGCCTTCTTTATAATTTCTGGTTTTGTCTATAAATATTTTGTCTATAAAAATTTTCTTACTTATATAAATTCACTGTAAAGAAACTTTACATCACAACTGTGACCAGAAAATTAGTACTACGTGCCATAAGTAGAATGCAGTTATAAAAATATATATCATAGGGCCAGCAGTTATATTTCCCATTATTAAGGCATGGGTATTACTTGAACTACCTCTAATATAAAGATAAAAAATAGAGTCCTATTTTATAATTAAGAGATTACAAAGGACATCAATATTGTTTGCCATTTCAGAAATTGTAGCCTACTTCACACCGTACACCATCCAGCAGCAAGGGAAATGGTTTCCTACAATAAGATTACTGATATTTTCAGTTTATGGCAATCTTTACAAACAATAAAAACTGTGTGAGAAATAAGTGACAAGAAATATGTGCTTTATTCCCTAGAGTAAATCTGAAGCTCAGCAAGAATTGTTTTTTTATTAACATGTAATAATGAGAGCTGGATACTCAGGTAGAGTCTAAGTAGCATGAAAGCTAGAGCAGAAGTTGTGGGAAGTTCAAAGTGTGGGGCTGGAGAGGTGCTGGATGACAACTGCCGGGCTGAACCGGATGGATATTTCAGGATAGTGATTCTGGCCAAATTCAGGGAAAGTAGAAGAATCACAAATCAGTTTTATCTCTTGATGTTTCTTGAAAAATGAATAACACTTGTAATAACACTTGTAAAAGGGCACACCCAGATTTGTGACCTAGGCGATGAGCTTTACAGGGAACCAGAAGCCTTAAAAGGCTAGTGTTCAACATGCCAGAGGTAGAAGCTGCAGGCCTGGGGAGCTGCAGGCCCAGCTCGATTGCACTCTAGCTCTTGGCTACTGTGCAAGTGAGTGCCTCTACTTTATGTCCCTTTTCTTTACTTCAAGTGAAGAAATAAGTGGAGAAAAGGCTAAATAGTAGCTTTCAAAAAATCCTACAGAGTATCAGTCAAACGTCAATCATACTGGTGCCTTCTTTATAATTTCTGGTTTTGTCTATAAATATTTTGTCTATAAAAATTTTCTTACTTATATAAATTCACTGTAAAGAAACTTTACATCACAACTGTGACCAGAAAATTAGTACTACGTGCCATAAGTAGAATGCAGTTATAAAAATATATATCATAGGGCCAGCAGTTTAAGGCACTGGACTCCTACATAGCTGACTGCGGTTTAAGTCCAGGATCTGGCAGTTTGCTTTTTTTCCCTTTCTCTCTCTGGTGAATACATGTACATATAGCAAAATAAAAAAAATATATAAAAACATGGGGCCAGCAAGTAGCTTGGTGGATAAGGCGCTGGACTCTCACATAGTTGACTGTGGTTTGAGTCCCGACCTGGGGGCTTATTTTCTCACTTTCTCTCTCTCTCTGGTCAAATAAAAATAAATAAATAAAATTAATAAATAGTTCTTCAAAATAATAATAATAATAAAATTAAATAAATAATTCTTTTTAAAAAATTATAAAAGCAATAAAAACAGAACAGCCCTGTTCAATTCTAGCTAGATATTGTTGCCAATGAATCTCTTGGACTAAACCTGCTTCCTGTTAAAAATAAAAATCGGCACATGACTCTGTGACACAATAGTAATTCGCTGTTCGAGAGAAACCAGCTACGACCTGGTGACCATGATTTGAATCCCAGGCTTGGTCAAATACTGGACATGTGAGTGCCCAGGCTCTGGTGGGCTAAAGGACTGGAGGACAGGGAATGGTAGTGTGACGAGATCCTATGGAGGGTGCTTCTCTCTCTCGCTCTCACTCTCTCATGAAAGCATGCACTCTATCATGAATATAAGGGGAATAAATGAGGAAAACAACAAAACAACAACAACAACAAAAAAAAACTACAGAACCAAAAACAAAACACAAAATCATAAGCAAATGTTTGAGAGGTATAAAAGATACTGTGATCTGAAACATCACGAGATCACACTAGGATCTCAAATATCAGTATTATGTCTAGTAACTCTTCAAATGCTTGGGAAAATAATTTTTTTACCACTTGCCTACCATAAAATAATTAATGCGAACACTGAATTCCACAAGTTCTCTCACCGACTGAAGCATTAATATAAAAGAATCTCCTTAGCTTAATAGTCCAAGGAGCTATGGAACCGATATCTATACTAAAATGTCCCAAGTAGCAAATACTGATAAGTCTCTCTCTCTCCGTCACACACAAGCACACAAACACACACACACACAGGCACATGCATGCACACGCACAGCCATAGGTAAGTTAGAGGTCCATTATAAGTAAATAATATTATGAATGATTTGAGAAAAACATATTAATTTTAATCATATTAGAAGAATACTGATTATGAATGTTAACTGATACTCTGCACAAGCAATGTCCCTGAGGGAACTTGGTTCTAGAGATGAGATGGTTGAAGGGTGACTTTTCAATTTTCCCAGAAGTCAGTACAAGAAAAAAAAAAAAAGAGAGAGTTAAAAGAGAGCTCTGGGGGACCAGCAGTAAGCATAATGGCTATGTCACTGGACTCCCACGTAGTCTACCGCGGTTCGAGTCTTGGATCCGGTGGCTTAAACTCATGCCGGGCGCGTGTGCGTGCGTGCCCAAGATCCCAAGAGGAGAACGGAGGAGAAGGGATTGTGGCATAGCCATCCCCCCTGGGGGGTGATTTCTCGCTTTCTGTCTCTCTGTCTCTCTCTGTCTATCTGGCAAGCGCACACGCCTTATAGCAAAAACCTCTCCAAAAAAAAAAAAAAAAAAAGAAAAGAAAAGAAAAGAGAGCTTTGGGAGCCATGCTTTGTATGCCTTTTCTCTTGAAAAGAGAGAGAGGCCAGTCCACAGCATGGTGGTTAAGGCAGCCAAATCCCAGATGGTCAACTGCATGGCTTAAGAAACACACTGGACATGTGTGTGCATGCCTCAAATCCCCAAAGGAGGGAGAGATGGAGAAAAAGGGATTGCAGTATGACCTTTCCCCATTGGAGGAGCTTTCTCACTTTCCTTCTCTGTCTCTCTCTGGCAAGCACACACACCCTCTGGCAAAATGGTTTCTGTGAGAAATCTACTATTGAGCTAGACAAGGCTCACTGGTGTTAAGATAATTATCTACCCTAAAATCATTAAGGGGATTTTTTCCATGTGAGAAGGTATAACTCTAGAGTAATAGTTTTGACTTAAAAGAGAATTCAACTCGGTTGTAATTTAACTGAACTTAACTGAGCATATAACCAGCTAGGAATTTATAGTACTCTTTTAAAAATAACCTTCCAAGAAAACCAGTTACAAATCTCAAAAATACTTCCAACAACTAAGAAGAAGAGTTAAATAGTATTAAAACATGTTTGCCCTCCGGAATGGTAGGGTCTAAAATTTACTTAAAGAAAGTCAGTTAATATATTACACTGGAAATTGGTGACACTAATTTTAAAATAAAATGAAAAGAGATTAAAACAGACATACGGAAAAAGAAATCTTCTTGGTTTCCCTCCATGGAAAGCGAAGGACCAATGTGCGAATGCCATTGTGAACTTCAAACACCAGGACTCCTTTAGAACAGACTCCAAGTAATATTCCTGTTTGAGATTTTTTTTCAGGATGCACTCGGTGAAAATGAACTCCATATTCTGTTAGTCTTTGGCACACCTGTTGGAGCAATAACATACCATACCATAATAGCGCAGTTTGGTAAAAAGTGATACAAAGATATAAAGTTTTGTTATTTGTTTCTGTTTTGCTTTGGCACCCAAATAAGGACATGAAACAAAGATATAGAAGTTTTATGAATGCAGTTTAATGTGGACAGCATAGTCTTTTCAACAGTTGCTGGACATAATGGATGTCCACATGCCAAAAAATGAATCTCAATCCTTACTTCATCACATATATGAAAACTAAGAGGAAATAAATCACAGACCTAAAAATAGAATCTAAAAATGTAGAACTTAGAAAATTTTTATGATGTTGATTTAGACAAAGATTTCTTAGGACATAAAATGCATGAAACAAAGAAAAATATTGGTAAAATAAAACTTAATTAACATTAAAAACTTGCTCACCAATAGTCGATGTTAAGAAAATCCAAAGGCAAGCCACAGAATATATTGGGTTGTTGGAAGTCACAATGTATTTTTATATGCAAAAATGTGTCAGGACTTTTCTAATGACTGATTATATGTTAGGTATTCCTCTGATAAGAAATTGTATCCAGAATATATAAAGAAACTGAAACTCAAGTTAAGCACATTGTCTAAGATTACACAGCTAGTTGAAATAAGAATTCAAATGAAAGACTATCTGCCAGCAAATCCCCATGCAAATTCTTTCCACTGTGCCAATCTGTCTTTATTAATAAAAATATAATTTAACATTTACTTTATACAAGTATAACAATGCAATAACTAAGGGAACATAAGTTCCAAAATTACTATCTTTAAATGTATACACGAACAGAACAAACCACCCTGACTTTCTCAGTGTGAATCCTGGATAAAAGGCAGTATAAGTCTGTGAATGAAACCCCTTAGTAGATTTTTTTTTTTTTTTGGAGAGATTTTTGCTATAGGGCGTGTGCGCTCGCCAGACAGACAGAGAGAGACAGAGAGACAGAAAGCAAGAAATCACCCCCCAGGGGGGATGGTCATGCCACAATCTCTTCTCCTCCATTCTCCTCTCGGGATCTTGGGCACACATGCACACGTGCCCGGCATGAGTTTTAAGTCACTGGGTCTGGGACGTGAACCGCGGTAGACTACATGGGAGTCCAGTGACATAGCCATTACGCTAACTGCTGGTTCCCCACTCTTAGTAGATTTTTGTAAGGATGAAAAACTTGGCTCTTCAAGAATGAGCAGCAAATGAAGGCACAAATGTTATGTCCTAAGAAGCTGAGACAGGAGAACACTGTTTTATATTTGGTATTTGCATGAGAAGTTTACATAGTACTTTTTTTTAGAGAGATTTTTACTATAGGGTATATGTGCTGGGGGTGGGTGGGGAGGGATGGCCACACAGCAATCCCTTCTCCTCCATTCTCCTCTTGGGATTTTGGGCACGCCCACATACGTGCCTGCAGTGAGTTTTAAGCCTCCAGGTCTGGGACTCAAACTGCGGTCGCCTACATGGGAGTCCAACAATATAGTCATTATGCCCTTTGCTGGTTCCAGTTCTATTTTTTCTTGATCATTAATGCCCCACTATTTATCTGAGGTCTTCGAGAAAGGTGGTAGCAGAACTGGAACCATAAATCAATTTTTCTTACTTCTCACTCTTAAACAAATTGGGTGGCATTTAGTAGAAAGACCATTTTTGAAGGATGTAATTGAATTTTAGCTTTTTGAGAAAAAGCAAAATATTTTTAGAATCAATATGAACTTGTCTCTCTCATCCAGCAGTCACCAAATAAAATTGTTTCTTCTTTATAATGTATTTTGATTTTGAGAATGTACAATGGTATAGAAGTATAGAATTAATCGCCAGATGGATATGGGTTCAAATCATAGTTTTGCCCCACAAACCAGCCATTGACTTTGTGAACATTCCATTTCCTCTTCGACTCTTAGTTCCTTCTTTTATAACATGAGAATTAAAATGCAAGTTTTAGTCAGGAATAAGTGAGATGAGTTATGCACAGTATCAGTTAATCGCCACTTAAGCTTTCAGATGTGTGTCCTGCAATACTTCTTGCTTATTTTGAAAGAGAGATAAAGCTTATGATTTGTAATCTTGCATGCAAGCTTACCTTTAAAAATTCTAACTCTGTCTCTTTTTCAGAAGCTCCCACATAGGTATTATGCAATTTGGGTAACTCCTCTTTAACATAGGATAAGTCAAGTTTCTCTGTCACTCTTGCAGGCAAATAATGCTCCAGTCTAAAATAAGACACACCATGAACCTAGAAAAAAGAATGTTCTTGTAAGCAATTCTGTTTGCTTTTTGTTGGCGTGAACCCCCTTTCCTCTATCTTAAAGTTTTTTCCTTGGTCAAAAGATAAGATACTTTATGTCTACCCCTCTCTCATGAGCTTTAGAGGAAATGTATCAGTTTTTCTCTGCTATTAAGGGAAGTGGAATGACTGATGATTAGCAAGCTTGAGGAGAATGATGTCAAGGGCCTCATGCCAAGGTAGCTCAAGAGTAATACTGGGAAGGATGCTGCTCCAGTGGACACTCTCTGGTCCCTTTCTTCCTCTTAGGCTGCTTGTATTTAGGGACATTAGGCTTTGAACAGTGATGGCTTCATAAAGTGAACTCTGTTAAGGTCCATCATCGTTTGGCTCCACAGGGAAGGTAGAAGATCCTTTTGTTTTGTTTTTTTAAAAATTATTAATTTAATTTATTGTTATTATTTAATTTGCTATAGGGCACATGTGCTCACCAGAAAGAGAGAGGCAGAGGGGGAAAGTGAGAATGCATGCTGCTACGTCCAAGACTTGAACTAAGGTCAGCAATGTAGGAGTCCAGTGCCTTATCCACCATGCCACCTGCTGACCCCTAGAAGATCCCTTTAATCTATATTCAGCTAACAATTCCTGTGTCTAGTCTCTATTAGAAGATAGGAGAAGGAGGCATAAGTGCTAAATATCCCTAAGCTCTAAAACAGGATAACTTGAATCAAAACAAAAATATCCCATATTGCATGATTTTATATAACTGATATACATGGGGAACTTGGTCATTTTGAAGCACCAAACTAGCCTCATGAATCTTCATATCTAAACATCAAACATCTCTGCCAGGTTTAGTGCTAAAAAGAAGAACACCAATACAAAAGTGGTAAGGAGAAAAAGCATAAATCCTACCTCTGGTTGATAGTCTCCATACTCAGCCTGCAGAGCCAAGGATGCCAGCAACAAGGCCGTCTCATCATCACAGTGCATCCTCTCCTCCAAGATATCTTTCCGCAGCTGGAGGTAATACTGATGACAGGTGAGAGTATGTCTGAAAAGACAAATACACAGACATTGAGGGTTTTGATCTTGAATCTTAGGGTGATTTTTATTATAGTCATGTATATTTAGTTTCTAAGACAGTTTATTAAAAGCTTTTTATAAGCTTTTAAGGCATAAGAATTCAATAAACTACACTGAAGGAAATACTTCTCTTATGGAATCTTTGTGATAATGAAGACATTATCATTGACTGAATGGTAATGAATCAAGTAATTCAGTATTAGTAAGCCAAAGGGTTGAAAGAACAGGGGCCCAAGAGAGCAAAAAAACCCAACTCTTATGTACTCACTGTATTAGACTAACATCATCCATGAAAAATTTAATTCTAAAAAACAAAGTAAAATTAACAGTGGCCTTGCTTTTTTTCTTTGGTTCTTCTTTCCATCCATCTGGGGCCACTTTGGTTAGTTTTAAGTCAGGATCAACAAAGAAATATTCATTATCTATAATGGAATGAGAAAAACATTCAGATAAAAAGTTTAAAATACCCTTTAATGTTTTCTTCTGATGTCTTCACTTTTTGGTTAGTCTTACACAAAAAAAACACCATATAAGGATAGACCATGACTGTTGGGAAGCACAGCAGGGAACTGAGCACTGCCTGTGGATGGGAGGCAACATGGCGCATTCTTTCAAGAATGGGAACTCTAAAGACAGACCTAGATCCAACTCCTGGACACGTATGTCATTTACTATCTGCATGGCACTAAGTAAATTATTTTACCTTTCTGGACCTCAATTTCCTTGTCTATAAAATCAGGACAGCACTAATTTCTGCTTTACAGGACTGCTGTGAGGATCAATGGATCAACACAAGAGATATAAAACACTCAGTAAAGTATGTAATACATAGTACAAATTCAATAAGTATTAGCTAATATTTACTATTATTGAGCTATCAGGTGAAAGTTGGAAGAAATGACAGTCACCATTTTATTTGTTTAAAATTTTTCCAGAGGGCATGCATACTTGCCAGAGAGAGAGAGAGAGACAGGGAAAGTGAGAAAGCATCCCCAGCCCTCTGCAATGAGTCGTGGTTATGTCACAATCCCTTCTTCTCCCTTTCTCTCTCCTTTTGGAATTTTGGGCATGAATGCACACAGGCCTGGCATATTTTTCAAGCTACCAGATCTGGAACTCAAATTGGGCAGTCAGCCGTGTTAGATCCAGTCACTCTAACCACCAGTCCATGGACTGGCTCTTATTTGTATTTTTAATATAATCATTATCATTAACCTACTCCAGATAAAAATAAAATATTCAATCAGATCTGTTCTGAATGTTCAAGAAATTAGTGACAACCAAAGACAGTTTAGATAGTCTGTGACCCTCATCCGTGCCAAAAAAAATAACTCAGGGAATAGGGGACACTCAAGAGATGTGGAAAGTAGAGTCCACATCCTGCATTTACTGCCTCTCAACCCGCTCCTTCCCTTTTCTTCTTGTATATGAAGGGGTTTTGGCCAAAGGTGAGAACTGTTTTAGGTGATAACTTAAAACTAATTAGACTCCAAGTGAGAGCACAGTTGAGAGCAGACTGTGAGATTACTTCCAAATGGGCAAAAAGTATGGCTAGTCTTGAGGTCAAAGGCAGGTATGTGTGTATTTGCTTTTGAAGGAGTTACCATAGAAATTCTGATTGATTACATATCTTTGTGTACATAGTGTGACTTTGTGATGTGATAAAACATCAATAGGTACTAACTGAAGATTTACTGGATGACTGTACAGAAAGAATTATCCATGTTTAAGATATAATAATTCAGTAAGTAATGTTGAAGTAAACATTTTATGATCACAGTGTTGTGGAATTTCAAGATCATTTCATCCTTCAATTTTCATTTTTAGTCCTTTGTTGTCTAAGCTTTCTAAGTTAAATTATGGGGGAATTGGAAATCTGAAATGTTAAAAAGTGATTTATAAATATAATGATTTATAAAAAAAAATATTGGGGCTTCTTGCTGCTATGGCAACTCTAATGGATGGATAAATGAGGGAGGTATCTACTAAGGTTGCTCTCTGAGACCACAGGGGTAGTGAATGTCACAAAGTTCAAATGACTAAAAGACATGTAAAATAACTAATATTTAATCATGAACTAAAACCATTTAAAAAAGATACTGTATGGTTTTAGAACTTTTAGGATAGTAAACTAATAAAGGTGATGTGGAAATTCAGAAATAAGATCCTGCTATACACTGTGATTCATATCAGAATACTAATTTTTAGAGTATATATTTATGTTCATTAATTCCTTATTTTATATATGCATATATTAAAATATTATAATTATGCTTATAAATATAATAATTACCTACTTTTTATATGTATTCATATAATGATTTTTATATATATATGTTTTATATATACACACATATATAAAATAGACAATTAATATATATAATGGTCCCCGGGCCAGCAGGTGGCATAATGGTTAATTTGTTGGACTCCCACATGGCAGACTAAGGTTCTAGCTCTAGACTCGGTGGCTTGAAACTCATGCCAGTCACATATGTATGTGTGTCCAAAATCCTGAGAGGAAAATGGAGGAGAAGGAATGACAGCATGGCCATCCCCCCAGGGGGTGATTTCTTACTTTCTGTCTCTCTGGAGAGTGTGCATGCCCTATAGCAAAAATCTCTCTTAAAATTTATATGTGTGTGTACACACATACACATACACACACACACAAATAAAGTGATTCCTTAAATAATTAAAATCTATTTTTATATAGCAATGGTCAAAGAAAATTTTTGAAGGTCAGAACAAAAGTAACTATTAGGATGATGCATGTAGTTGGGAGAAGGGAGGGAGTTTCTAATTTGCTTCTACTTCTCAACGTTGACCTGTTCGTTTAGTTCAAATTTCCCCAAATGAGGCCAGGCATACTGGAAGGTATAGGAAGTCAGCTTGCGGCCAAGTTTTCATACCGTCCTTTGAACTAAAAATGTTGTGTTACCTTTGAGGGTAGCTAAAGCAAACAAATGATGCTCCACTAAGCCGATGTGAGCCACTACCATATCAAACACATCTTTACATATAGTTTTGGTGTCACAAGTGAGTTCCAGTCTCTGCCCACTCAGAAGCATGATGTTCACTTTTCTTCGGTTATCCTCATTCTTCCCTTTCTTAGCCTACAATTGAAAAACAAAACAAAACAAATGGTATTCACTATAATCAGTATTATAAGAATTTTACCTGGTTTTTAAAAACAAAATCACCGACATAATTTTCTAAGAGTAACACACATTGCTTTTCTTACTTACAAGGATAGAGCGTGGCAAATCCAAAGATATGAAGGGTTCAATCGTCATTTTCACAAACTCAGGGCCGAAGAAATTCTGCAAATCAGATAGGTAGAATCAATAGTTTTTACTATTCTAGCTCTTTCCTTGAGAAAAAAAAGTAGTAAGTTACACATAAAGCTAGCACTTTAGAGCCAGGTGATCTAAGATAAATGTGGAACCTGTCCATGAACAAGTGCATTGGAAATGACCTGGAACAGGAATGAAATCTTCCTTACCCTTAGTTTGAATAGACATTTTCCTCGACTTTGTTTTTCAAATATCATGCTTTGTTTTACATTGTTTAATAGAGTTTTCATGATTTTGACTCCAGTTAGATTCAGACTCTCAAAAAGAAGTGGTCTTTTAAAAATTTTTTTCTACATTTTTATCTGATTTTTTTACATTATGATTTCTAATTTATATCTATTTGATGTACAGTTTTGTAAGGTACAGTATTTTTTTATAACTTTATTTATTTAATTAATTTATATATTTTAATTTGACCAGAGAGGGACATAGATAAAGAGAAAGTGAAAAAGCAAGCCACCAGATCTGAGACTTGAACTGCGGTCATCCATGTGGGAGTCCAGAACCCTTAACCACCACGCCACCTGCCAGCCCCTGGTATTTTTCTTTAAAGCATTCATTCAGGGTATAGTAATAAAATCAAAGATATTCACACATTTATCTTGAACACTGAATATTACATTATGTTGTGCACATTTGATAATAGTTTTATTGTTTTCTTAATATGTATTAAATAGTCCATAGTTTAAACTCTGTTATACACTGTCCTTCTTTCCCTCATTTACATGCATTCTTATGAATATTCAAGTTTTTCTTCCAAACTACTCCCAACCCCAGCCCAGGAAGCTTTGTTTACTGTTGCTATTTCTATGCTTTTGAGTCTTTCTATTTCCTACATAGTGTGGACATTTGGTATATGTTAGGCAGAAACATACAGTATTTGTTTTGCATAGACTGGCTTATTTTACTTGGCCTTATATCTTCTAGGTTCATACACTTTGCATCAATACAAATACACTTGGCATTGAGCTCATATTTTAATGCTGCTAATGTGTGAAGTGATTGATCAGAATCTTGTTTTAAAGAGTGACATTCACTCTAAAATAGACCATAAAAGACATCTACTTGTGAGTACCATACATATGTGTATATATATATATATACACAAACATTTGTAATCATGTTCTTGGAACCTTGTGACACTGTACTTTTTAAAAACCTAGTCATTATTCAAGGCAAGTGCTTTTTTTTCTTTTATAAATTTTCAGAGGGCATATGTACTTGCCAAAGATAGGGAGAAAAGGAGAGGGAGAAAGCAGTTTCCAATGGGGCTTGGTCATGCCACAATTCCTTGTCCTATATTTTTCCATCTCATTGGGATACGGGGCACACATATACAAACACCTGGAATATTTTTCAAGTCACCAAGGTGGGACTCAAACTGTGGTTAGCCATGTGGGATATGGCTCTCAGAGTAACTAGGCTACGAGGCCAATCCAACCCTGTACTTTTTTGTTTTAAATAGTGAAAACTAAAGACAGTTTAGATATCACATAGTCTGTGACCCTCATCGATGCCCCCAACAGGAAAATATCTCAGGAAATAGGGGACAATTCAAGAGATGTGGAAAGTGGAGTCTACATCCTGCATTTACCGCTTCTCAACCTGCTCCTTCCCTTTTCTTCTTGTATATGAAGGGGTTTTAGCCAAAGGTGAGAGCAGCTTTAGGCAATAACTTAAAGCAAGTTAGACTCTAAGTGGGAGCACAGCTGAGAGCAGACTAAAAGATTAATTCCAAACAGGCAAAAAGTAGGACAAAAGCAGGGCTAATCTTGAGGCTAAAGGCAGATGTGTGTGTGTGTGTGTGTGTGTGTGTGTGTGTGTGTGTGTGTGTTTGAAATGGTGACCAGAGTTTGTTTTTATTGGTTTCTTCTTTGCATTTGGCTGAATAGTTCATTTGGTTCTTGGCACAGGAATTCTATTCAATTAACTGAGTGTAACATGTGATAGATACCTTTTAGTAAAACTTTAACGTTAAAGGTTTGTTAATAGTCAACGAACCAGTAGACCACAATTTAAAGAAGAACATAAACAGAATAGAGAAAAATGAAAAGGGTCTGACATGGGAAATACAGAAACTAATAAAGAACAACTAGGGCAACAGAGCATGAGCAAGTTAAAATGTGTCTGCATCAAAAAGAAAATAGGAAAAATAAATAAAACAAATAAAATTTATGGTTTTGGAGAAAAAAGTGAATTCAATCATGAAACTGTTTCTCCTAATACCACTACTCTTTTTTCAGCCTCAAACATATAGCTTCCTGCTCTTCTCAGACAAAACCATTGTGGTCCCATGATGACCCGCAGTTCCAATTCTGTAACCAATGAAGTGAAGGAATGGTTGCTTTGAAGGCCTGTCTGTAGTGATGTGCCTAAACATGGTGCAGAGGTGATTGGATCACACGTGGCCTACTGTGGTTCAAATCTCTGCCCAGTGGTAACATGCCTGGAGTGTGAGTGCATGTACTCAGGATGGAGAAATGGGGGGAAAAGGATTGTACATGACCAGGCCTTGTTAAGAAGTGATTTCTCCCTCTCCTTCTGGTACATGCCCATGCTCTCTGAAATTAAAAAAGAAACAAATAAAAAGAAAGAAAAAGAAAAGGAAGAAGGAAAGATAAAGAAAAACATTTGCTTTGAAATAGCCAGATATTGACTCCCTAAAAAGGAAATACACGTTTTCAGTGAGATGACACAAAATGTCAGCACATTGTAAAAGCATGAATATCTGATGAGTCACAGAGAAACCAAAGACAAAAAGGTGTGTATGTGTGTATGATCGTTATGCCAGTTACTGAATTATCATATTGAAAAACCACACTATATTTTGTAGGATGTCCTGACTATTGCTTAATTTTAATATAGGTATTGATTATAATGATAAATTGGTTATAATGATAAATATATCATGATAAAACTATAAATAATTAAAAGCTTATTTAGTTTCTTCCTTTCAGTTTAAAATAAATTAATTTATATTTTATTCAATCTAATAACTTTAAAATTAGAGAGTGTCTTATAAATTACAACCCAGTTCCACTTTTTTAAAAATTAGTTCAATGAGGGCCAGTAGGTGGCATGGATGTTAGGCACTGGATCTCTTTTAAACAGCGGCAACAACATATTAGAAATGTTTCATTTATTTACTTTATTCATGATAGATCATGTGCATGCCCGCATAACAATGAGAAAGAGAGAAAGAGATGAGTTCCCTCCACAGGGTCTGGTCACATCTCAGTACCCTGTCTCAGTTTGTTGGCTCTTGAGCCATCAAGCAAGCAGTTTAACACATCTTCCAAGTTGACCAAGATGAGGATTCAAACCATGGACACCATATAGGATTCACCCTCTCTTGAACAACACATTACCATTATGCCACGGAAATGGCTCAAATTAGAAACATTGTAAATGCCCAATAACTGGCGATTAATTGATGAAATTAGAGTACACTGTAAAGTCACGTAATGGTGGGTATTTTATAGCCCCTAATGGTAATATTATAGAAAGTGTAAAATATTCAATGCTTTTTTTTTAGGTTTTTGTCATAGGGCATGTGCGCTCACCAGAATGAAGAGAGACAGAGAGGTACAGAGAGAGGGAAGGTAAGAAACCATCCTCCAGTGGGGATACCATACCACAATCCTCTCTTCCATTCTCCTCTTGGGACTCTGGGCACACAAGCACATGTACCTAGAATGTTTTCCAGCGGCCTTAACCTCCAGGCCACCTGCTGGCCCATAATGTTCAACATATTTTACATGAGAAAAGAAGATTATGCTCATTTTGAGCTTATTATTTTTAAGATGTATTTACAGTCATACATTGAAAGAAAAATATACCAAGTAGAAGAAAATAAACATTAAGAAAATCCAGTAGATATATAAGATGAAGATTTGTCCTTCCTGTCTTTTGATATTATAAAGATCTGATGTTTAAAGCTAATGCAGTTATTTTTTTTACTTTAAAGAAAATCATTGCCAAAATTCTGAGAATGTCAGAGAAGAAATATGGAATGCACTTGATAACATTCTTGAACTTCTGAACCAACCTTGAACTCTATCTCTGGTCTTCTCAATTTGTAGGATAATACATTTCTTAATATTAAAAAATAATCCTCCATAATACTGAATAAAGTCAGTTGATGTCAGAGATCATGAATATATTTTTTAAATGCATAGTTAAGATACTCTAAATCCATCTAATATTATTTTAAAAACAAAATAATAAATACAGCTAAATATTCATTTTAATATAAACCAACAGACTATTTAACCCAATGGAAACTAATATGGGATTTCAATTTTATCTACAGGCAACTTAAGTGTATCTATAGCAATTTTTTAAAGTACTCTGAGAGTTTCCTGTGAGGGTAAGTTTAGATGTAGTAACTTGAGAATCAACTTACCCTCAGTTTTCTCTGGGTCATGGCTGTTTCTAGGGCAATTTCTCTTAATGGATCTCTGGTAATGTCGAGCATGGAAGCTTTGATTGTGTCTCCTGGATAGAGGCTTAATCGAGACTGTCTAAGGGCCATTCTGGCTTGCAGCTGCATCATTTCTTCTTCTTGCCGTTTTAGCATGATCTCTTGATTAATTAAGTTGCCTTCAAGGGATGTTTCATATTGTCTGCTACCCAGAAAAAGGGAGAAGAGAAGGGTTGGAAAGAAAACAACTGTTAAGTAAGGTATCAAGAATTTAAACAAATTTTATTTTCTCATCTCAGAAGAATACTTGAATTACACAATGTGGTATAATAAGAAATACGCACACACATACACACACATATAATTGATCTTTGTCCCTGGATCCTGACAAAGAGACTTAAAATCCTTGCTTTACTCTCCGGAAGCTGAGTAATAGGGGTGACAGAAGAACCTTTTGTTCTAATATTTGGCCTTTGACCCTGATTCCTGACACAGAGCTCCTAAATCCCTTGGAATTTCCTGGGTGATAGGAGTCTCTTTTGTTCTAATGAGGAAACTCTTGGTGGGACCCTAAATATCTTCAGGTGGAGGCAAGACGCCAGCAAAACCTAACCTTGATTAGAAGCCTAAAACTTTCAGGCCTTTCTCTCTACCTCTGGAGAAGGATGAGGGGCTGGAGATTGAGTTAACAGTTGATCATGCATGTGTAATGAAAGCTCCATATAAGTCCGTATATGATAATATCTTGGCCTCTTTGTCTGCTATTCGTCTCTGTCCTTTATAATATTTGGTAAACTGTTCACCTGTATTCTCTGTAATATACTTGTAAAATGTAAGCCAAGTGCTTTCCTAAATCTTGTAAACCATTCTATCAAATTATCAAACCCAAGAAGGGGATTGTGGGAATCCTAAATTTGTAGCTGGCTGGTCACAAGTACTAGAGACCCAGTACTTGCAACTGGCCTCTGAAGCGGGGCACTTTTGAGGGACTGAGCCTTAACCTGTGTGATCTGATGCTATCTCCAAGTAGTGAGTGTCACCATTGAATTAAATTGTTAAGACACTCAGCTAATGTCTGAAGAGTGGATAATTAGCTGTTGATGTGAGGAAAAATCCTATGTGTTTGGTGTCAGAGTGCTCTGTGAAGAGAAAGATCACAGTGCACAGTAACATTCTCTTATACGTTTACTGTACTGCCATAAGGCTGTCCTGTTTTTAGTAGGTAGGTCTGCATCTCCCATCTCTTCTCTGAACATTCCAGCACCCTCGGAAGACTGCTTCCACTATAGTTCTCCCAGATAGAGGCTGTCATTCTCACAGGCCTGTACTATCGGACCTTGGAGGTGAGACAAAAGATATCTCTTCAGTTCTCATTCCAGCTTTCAGACCAGTGTTGACTCTCTTTTAGCAATTCCTGACTCCATCCCATGAACTATAACATCCACTACTCAGCTTTGTTCTAGATATTCACTGACTTATTGGCCACTTCCTCTTACTAATTAAAGATTTAAGTGTCTGACTCAGTCTTTTCCTCTACTCCTACTCCTGTCAGCATTCATGAGGTGATACATAAACTGAAGAGCCTTTTAATACTGACCTCCTCCCCAACTCAGCCCATAGCTTACTCCCACATTCATGCTGGTTATTAACAAGAACCAGGCCATTACCGTAATTTCCCAGTTCATCCTCCCATACTCTGTATAATCTCTTATAATTTTCTGGCTCACTCCTTCTATTACTCTTCTTCAGTGACTCTATCAAAAGTTGTAATTCATTGATCTTTCCATGTTCTCTCTGACTTTTACTCTTTTCTTGATCTGATATTACACAGAATCTAAGGTCATCACTAAAATCATTCCTTCATATTATAATCACAACTCTCATGAAACTATAGAACCATACTGACTGATCTCACTGGGCTCTCAGCAGTGCCTGGAGAATCATTTTGAGAACTATTTTGTGTTTTATTTCTTTTTTTCTCTTTTCTTTTTTCCTCAACTGTTGCCCTCTCCTCACTTTTCTTAGTGATATGAAAAGTAATCAGGAACTAACTTCTTTATTCCTTCCCCACCACATTTTCTAAATCTACATACAAATGGTCTCCTTCTCTTCTGTGACAATGGATAAATCCTCTGTATTCTTCTATAGTACCAAAACCTTCACTGGGCATCTCTCTTCCCTATAATTATCATCAATAATCTCATAAACTAGGTTCTTCTCATTAGCATACAAATATGCTATACTATTTCCAACTATGAAAAACAACAGACTCCTCCTTTGAGTTCCACATCCCCCTTTAGATTCTACCCCATCTTTCTACTGCTGTTAGAATAAATCTCTTCAAAATTGCCATTTAAACTTTATCTTCTTGGGTTATCTCCATAGCCTAGTGGTTGGGGGAGCTAGACTTCATATGGCCAACAATCCCGAAAGGATGGAGAACTAGAGAAAAAGGGATTAATTTCAGTGTGACCGTGTAGCAGTAGATGTTGTAACTCCTCTAACATGCAACCATCTCCCATATCTTTGAGCCTCTGTACTTGCTTTTTTTTTTGGTCTGGAACAATCTTTCTGCATACTTCACTCTCATACCTCAGTTTTCTCTTCAAAGTCACTGCTTGAAGAATACTCTCACTGATCACTCTGCCCATGTTAACTACAATGTAAACATCACATCCCGGCAT